TTTGCTATGTTTATCTTTTTACTCATTTGGCTTTGATTTGTAAGAATTCTGAGTTTACGAAGTAACATGTTTTTAAAATTCTAGGCCAAATAATTGAATGTTAGCAAAAAATAATAATTTAACATGCCTCCCTCAAATTCTGCTATTTTGGCACCCACTTTTCAATATGTTGTTCAACTAAGTGATATTCACTTTTCAGTTTATTCACTAAACACAGAATTGTAGTGAATTTGAAAAGCAAATTGTGAAATTTAGGCAAAATGTGCTAAAATGGAAAAAAGATATCAACAGCTCATTTGGGTCAATTCTCTGATATTCAGTTAATAACACACACCTCCCAACAGTCCCAGGTTTGGTGGGACAGTCTTGAAATTGGAATCTCGTCTTGACTCCGCTAGTTTCTTCCCTGGCGTCAAACTGACAGAGTAATATGATAGAGTGGTTAGGTGCACTCTCACTGTAGAAGGTACTGTGGAGCATGCCAGAAAGCTTCAGAAGTGTTCTGCGCATGTCACGCCCAAGGTGAAGTCGGGTGTGTAAAAACATACCACCCACTGTCCTATTGTACAGGTTCACTGTATTTGACTATAGCAGAAATAAAATGGAAACAAATTGTAGGTGAATTTCGAAGCAAAAATAAATAAAAAATTTAAAAAACACAAATAAAAGAAGAGATTAAAAGAAGTGATTTAGTAGCATTAAGGAGACTTAGAATTATGGGTTCAATTCCACAGCTTTGTATCAGTGTGGTTGGATGAAATGAATGAAGAGAACATGGCGGCAATTCGGCAGTTTGTGAATAATCATATTAGTAAAGTTAGATGGAGGTTCAGCTGATTTTAATAATGAACTACTTGCAGCTAAAAGAAAATGCAATTTATGAATAGCAGATTGCAGGTTACATTTAGTTTAAAAGAATGACAACAGAACAGCAGTTGGTGGGGGCGAGGCCTGACACTCATGGCGGACAGACGTGTTCTGCATGAGCTTCTTGTCTGGCCTTTGCTTTTGCTTGGTTTTTAGCTGTTCCACGCTTCTAATCTGCAACAGGAGAAAGCATACCAGAGCCCTGATTGGGCCTGTCTACTCGGGAGCCGTGGTTGCAGCTGAAGCTACTGGAGGTTCACCTAGTCACCAGTCATGACGGATGCTTTCCCAGTCTGGGAAAGTCTGGACACACGCTGACTCCTTTTGCTGCCCTGATTTCCCCCGCCCCATACCGAGGTGGCTAATCCCAGTCCCACCAAGCAGGCCCTCACCTTATACCCGCTCCTAGGCAGAATCCGCCAAAAAAAAGACACCCACGTGGTCTCTCTAAGATGGTCAATGACGGTGCAGCTGTTATACTAGCAGAGAATGTGAATTTGTTGTGGCGCTTTGATGGTGGCAAGGTGATGCCCACGTGGCGAACAGCCCTTAATGACAACCCAGGGGATACTCTGATGGCTTTTGACCGAATTTGTGACCAATTCTGGAGTATGCTGGAAGAAAGGCAGAAGGCACAGAAGCGTGTAATGACTCCCGGACACATGTTGCAGCAGAATTATCGTGACGCAGGTTCTGGCCCTACTCCAGCTACGTGCCATTGCTCCTGAAGCCTGTACCGATGGCCTTCTCTATGAGAGCATTTAGAGAAGTCATTCCCCTACACCACCTCCACTGTGTTAAAGTCTACACCTGGGTGTTCTGGCTTGGACGGTGCTGTCACTATGCTCACATTTAATCCTGGTGGCTGGTTAACGGCGGTATTTGGGAACCGCAACCTACTGTAGGACAATGGGACTCTGTGGCCTCCTAGGGGACCTAATGATTCCTCTCTTGCAACTGTCACTAGTCTAATACTATCCTTACCTTTTTGTGTCACTTTACCCCACTCCCTCTAGCATGTAAGCTCATTGAGCAGGGCCCTCAACCCCTCTGTTCCTGTGTGTCCAACTTGTCTGGTTACAACTACATGTCTGTTCGTCCACCCATTGTAAAGCGCTGCGGTATTTGATTATTATTATGATATTTATTGAGCGCCGTCAAATTCCGCAGCTCTTTACAATGGGTGGACGAATAGACATGTAGTTGTAACCAGACAAGTTGGACACACAGGAACCAGAGGGGTTGAGGGCCCTCCTCAATGAGCTTACATGCTAGAGGGAGTGGGGTAAAATGACACAAAAAGGTAAGGATAGTATTAGACTAGTGACAGTTGCAGAAGAGGAATCAGTCAGGAGCTATTAACAGTTTAATTGATACGCTTTTATGAAGAAGTGGGTTTTTAACGATTTTTTGAAGGAGTGGAAACTGGGTGATCATCTAGCGGAGGAGGGAAGCGAGTTCCACAGAAACAGTGCAGCCCTCGAGAAATCTTGAAGGCGAGCATCAGAGGTGGGAGTACGGACAGAAGATAGGCATAAGTCTTCAGCAGATCGTAAGGGCCTAGACGGGACATACTTGTGTATAAGGGAGGATAGATAGGTGGGAGCAGCATAATGTAGAGATTTGAAAGCAAGAACCAGAATTTTAAATTGAGCTCTATATTTTATAGGAAGCCAATGTAGGGACTGACAGAAGGGTGAGGCATGGGAGGTGCGGGCGGACAGGAAGATGAGCCTCGCCGCCGCATTCATTATGGACTGTAATGGGGCAAGTTGAGAGCACGTAAGACCACTGAGAAGCGGATTACAGTAGTCAAGGCGAGAAAGGACAGTGGAATGGACCTTAGTAGCATCTGGTGTTAAGTAGGGGCGGATGCGCGCAATGTTTTTGAGATGGAAATGACAGGATTTGGCGATAGATTGAACATGAGGCTTGAAGGAGAGGTCGGAGTCAAAGAGAACACCTAGGCAGCGAGCCTGCGTGGTGGAGCTGATGGTAGCACCGTTGACTTGGAGGGAGACAGACACAGGAGTAACAACACTTGAGGGAGGAAAGACCATAAATAATAACATAATAATAATGGACTCTCCCCATGATTGGTAAATGGATATGACCAATGTTCCCACGAAGAACAATGTTCAGACAAAAAAAAAAAAAAAAGGGTCCAGGAACTCATCTTTTCATATAAGACAAGTATTTAATGAAGCATATCACCAGGTTTACAATGGAATTTCTTTGGTCAACAACCGTGGCTTGGTGTCATATTGGGTGTCATATTTGTTTTGATAAAGGTCACAGTTGCTGATCAAAGCTTTGCCTTGTAAACCTGGTGATGTTCTTCATTAAATAGCTGTCATATTTAAAAAAGATGAGTGCCTGGACCCATTTTCTTTTGTCTGGTCATTGTGACCAGGGGTATAGGACTACCCTAGAGCCTGCAGCACCACATTATAAATCGTGATATTTGTATTTTTTATTTTTTGACAGTTGTATATGTACTAAAAAATAGTGACTTAAAATGGCAATGGATGGTTCCTTGATATACAGTTACTTTTTCATATGCATAAGCATACGGGGTTTCACATCTATAAAAATGACTGCAAATAAAATAGTGACTTCTGGTTTGTGACTGTGAACTGTCACTTTTATAAGATTATAACAATTATGTGAGCTGAGTAGCAGGTGCTGTGATTTCTTTCTTCTGCCAAGCCTTATCAGATCCTTTCTGGAACATGGCACAGTCAGAGCGGGGAAGGGATGTGAAGTCCTTATTCACAACCCCCTCCTCAGCCACTCAGCACAGGAAAGCAGATTTTAGGTCACTGGATACCTGTAGCAGACACCTGGGCCGCATTGGTTTAAAGGTAAACTATAGTCACCAGAGCAACTACAGTTTAATGTAGTTGTTCTGGTATCTACTGCCTGGCCTTGCAGGCTTTTTAATGAAAACATTGCCTTTTCAGAGAAAATGCAGTGTTTACTTTACTGCCTAGTAACAGTCACTCAGATGCACACTAGAGGTGCTTCCTGGGTCAGTGCTGTACAGAGTGAATGTTGAACGATCCCCATAGAGATGCATTGATAAAATGCATCTCTATATGTCAGAGTGACATGTTTATGCGCAATTGCCTCCCAATGTTTTCCCATAGGATTGGCTGATATTAACTTTGATGATCTCAGCCAAAGGGATGGGGCCAGTTGAGAAGAGACCCCGCACTGTGTTGGAAAAAGGTGAGTAAATTCACCTTTTTACTGCAGGGAGAGTGCGGCCAGCCACCTAAACAGCAATCTTAGAGCTATAGTAAGAAATACAAGTTTGTATTCCTGACACTATAGTGTTCCTATAGCTGCAATCAATATGCCGATGGGCAGTTAAGGGTCAGGCAGGGGAGAATAACACACAGATCAGCTATGGACTGCTTCTATACACGGCAGCCTGCTTACTGTTGCTAGTATAATATACTGGTACTGGCTGGGCAGCTTCAAATACCGGTTGGGTGGCAACCCTAGTTGGGCAATTAGAAAAATGTTTTAAATCATTTGGAATTCTCAACACTTCTGGGGCTGTTTATTAAGCTCCTAACAGCAGTGAGAGTTTAGTAAATAACCCTGAATGGTAAGATTCAGGCTATAATTGCCAACCTATACCCACAGCTCAGTACTACATATTTCACCAGAATATCTCTTTAATTTTTTTTCTCCCTAAACTTTGCAATTCTTCAGTGAGTAAAGCCCCTTATTTTGGAAAAAAAAATGCTAACTTCCTCCTTGAGTAATCCTAACATTGGAGCCAATTACACATTAATACCCCCAGTATCTTACTAGAAAAATGTATCAAAAATCAGGAATTCACACCATCCTCTCCAAGATTAACACTGTACTGTCATTTGTTTGTCCACTTAGCTTTAAATAAAGTTTTGTTATACTACGGAAAGCCGCGGGCAGCTGTGTTTGCACTACGGCAGAGGGGCGTGGTTCTAGGAGAAGGCGTGTCTTACGTGCCGTATGATGCCTTGCAGTCGATGGGCGTTCCAATGCTAGGCCCCGCCCCCTCAATGAAATAGGCCGAGCGTTCCAGCCGCTGCCAGAGGTGGTTAAGGTGGAGCTGGTAACAGGAAGTGTCTGCCTTCACCATGGGCTCCAGGTCTTCCACATTACTGAGGGACGAGGAGATCGATGAGATCAAGAAGGAGACCGGCTGTAAGTAACCACTGGGGTAAGGGGAGTCACATTAGGCCGGGGGTGGCCATAACAGCCAGCTCTTGGAGAACTACATCTCCCATGATGCTTTGCCAGCCCATTATGGTGGTTGTAATTCTATAACAGGTTTTTGGGGTCTACCCTGTGCCCCCCACCCGCTTCCATTGGGTAATAGCTAGGCCCTCTGACTAGGTAACATGACTTGACACTCAGTGTAAACATTTATATAATCACATCCCATAGCTCAGATCTGCTCACAATATCCTATTATTGGGGTCTCCTCTGTTTTTTTTTAAATTTTGTGTAAGAGGTTTAAATACCAGTTGTGATAGTCCAGCTGTAATAGACTACATTTCCTATGATGCCCAGAGTGCCCATCATTATTATCATCATGGGAAGTATAGTCTGCAACTTCAGGGGCCACTAAGGAAAAATGTCACCGTTATTGATATAATAATCCAAGAAAAATGCCCATGGCACTCAACGTGAAGGTAAAAATATAAGGCAGTAAAGACACTTTTTTTATTATACGTCGCAAATGTATGTAACGGCATTTTAAAGCCAAAATTGATCTTAAGTGTTTTGTCCTATAACTCTGAACGTACCTAATCGTAAATCAGATTAGTTTCTAGGTGATCTGTTACTATAGTTTAAATACATGTTACTTGTGAGTTTTGGAATTAAGGTCCCCTGAAGTTCACACATAGAGACATTGTGTGCTTTGTATCTCAAAGATCATCTGTCCTTCCTGGGAGAGGTACTGCTAGGATATATGGAAAGTGTTTGGATTGTTCTCACTTTGGTCTATTGCTACGTAATAACTAATAATAGTCAATGTGATGAAATGACCTTTGCCTATTAATGGAGTGATTGGGATGGACATCTGCATCACATTTTGCACTAATCTTTTTGTATTTGTACCACAATAAAATAAGCATTCTCCAACCTTTTTCTAAATGATTCTATAACAGATGGCTTACCAGCCATGTAACCCCAATATAGTATTCAACAAATGTTACGTTATAACCTCTTCTGAAATTACATTGATAGTGAAGTAACTTGTTTAAGGATGACTGTCACCTCAAAACATTTTTTTTAATATAATAATCCTTTTATTAAGTTTTGAAAGGAAATATATTTTTTAAATAAAAAAAAGAGAACCACATTTTTGCCTTTTACTATATAACAGGGCCCATAAGCCATATTTATGCACCTTGGGTCAGACAATGTTTATAAACCATCTATTAGTCTCTATGGTCTTCACTGTTTCTGTGCAGGGAGTGAAGCAGGGAATATCAGAGAGACTAACCGTTGCTTTCCAATCACTGTTTGACCCAAGGTGCATGTATATGGCTGAAGGATCTTGTCATATACAAAATGGATACATTTTTCTAATCTATTTTTACATATACTCTATCAAAATAAATATTTTCTTTCAAAACTTGAGAAAATAATTATTTTAAAATAAAGTTATTATTATTATGATATTTATAGAGCGCCGTCAAATTCCGCAGCGCTTAACAATGTTCATAGTTGACAGTTGGCCTTTAATAACGTTTAATGTATCTTCAAAAATCTGTGATCTGGCAAAATTTGCCATAGCGAAGTGTTCTACTGTGATGTATCATAACTTGCCAAAGAGTAGTTTAGAAAACAAACAAACGAACACCTTTAGATAAGTGTTCTAATTAAATAAATTACTTAACTTCAATCAATATGCAGCCTCCCAGGATCGTTATCCACAACAAACGATCTTAACATATGCATAGAACCCCAGACAGAAATGGGATACGGCTGTACAATCTATAGAGGGAACATATAAAGGAAAAAACACACAATAGTGTGATACAGTAAATACAGTGAATAGTGCGCTTAAATGGATGCACTCACAAGATGATGAAGATGAAAAAGCATTCATAGGGTGCCTCCCCAGATAGCATAGGGGGCTAGTGGTTTCCCCTATCCGATGTAAAGCGACCAATGGAACACGGGACTCCAGGTAAGTAATAGTAGAAAAGCAATACTTTTATTTTCTTAAAAGGTGAACAAGCACCATAAGAATAAAGGTTTAAAAGTGCAGCAATAGGTCCAACGCGTTTCGTTCAAGACTAGAACTTCATCAGGGACCGCACAGTAAAAAAATCACAGACAATATCATAGATTGTAAAATAACATCCTACTTTCCCCTTAACAGAATCTCTATATATAGGGCTAGTCCCAAAGTCCCATTGGTCCATAGTGTAGGAGTATCCAGTAGCCAGCCAATCATCTATCCAGGGGTATTGTCCTCCAGCTGATAGTGTTTGGGTAGTTTAAAAAGGGCGCGTTCAATGTGAAAGCCGAAACCGGAAGTGGATGTCTGCCTTCACTTCCGCGTTCCATTTGCGTTCCATATGCGTTCCAAACACGCTCCAAGTGCGTTCCAAATACATTTACTGCTCTTTTTCAACTAGAACAGCGAGGAGCCATCAATATAAGTGATCATCAAAAGGACAAAGCCCAAAAGTGTTAAATGCATTAAATGTAATTAATCTCTAAAAGAAGAAAAGTGAATTAGTGCATGTAATATACAACAACCATGTTAAGATAGTTCATATGGAACTTCCCCACATATTATATATATGACAATATCATACACCATTAAATAGTGCCATGTATGTCTATTTAAAGTGACAAACATCTCATTATTCAAAAAATAAGAACACAAATAATATATTCCTAAACAAAGTTCCCTCAATATCAATAATAATCATTTTAAACCATATAACCTGCAAGGTACACCTAACTATATAATATAAAGATTTTTTTTTTTTTTTTATTATTTTATTATATAAATTATGAATTGTATTGATTAAAGACACTTCTTTTTCCCTATATTTAGACTGCCAGAGCTCCTCATATTCCCAAAGATACTTATGGAATAATTTACATAAAGGAGAAGAATAACCAAAAAAATCAGTCCAAGAAACACACCAGATCGATCCCAATATTCAGGCCCCTAGGTTCAAGGGTCTTTAGTTTGTGTATCCAAAAGGTTTCCCTTTGGGATAACTTTTTGATCCTATCACCTCCCCGCCAGTAGGGAAGGACATGTTCAATACCCATACACTTGAAATCTCTAAAGGAGAAGGAAGGACAATTACTGCAATGGGCAGAGACTGAATGAGTAACCAGTCCTTTACGTATATTATTTAGGTGTTCCAAGATCCTGACCTTCAGGATACGTTTCTTCCTTTATATGTTCCCTCTATAGATTGTACAGCCGTATCCCATTTCTGTCTGGGGTTCTATGCAAAGAGTAGTTTAACCTGTGATTTAGCATAACGTGCCAGAGCAAAGTTTTTCACAATACTTTGGTTGTGATATACTCTGGGTGAACTCTACAGACCTTTTTATATTTTAATTTGGGAATTATTTATTATGTATAGTTATCTGGCCATAAATAAATTAATCTTAGAACCAGATTTAAGTTGTGACTGCCTACACTCACCCATTCCCCAACTAACATATTTTAATTGTTAGTTTTCTCTGTCGATGTGATTCTTATAAGTCATATTCCCAAATACAGTAGAGCATTACGTAGAATACATTATGTAAATGTCCTGGATTTCATTCTGTGAAATATTATAAGCCATAAAACATTCTTCAATTTATCTGATTTTCCCACCACTGCAGCTATTTTACACTTTGGTTGTAAATTCAGTATTTAGTGAATAAGGCCTTATGTGCGCTTGGATGTATAATTTGCCCCTCTTTCATGGTATGCGCTTCAGCTATTGTCTGTGCAGAATGATGTGGCACTTGCCATTCAAGGAAGGATTTGCTGCACACGCTTTGCCTGTTTCTGCGCTGCTTGCTAATTGTGTTTGGTAGTGGCTTTGATATCATGCCAATGAGAATTTTTTCACATAACTTCAGTGTGCTTATAAATGCCCACTGCTAAAGGTCTGCTGTGTGAGAGCAATTCAAATTGTCTGAATACTGTTTGAGACCCAGTTGTGGAAATTTCCTTTGTCCTGGAAAACATGGTGGATCAAATGCCAGTGCATATTTCACTAAATCTCATTATCTTGTGGTGGGTTTTACCATTTTTATTTTATTTTTTAAGAATTTAAATTTGGCAGAATCTTTCATGCTTTTTCATTTGTTAAAGTGATGTAAACTTAACCAATTTTTTTTTTTTTTTTTTTAAACATTTATCTCCCCTCCCCAAATGTATGATCAATTTTAACTCCTTTTAGTGATCAGTTACAGTCTACTCTATTACAATATAACAATATTTTTTATTATTTTTTTAAATTAATTAAAAAAATTTTAAGACTCTACACATTTTAAATGTCCCGTCAAGTTAGTGATATTAAAGCTGTATAAAGCTGGCAAACTATATTTTTCCAGTTCGATCTCAATCCAAGTATACAAAGAGAACAGAAATATTGTGTTCTCTACTAATCCGTACGGTACACATTTACTCAGCAGTTTCTTAGTAGCACTGTGTGGCAATAAAGTGTAAGCTTGTGTGCTATCGTCATGCACTAATGTATATTCAGACTCCAGCATTTACAGATTGCAATGCTGACTGTCCTGGTCTTTAATGGGTTAAATCTAGGTGAAGTTTAATTAAGGCATTGTGACACCGAGGTCCATTTTATCTTTCTTATAACTTTTTTTTTTTTTTTTTCCTTCTCTCTTATAGTTTCTCATAGCCAGATAACACGTCTGTATAGTCGTTTCACCAGTCTTGATAAAGGAGAAAATGGGACATTAAGGTATGTTTTAAAACTATTGTATAATCTAATAGCCAAGTCTACTGTAATACATTTAAAAAAAAAAATTTAAAAAAAATTCAGTTGATAATTATTATAATCCCGCACACATCATGCTGCCACATATGATCTATGATGTGTATAATTTATTTTTGGGTTGGGTGGTATCAAGATTAAATGAACAATCCAAGCACCATAACCACTACATAACATATCGTGGTTATGGTATCAGGAGTCCTCTGACTCCTCCTTTCCAGTGTAAGTAGTCAAAACATTTGACTACAACGACTTCTTAAATGGGGTCGACGGGTACCATTCCCTGCCTCACAGCATTGTACAGAAAAGACAGAAGCTCCTGCTAGAGCAACCTTGGCAAATGTGCTAAGCCTGGGATTAACTCAGAAAACTTCCTGTCCCCTGGACACTGCAGAGAGGTAGCGAGTGGAGGTGGACCCCAGGTAAGAAATCCCACTTTTCTAAAATGGTTTGCCTACTTACATTGGGGGTGCCAGGGCACTGCTGGTACTTTAACTATGTAGTGGTTATGGTGTTTAAAGTGTTTTCTGAATCTGTTTTGTTAAATTGAATCTGGTGCTTATAAATCCTAACAAACATACAGCATGGCACACTGGGAATCACAGAATTTCCAATGTGCAGGTTCACGCTTGGAATGGGTTATTGGGAGGGGGCAGCTGCTTTCCCATAGCTCAGGCCACTCTAAGAGGCTATTGGCTTAGCTGTAATATCTAGAGTGGTTTAAAAATAAATAAATAAGGCATAACTCTTCATCTAGACATTTATACATTCTTTAAAGTGACATCAAGTCTTGTTTGGCATGACAGAAGCACTTAAAGGAACACTATAGTCACCAGAACAAGTACTGATTAATGTAGTTGTTCTGACAAGTATAGTCAGTCCCTGCACACGTTTTAATCTAAAGACTGCCTTGTCAGGGAGAAGGCCGTGCTTACATTGCTGCCTAGGAATACCTCTAGTGACAGTCACTCAGGTGGCCACTAGAGGTGCTTCTTGGGTCATGTGCAGCACTAACATTCTGCCTCTCCATGCCCTTCATGGAGACGCTGAATGCTCTTCATAGAGATGCATTGATATATGATTAAGGAGACACTTATTGGCGTCTTGCTGCGCATGCGCAGTAGCCTCCCACTGCTTTACTGTGGGAAAGTATTAGAATGGCTGAGATCATCAAGTTTGATCTCCGCTAAGGAGGTGGAGCAGAGGCAGAGCCAGCCGCGACAAGACCCACACAGCGCTGGAAGCAAGGTGGGTAAACCCGCCATTTAATTTTCTGACAAGATGGCCGTCTCTGACACTGTTTGTGTGTTTTTTGGTTTTTTTTTTGTAGTAAAGATTAGAGTAAAAGATGTAGGCACACACATTCACTGTATTCATTGAACATTTAGCAGTTTTTCAAACCTGTAAGAGGCCATTACAGACCAACCAATACTGTCTTTTGCTTTCACTGGTTTCCATGGTGATTGCCTCACTTGTGGAACTCTGTCCCACTTTTCACAACTCAGAACACTGAAAAATCTCCCCCATTTTCCCCGTGTTAACCTTCTTCCTTTATTGGACTGTGTTGTATTTTATTAATGTTGTGTACTGTACAATGTTTCTTAACTTTCGCATTGTTTAAAATTGAAGAAAGTATGTAAGTCTGATGGAATTTTAATTTAATTAAGCTGGATAATTTCGGACGTATTTCTTTAGTTAAAAAATATACACAGAGTCTCTGTGTTAAATTTTCAAGGTCACCCAGTGTGTATTTTATTTTTTCAGTTGGTAGTCAACGTCCACAAAGCTCTGCTCGTAAAATGTTCCAGAAGTGTTGTATTTACTCATATGGTCGTTAATTTGCCTTTCCTCCAGTTTCAGTCTTGTTTGTAGTTAAATATTAAATAATATAACACCTTTTTATATGATGTTCCTCTTCCCATGTGATCAACCAAAGTTTTGTTGGTATGCCTTCTGACATTAAAAATGTGACAATGGCAGTGGTAGGGCGCCTCATTTTTCACTTATCTCTGCGGATATTTTTAAAAAGGGCCTCAGTCAGAACGTTAATGGTTTGTATGCTGTGCGCATTGCGGAAGCACTCTTGAAGATATGCCCTGCCCTAGCATCATACTGTTCTGAGTTCATTTTTTATGACACACTGTGCTGTTTCAAGACTTTTCTGTGGGGGTCCCAAGCTGTGACTCTAACACCAAATGTAGGAATGATCGATGACAGAAGAATCTGAAATAATGTATATAGAAAGAGAATGCATATCTATCGGGATCTCTCCAATGGACAGTTTTCTAGAGTATGGCCAAAACCAACATTCGATTTGACATGACCTCCTAGAAATCTCACTTTTGATGTGTGGTCCCAATTCATTGAGTGAAAGGAATGGAATTCCCAGCTGAAATCGTGGAGAGATCCCAGTATTTCTGCTAGTAGTAGGTTGTGGTTATTTAAATAGACAGGGTATATCAAATTGAATTTGAGAAGGTTGAATATACTAGCATTTAATAGATGATGGGACTGAAAAGCGTTAAAAATAAGAACAGTAAGGTTTGTTTTATCTTGTGTTAGCCAGGGGCGAATGTGAACTATATTGAAATGTTGATGGAAACTTCAATGCCAGGGGTAGAGAGCTTATGGGGTAGGGCTGATTGATGCATAACTGACCGCAATTGAGGCTAACAAAGACGAGTTGCTTGACGTGGGAAAGAAAAGATAAAACCTGTAGATAGTCAAGTTAAAAGAAACCAGACCGGCTTTTAAATAGGGGAGGCACTTGGTGATCTGATCAAGAGAGGGAAACAATACTGATTGTCTCATAGTAAATAGATAAGTCCAAAAGCTGTGAAGCCACCAACCTCTTGCAAATATTGTTTTTCACACACAGTGTAATAGTGTACTACATTTATTTCAAACCGATACCGAGCACATTTGTCATTTGGGGGCAGTTTAGCCAGCCTCCTACAAATTTTTTTATTTTTTTATTTTTAAAGGAGGTGTAACTGGTATTTCATGAGTAGGAAGGGACTACTCTTTAACACGAGTATTGTTCATGTGTATTTGTGTGGGTATACCTTTTTAAGGTGATGGTGTTTGTTCTTGTTTAACTAACATAGTTCCCTGAAGGAGGTGAGATTATATTGGTCCTCAAATGGTGTAGTCATGTAAACAGTAGATCGGCATGGATATTATTGAAGAGTTAGTTCTCAAGCTAATGCCATATAATTTGAGTCCCTCTCATCTGATTTTAAGTGCCTATTTTACATGACTGACTTTATTTCACGTGTTAATTATTAACTTGGAATACTTACAAGTAATTACTCTACAGTACAACTTAATTACATTATCAAACATTCAGAAGTTGATACAACGTGGACAATAACATTCTGTTAATGTGTAGTATGTTATTTTAAATAGTTGCCAGAGTACCAGAGCATCTTTGTGTAATTGTAGAATTGATGCAGAGAGAACCGTGCACCCATTCCCAGTTTTGTAGATGGCCTATAACTGCAATGATATGTAAAAATACCCTCCCCCCAGAGTTGTCAGTCATGCAGCAGAAATTCAGACTTCCTAGCTGCCTGTGTCTATTTTTCTCCAGGTTGTGCATGTGATTTCTTTTGTTTGGGGACATTTATTTTATATTGGTTTTACCTTAAACGCTTGTACTTCTTTTGATTACAGTAGAATTTTAAATAATTCAGGGTGATTCCCCGGCTTGGCTTTGTCCCCTTACATTTTGGCATTCAGCTTTCAGGTCTCTATAAATCAGTTCAGTTAATAACCCCTAAATGTTGTATGGGTGTTTTTTACTGCTACCACTCTTTGTAATGCACACCCCATATAGTACTGCTTACAAAATGAATTATTGCGTGAAGCTGTATTGATGCATTATTGTACATTTAATGCTTGACATGTCTTTGATTAATGCTGTAAAATCTGTTTTACATTGCTTGACGTTCTGCAAAGCAGCATATCTCTCTATATACATGGAAAACCTTCTGGGACTATATTTAGCAAGTCCCTGTTGCGTGCCTGTTACTACCATCAACTAACGTGTTCCTTTAATAATAATGATGGTGGGTGCCAGCAGCCAGTCTTGTACAGCAATACAGAGTGAAGTGGGCCTTAGACCCAATTAATTATGTTGCTATAGGAGCCATAACAAGAAATATCTGACCATTAATTATATTGAGACATCCCTCACTAAGCAATTAGGTGGACAACCAAAATCAAACAAATGTCCATTGCAACGCCATACTGCTTCAATGAGTTAGAAACCTGTTTTTTAATTAATTTGTTGATAATTAAAGTGAACTGGATTTACCATATAAATTTGAATATTACTTGACATTTCGGTGTGGAACTGGCCATATTGATTGATTTAGGCTGACTCAAATAGAGAAGGTTCCTGCTGACGTATGATTTGTCTATTAAAGACAGATTGTTAACTCCAAAATATGTAGATGACCAGTTCACTTTCAGGCAGATATAGAAAATATTCCTGTGTGTGTGTATATATAAAGGATGGTGAACTTTTCAGAAAATCTTTACATTTATTTATTTTTTTTAAATCATGACCGCTTCTGCCAAATTAGCTGCCGGGTAGACTACTTTGGACCTCCAGGTGTTGTGCACTACATCTCCCATAAGGCTCTTAGTTATAATGCTTTCAAAGCATCAGGGAAGATCTAATCCACAAAGTCCACAACATCTTGAGTGCTGCAATTTGCCTACCCCTTGGCATAGAGCATACACTTAATATAATTGCACATGGCAAATTTCCTAACCCACCCCCTCCTATCTACCCATACAACTGTTCCCTTGACGTAGAGGTAAAAAACTTTTTTGTTTTAGTGATCGCTTGGTATTCTAGTCTTCTGTTTGTTATTCAATCTTGAAGAAAGAAGATGTAGGTTTTATCTTGCTGGCTTTCTTTGCAGTATCTATATATGAAAAATATATCTACCTGCAGGGACAGTGTCCACTTGCTTTGCACTTTATATATAAAAAAAAAAAAAAATGTATAACTTGAAGAATGAGCGTAATGAGTCAGGGCAGGTCCTGATAGGAGTCATCGGAGGTTGGAGACTAACTGCACTGACTACACAAGGATAATTCGGAACTAATAGCATGTTAAAGCTTGATGTTAAGCTAAGCTGGACTAAGGAAAGTATTGTATAACATACTAGCTAAGACATATGTAGCTTTAGAACCACTGGGTACGCATCACTATGAGGAGGTAAGGGTGAAGAAGCATAGGAGACTCTGCCACAGTAATAAGAGTCACCAAATGTAAGTGGGATCTCCAGGATTCATCTGACACCACAGGTATGCGTTGCCTTTAATTGCCCTCTTGTAGAGCCAGGCGTCATGTTGGAGCTTGTAAGCAGTGGAGGGTTTGCCCCGCACCAGTTTTATAGGGGAATGTGCTGTGTTAGGGGATAATACAGGCTATGAACCTGTAGAGCCAGCCTGTAATGAAAGATTAACATATAAAGCAGGCTGCACACACCAACTATATGGTGGGTCACATGCATTTGGTACCACAGAAGTATGCAATGGGGTTAATTGAGAGCACAGTGACATCTGTCTCGTGATAAATGGTTGGCATTGGTTGAACTGGTTATGCTAACTGCTAGTACTGTCATTATAAAACAATTGTTTAGGTTCTGGCATAAAAAAGACAGGAGGTATGAACATAAATACTAGTTTAGACGGTTAGTGTCTTCGTCTTATAGGCTTATGAGAGTCCCACAATGGTGAGCCATCTGCTGCAGAAATCCGTGTGGCCCACAGTGCCCATCTTGATGCTGCACATCGGTATTTGTCAGCGGTTAGCTGATTCCCTTGCTGATGCTCTGCATGTTTTTTCCTGGCTGATCTGCAAGGGTATCAGAGCGATGTGACTGAGGGGGGACATCCCTCCAGGCCTTCGCTAAAGTTGGCATCTTTAGGCCACTGTCTCAGTGGCTCAGTAAGTCCCGGACCTTCTCACTTCTGGGGGGGAACAGGAGGCGGTTGGAAACTGCGAGGTTGGCCGCCCCTCAAGGCCTCGACTTCCAGGTAGGCCTCGGTCGTGTCACCGGTTCTGCAACCGCTAAAATGCCGGTGCCATTGTTGGCAGTGGTGGTCCCACTCTTAGCAAGGTAGTTCAGGCTTAGTGAAGACCGATGTAAATATTGTAAATAAGTTTTTTAAATCATCGATGCTGCATGGAGATCCAACTGTGTGCGACCGTTCAGCTCAGCAGCCCGGCCCTGCCCTGTCAATTCTTTCTTTAACCCCTTAAGGATACAACATGTGTGACATGTCATGATTCCCTTTTATTCCAGAAGTTTGGTCCTTAAGGGGCTAAAGAGCGATTCTAACACTTTAGATGGACAGTTCATTGCATGAATAACCAAATATCAATCAATACCCACAAAACGAAAAGAGTGTGAGTAAAAACATTGTCATATTAAAGATTTTAAAATAAATTGGACTAGCGACCTAGAAGACATTCAGAAGATTAAGTGATACCCGTAATCAGTTAATTGAAATTAGCATTTTAAAAGTAGATAAAAACGAGATGTTGACTTAATATCATCTTCACCTAATAACAAACTAAAATCTATAAATTATAAACCCCCAGTAGTAGGGACTAGGTGTAGGGACATAAAAGCTAGGTTGAATAAAATGAAGAGTTCCAAAATGAGGTTCTAACTCTTCATTATTCTACAAGATATTTTTAAACTGTGAATCAAAAACATTTCTTACAATAGTAAGAAAGTGGAAAAACACCCAGAATACGTGTAAATTAATATATAAAATATACAACAACCTGATGGAAAATGTAATTCCATTACATTTTCCATCAGGTTGTTGTATATTTTATATATTAATTTACACGTATTCTGGGTGTTTTTCCACTTTCTTACTATTGTACATTGTTTCTCGGGTGTCTGTGAGGTACACCAGGGAATTCTTCCAGCTATACGTTTTTGTGTAGTGTATATATAATCCTTTATCTATAAAAACATTTCTTGTCTGGTTAATCTTTTACAAAGATCACCTCCTCTCCAGGGTATGTGTACTAGTTGGATCCTACAGAATTCAAGTGTTTTGGGACCACCATTGTGGACATTCTTAACGTGTTTGGACAGGGTGTGGTTCTGAAACTTTCTTTTTATGTTTTAAGTATGTTCTCTTAGTCTAATTTTCAACATACTTTTGTTTGACGCACATTGACTTGTTCCTGCTCGGTATATGTCAGATTTCAACTGGTGTAAGGCTTTAATCTTTGAGATTGAGTTATCAAGGCTGATTTATTGCTCAGACTGGTCAGAGCTAAGAAGAAACACATCCGGCCATCTTTGCTGTCAGGTCCCGCCTGCTTTGCGCTTTTATATCCCTAAAAATCTTAATATCTTTTTCGACGTGTTTCTATTTACATAGTTTGTCAGGTTGATATGTGTTTCTCAACCTCTAATGTAGAAGTACCACTACAGGGCTAAAAGAAATTCCTAAGTACACCTGCCTTGATAGTCATTTCTATTGGCACACTATAGTCAACAGAACAACTCCAGCTTAATCTAGTGATTCTGGTGTCTATATCCTGTCCCTGCAGGCATTTTAATGTAAATACTGCATTGTCAGAGAAAAGGCAGTGTTTACATTACTGCCTAGGGACACCTGCAGTGTCAGTCACTGAGACGGGCCCTAGAGGTGCTTCTTGGGTCAGTGCTGAACTTCCCCCATAGAGATGCATGTCTATAAGAAGACGCTGATTGGCGCAGAGCTGCATTTTGATGCGCAATAGCCTCTCAATAGAAAAGCATTGGATTGGCTAAGATAAAGTTTGATCTTTGCTAAGGGGGTGGAGCTTTGTCGGGGCTAGCAGAGACCGGAGTTAATCATCTTATTAACCGGAGGTAAGAGAGGGCCTTAACAGCTAATTAGACCTATAGACACATTTGTACTCCTGTAACTGAAAAGAAATAGCGCCTTAATGTGGTGCAGAATGTCCAGGAGCGGTTATGTCCAAAGATGGCTTATGTGTAAACAGTTATACTGAATATCTTTGGGCATAACAGCTCCTGGACATTCTGCACCACATTAAGGCGCTATTTCTTTTCAGTTACATTTGTTTGGACAGGTATTGGATGAATTCCTGTTTTTGTCCAGTATTTTGAGCAACCCACTATAAGTCAGACTCCCTCAATTCTGTGTGTTGCACTAGGCATACCTGATTTTTACATTTGTACTCCTGACACTTTAGTATTCCTTTAAGACCATCAAGCCTCCCTACCTTTTGGAGTGCTGAAGTAGATTCTTTTCCTGGGGTCTGCATTTCGGCCGAGTAGGCACCCGGCGTACAGGTAAGCAGTTTTCTACTCTGCCTTAGCGCACAGCCGGCCACCTACTGGGAGGGTAGTAAGATGGCAAGCCAGACAGCTCTTTGTTATGCACACCCCCAGGAGGGGGTGGGGTAGATTATATTAAACCCACTGTGCTGTATGAGTGAGTGCCCATAAGTTTACAATCTAATCTCATTCTATGCTTGACTACATTTTCCGATTGTATTGCTCCAGAAATTGCAGCTTTGTAAACAGAAAGTGCATATCTACAAAGGTCTAATCTAGCACATTGATTTCTACCACATCAAGCAAGAATAGTGTTAATCTTTCTATTGAAACTCACTCCTGGTTTTTACCAGTTGCATGCCGCTCCCTTCATACCTGCATGCTTATCTCACTGCCCTTTTTATTAAACTATTTATCTAGTGCCTTGCAAAATGTTAGGTTGTACTTTGTACCTGCTTAAAAATGCCATGGTAAGATCTGTAATAAGCAAAACGTATTCTATTACTTATTTTAGATGGATTGTCAACTCTAAAATGGCAAATGGTGGGAAAATGCCTTCACACACTTTAGGTTTTTATTTGGGGTGGAAGGGGGGGATACATGAGAAAAGTACATTTCATAGGCCAGTGCTTGCGTGTTTGACTATGTTCTGTTACAGAAGGATCCTGGTGGGCTTGAAGGCTGTTTCTGTATGCTCTGTCTGCATGGACAACTTTGGGGCTCCCATGGACTACTGCATAACTGTATACGGTGCTGGGAATATATAATGGTGTTCCAAGACAGAATAACATGCTAGATAAGGGGAGGCCTGAAGCTGAGGCAGTCCTTAGTGTCAGTCTGGAATATAGAAAGTGGGCTCTTGGACCCATACAAGAACATTTAACGGTTATGTAACTACATTGCAGAACTTTCTGTAATTGGAAGCATGACCTATCAATGTTGAACAGTTTATAGATTTTTTTTTTTTCTGTGTTTGCTCTTAAACCAGTGATTGTAGTGAATTGACAAGAACATACTCCTTCTGTGGGATGAGGAGGGAGACCGAGAGATGGAAAATTGTGACTTTTAGGTCATTCTCCTACTTTGCTTCTTTATTCTAGTTTATTTAAGTTATTTTGTACAAGTTCACTGTCCGTTCTCCACAATTTCCATTTGAGTGAATAAACTCTGGGATGTTCAGTTATTTGAAAGGCTGTATAGATGGTGTTGGTTTCACATGATTACCATGCTTTGTATATAGGATGGCATCATGCACGTGGTATCCATTTTCTTTCTACAAGTCTTGTGATGAACATCTTCCTTACTATCTATTTTTAAATTTCTCATTTCTGTCCTCGTTTCTGACTGCTGCCAAAGGTTGTGGTTTTTTTTTTGTTTTTTTTTGTTTTTTTACAACTTTGTTTTGTTTCAGCTAATGCTCCTCATTTACATCCACACACTCTTTACATCAGAATTGGCTATATTTGTCCCCTTCTCCTTGGGTGTATCTGGACTGCAATCTTAATGATGTTCAAGCAGCTATGGTTGACTTTTAGTGCCCTTTTATTTATTTTGTCAAACATTCTTCATTATTGACACATTTTTAGAGCACTACCCAAGTCCTCTGGAATCTGGATCAGAGGGGAAACATTTATAGCCTTACCGTAATGGATCTCTCCTCCACTGCATTGAGCAACAGATCTTATAGCTCTTTCGGAACAAATTACTGCTGTGTTTGGTTATTAGCTCGACAAACCCCGTTTAGGAATCCCAAGTTAAACCACAAAAAACATTAACTTTGCGTTGCTCACAATTTGATCAACAGACCGGCTTATGGATTAGTTTTTTCTCGATTTTTTTTATTTGGTTACTATGGCAACATCAAATCCCCATCCTTTCAACAGCTAAAGGGTTAAATAAGTAAGGAAGAGCTTTATGTACAAATAGAGTGGAAATCACACTTTTTTTCATTTAAATTAAAAGAATGTGCATTTGATCGAATGTTGTTAACCCCTTGAATACCAGTAAGTGACCTTGCATGCACAACCCCAAAAACAAGTGATTTGACCGTCACATCATTAGTTAAAGTAATTGCAGTGACAATTTGCAAATACTTATTTTTTATTCCATGATTTCTCTATCTAGTATTTGTTTTGCTAAAAAGCCTCTCTATTAAAATGTCTTTTTTTATTTCATTGTAGTCGAGAAGACTTCCAGCGAATACCAGAGCTGGCAATCAATCCTCTGGGTGATCGAATTATCAATGCATTTTTTATTGAAGGGTAAGATTATTATTATTATTATTATTATTATTATTATTATTATTATTATTATTATTATTACTTTTAGAATTCTACCATCTTAGTTCATACGTGCTGTGATTCCCAAGTACATGGCCTGGGGAACGCAGTAGTTCTAGCTTGACGTTCAGGATTTGAATTGGCCTGGTTAGATTTGATCACAGGTCCTTTGTCCAGTATGCAGGAGAACATGGTGCACTGCTAGTTGGCCTGTAGAAATATAGTAAATTCAATTCAAAACCTTTTTTCTTTGTGATCTGCTGCACATGTTCAAGAGTACAAAATTAAATGTTCGTGACATATCCTGAGAGACTGTGTGGGATCCTATATAGCGGCGTTTCCCAGTTGGTGTTCCACGGAACCCAGTTTAGGGATTCGGCCCTGGTCGTGTGCCGCTGTTAATTGAGGCGGGCGGCGAGGGAGCACTCTCCCCTGCTCAGCTCCCTCGGTCGCACCGTAGTGATGCCGGAGCCGGAATATGACGGCACTCTGGCCTCTGCATCACTAAGAGGTGCCCGAGGGAGCTGAGCAGGGAGATCACTGCTCCCTCACTGCCAGCCTATCGGCCCAGCAGCATCACTGGACTACAGGGACTGCACACCAGTCGCCCAGCCCACTGAACCCCAGGGAAATAGAGACTCTATGCCAGCACTCCCAAAGGTAGGGAGGCTGGGTGGGGTGAAAAAATTGTCTGTTAAGGAGTTTGTATGTGTGTTTGTCAGTGCGAGTGCATGTGTATGTATGTGTGCTTGTCAGTGAGCATGTGTGTGTATCCGATGGGGTTTATGTGATGCTGCTTTTTGTATTTACGTAATTTTGATGAATAAAATTTCAGCTTCATATTTTGTGATTCCTTTCAGCAATGCCTAGTGACAGAACACTGGCAATCTTGTAAATACCAGAGTAGTGACCGTTCCCATTTAAACGTTTAGGAGGTCCATTCTAATAATGTAGAAAACAGAACATTAGAGTAAAGTTCTAACCACGGTGTAATCACCATGGAAACCACTGGAATGTTGCTTTTTATTCTGTTTGTTTCAATGTTAATTGCTTCTTATTCAGATGATGGTATTAATGAAACTGTCATAAACCCCTCCCCTCTTTGTGTGCACATCACATCATCTTCCTTCTATAAATGTTTATCTCCCATTTCTCCAGAGAGGACCAGGTAAATTTCCGTGGGTTTATGAGAACGCTGGCTCATTTCCGGCCAATAGAAGATAATGAAAAGTCCAAAGATGTGAGCAGTCCTGAACCTCTGAACAGTCGAAACAACAAATTGCTGTGTAAGGGTCATGTTATTTCTAAGCCTTTCCATGCCATTTAGCAGTCTTGTTTCTGACATCAAACATTTAGACCTAATTTATTTACACCTCGCTAACTACTTACTCTAAAGAGCATGGAATTTCATCTATACATTGTGCTAGCAGTTTTACTAGAAAATGTGTAGATTGGGAAAAAAAAACGGCCTAATAAACATATATTTAAAAATAGACGCTATTCCAAAGAAATGATTTACAGGGATAGCAGAAGGGACCTCCCACAAGAGGTCTGCTTTTAACCTGTGGTTGCTGTGGTAACTCCCTAGCTATCGTTGGCTAACGAGGATAAGAGCAGAGTGACGTCCGTTCATACTAGGGATTATTTATTTTTTTAGAGCCGATACCAATATTATGTACATTTACCATTTTGAAAAAATAAAAATAAAATAAACTATTTCTACACAAATCTACTGTTAACTGAACATGTTTATTATTATATTTGTTTTATTAAGGTAAATGCACAAAATATACATGCCAGTCAGAATTTTTTGTTTTCAAGAAAGTGTGTGTGTGTGTGTGTGTGTAGTGGATGCAGTGAGAGTATTTGATTAGTGAATTCAGTGTGTGTGTTTGTGTAATGTGTATATAATGAATGTTAGAGTGTGTGTGTGTGTGTGTGTGTGTGTTTTAGTCCCCCCTCCCTGCTTCTTACCTGGCCAGGTAGGGAGGATATGGCATTACCTGGGGGCCAGACCCTCTCTTGCTTACCTTCAAGGCAGCTTCCCTGTCTAACTCTTGCAGCCTGCGTGCCGCGCGGAGCGTTGCCCTGGTAACCTGTGGCACCGCTCTGATGGCCGCGGGACTTGCAAGATTTAGACAGGGGAGCTGCTGGGCCCCCCAGGACTCTGATGGTGGCCCTGGTCTGCAATATCGGTATCTTTATTGGCCAATACCGATATTGCTGAAAATACAGAATATTGGCCAGAGTGTTAATCGGTCGATCCCTAGTTCATACGCTGGCAATGAAGCCGGTGTGTCTGTGTCATGGAGGAGATTTGTGCTGCTTGGGGAAGATTCCCAGAGCAGGACAAACCAATGAGGAGTGAGGGCAGACTGGAGGTGGGTGTTACAGAAATATCGTGGTGGAGGAACTGGTCAGGTAGGTGCCTGACTGGTTCCCTTTAAATACCTTGTCTTGTGGGGTTTTGTACCAACCACCAACCTTTTGTGATCCATCTACTGTTTGGCCGATCTTTTGTAAGTATAACTTTTCTTCCTCTCCGTTTCAGTTGCTTTTCGACTATATGACCTAGACAAAGATGACAGGATCTCCAGAGATGAGCTTTTGCAGGTACATTGTCATGTATTAGTGGCTGCGTATAAACACTTGAACATTAGTGTATTTACAGTTGCCATAGTAACCCTAATATTGGTATTGCGCAAAATGTAATTAACTGTTTTTCTTCTTCCACTTCTTCTATAAGGTCCTGCGCATGATGGTGGGAGTGAATATATCGGATGATCAGTTAGGAAGCATTGCTGATCGTACTATTCAGGAAGCTGATCAAGATGGAGACGCCGCTATTTCATTTTCAGAATTTGTCAAGGTCTGGTAACTCTGTGTATTTAGTTTTGAATATAGCTTCAATTAATTGGGTTAAAAACTACTAATGTAAATCTATCTTTATATTTATTTGGAGGAGGTCTATTAAAGAGACACTGCAGGCTGGAGCTGACCCATCAATTTAAATTGGTTTGCATTCTATAAATAATGTATTATAAATATGAGAAATGTACTCCTGTTTGAAGTTTGCAGTTTCTAGTCTCCTCCAATGTGGCAGTGACCACAAAACAGGAAGTTCTAATCATAATGTTCTTTTCTTTTAATTGAACTACTGAGCTTATCCCAAAATCACAAATCGCTAATAATTACACTAGAAAGTAGCTTGGCTCATTATTCTGGTCTCTGGTGTCTGAACTCTCAACTATTTAACGCAGGAGTTAAAATGCAGATATTATATCCAAAAAGAGTCTTGAGTTCAAGGTGAAAAGCCGTTTTATTGGATCATCGCGTACAGAACTGTGTGTGTTGATCCAATAAAACTGCTTTGCACCTTGAACCCAGTTACTGCCTGAAGCCTCCTTTTGGATGTATTATATGCAAGAGATTTGCGGTTCCTTCATCTTAGCACCCCCTGGCTCCTGGAATGAGGGCAGTCCTTTTCTTGTGATAAAATGCAGATTTGTCTCTAGCTGTTTAATATGGCACTTTGCAGAGATTAGATATGCGACAGGCACTGTGATATACACTGGGAACTCACACTGAATATCTGTCATCATACTGTGTAGGAGTAGGTCTGCCTCTGTTATGCTCATAGGAAGGGTCTCTGTGACTTGTGTGTCGTCTGACATGATCATTTCTTATTTTTCAGGTTTTGGAGAAAGTTGACGTTGAACAGAAAATGAGCATTCGTTTCTTACACTAATCTCAAAGACTGGACATCATGCTGTAAAAACGGAGTTTTCTCAAACTTTGCACAGTCCGATCCTATAATGTTTTGTGACCTTACTTACAGAAAACTCTAGTTCATTAGACAGTGCGAAAATCACGTAATTTGACAAAGAAAGACGTGCTGCTTATTTAATCATTAAAAAAAAAAAAAGTATAGGGTCTCACTCAAATTAATTATTATACTTTGCAAACTTGTTGTTTTTATCCTAAGATACCCAATTTGAAAATTTCTGTGATTTATACCATGCTGGTAAGTGGGAGAAAATCATAGGGGGTCACTTTCCAGAAGGTTGAGAATCAAGAGTCGTACCTGATTTTTGATGGTGAGCGGGGAGGGGGGGGTAGTATTTTATAATGTGTGTTCTGTTCTAAAAAGTTGTGCAAAAAATGTTAAGCAATAGGAGTCACCAAAGAAATGTGCCTGTTGCTTCCGCAGGTTTCATGGTGATTGCCCTCCTTATCGTATTTTAGACCAATTTTTAGAACCAAACACCTTTTCTAAATCTCTGGGGTGGACATGCTTAATGATATAACTGGTGGGGTCAAAATATCATCTCTGCTTTCTATATCATTGTATCGAGACCTCTGTCACCCCGTTTTTGCCACTCCAAGACCAGATGGTAAATTGTGTTTTAACTAAACCTCTAAGGAGGTACTGATGTTTTGGACAGATTAATATTTTAATGTAATGTAACTATAAAATAATGTAAGATATTGCTAAAATAAAGATGTATGCATCCTATTTCTCGAACTGTATACCAATTCCCAAATCCAGTGAGTTATCCAAGCGTTTAAGTGGATTGCCTTTGTATTTTGGGTTGCACATTGTGTGTGTGTGTGTGTGTGTGTGTGTGTTTATGGTTTGTTTCGCTTACATAAAATTGCTTAGCACAGAGTTCTATTGCTGCCTTAAAATATCAGCTATACTTGAATGTGTGTTAAAAACCTGATGAGAAATTCAAAGACATTTTGTAAAATGTATGAAATCTGCATATTTTTACTCGTATTCTTCTAGAATTTTTTTTTTTTTGTAGCAGACTGGAGAGCTGCCATTAATTGTATTCTTACCTGTATTTTCCAGTCGTGAAATGTTGTTTGAATTCCAGCTCCATTTTTGATTTGTGTTCAGGTTTAGTGTTTTCAGCCAATCAGAATACAAGGTCAGGTTATATTCTCCCAGGTCACACTGCAAATTGCTTGTGGTCTGTAAAATACAGAACATCTCTCAACACTAAAGGGTAAAAATTATTTTTACATAAATATGCATACATCTGTGTGCGGTGTGTGATATAACATCCATTTATGTTAAGGACCTAGCTTACACTTGGTTTATTGAGCCATATTTAAGTCCTCTTTGATCAGAAGCACCACTTATCATACCAAAGACATTGCTCACTGATTGGTCAATACCAGCTTAGTATGAGTTTTTAAGATCCCCAGCTTTTAACACAATACCAAAATTGGATAAGTGGTGCATATGATGAGGCTTCAAGATGGTTGCCCTCACGGACTAAGGGTCCGCCAAGAGATGTTTTGAAAAGTGTAATTTACTTACATAATTATTACAATTATTATTGTAATGCAACATGTATTACACATAAACGCTTATTTGGAATAATAATTCAAACTGATGTCAGTTTTACTTTAATATTCATACTAATAAAACATTTATTTGTTTTATGTGCAGAACTGGTATGACCATTTTGAGTATTGTATTAACTGCTTTCTCTCCAATTTAGATTGCAATATGTATGGTGAATTATATATTTATTAGATCTAGATGAGTGTACAATCCTAAATAATTTCAAAGCGGATTCTTGACATAATCCATTAGGCAAATTTATGTTTAGTGTGGATTCTCCAATTTAACAAATTAAACCACTTAAGGACTGAGGCAGTTGTACAAGTTTAGATCAAAACAAAACCTTGAATTTGTAAATCGTACTTCACCTCTTTCATATTAAATGCACCCACACTTGTATATCATTTTGTTCAGGAGAAACGGGGCTTTCATTTAACATCAAATCTGTATATATTAAATATAATTTAATATCAATAAAATTATAAATAAATGTGAGATTAATTTTTTTTTGTTCTGCATGGCATTTTAACTGTGTATGTCATAATGCTGTTACTGCAATAAAGTACACATATTTGTATTCAGCGATTTATCGTAAGAGTAAAACAGTACTCCCAATGTACAGGTTTTATGGTATTTTAGAAAGTTACAGAGTGAAACATAGCATGTTACATTTCTCAGTATACAAAGTGGCTACTAAAAAAGACTGGACATACCCCATTTTGCACCTTGGGTTGTCTACTTTTGCAAATGGTATGCCATTATGGGGGTAATTCTCATTCCTGGGCTACCACCCTGTAACTTTTAAAAACCCCATAAAACCTGTACATGGGTGGTACTGTTATACTCTGGAGACATAGCTGAATACAAATATATCAGTGTTTCAAAACGGTAAAACGTATCACAACAACTGTGTCGTTTGTGAGTGAAAAATGCAAAAAACTGCATTTTCACTGATGATCTCATCGCTGTGATATGTTTTACTGTTTTGAAACAACACTATTGGTGTTCAGCAAAGTTTCCCGAGTAAATCTGTACTCTCCATATACCGGTTTTATAGTGTCTTGGAAAGTTACAGGGTTAAATATAGGATGGAAGTTTGGATTATAACAGCTAAATTTTACTTTAAAGTTTTGGAGTCCCTGGAGTGCTACCTGAATACTATTTTGGTCTATACACTGAACAAAATTATAAACAAAACACTTTTGTTTTTGCGGTTGTGAGGTCGGTTGGATGTACTGCCAAATGCTCTAAAACTCCTTTGGAAACGACTTATGGTGGAGAAATGAACATTCCATTCATGGGCAACAGCTCTGGTGGATATTCCTGCAGTCAGCATGCCAATTGCACATTTTCTCAAAACTTGCAACATCTGTGGCATTGTGCTGTGTGATAATACTGCACATTTTAGAGTGGCCTTTTATTGTGGCCAGCCTAAGGCACACCTGTGCAATAATCACGCTGTCGAATCAGCATCTTGATATACCACACCTGTGAGGTGGACGGATTATTTCGACAAAGTAGAAGTGCTCACTAATACAGATTTAGACAGATTTGTGAACAATATTTGAGAGAAATAGGCCTTTTGTGTACATAGAAAAAGTCTTAGATCTTTGAGTTCAACTCATAGTTACTGCATGCACAGTGTTATTTTCTCTGCTGTGGGGTTTAATTCTCCTGCAGCACGTAGTTTGTTAAACAAAAGAAACGAAAAGCTAATGCATTTGGTACTTGCCCTTTTGTTTCATTTATATTTTGTGTGTAGGGCTTTAGTTTAAGTTTTAGTAAACGAATACGAAAAAAACACGAATTTTCGGACGAAAACGAATGCACATGTCTAATTCTCACTACTTCATTTCTAACTATATCTCCCATCCTGATCTGGGTTTTTTTTAAGTTGGTGCATTTATAGTCTTTTATTTTATGTTCCTTTTTTTTTATTCTTTATTTTCATAGTGCATAGATTAACATACAGGCTTGTCATGCTACGACAGCAGTCACGAGCATTTTTTTTTTTTTTTTTTTTCATACAATTAGATATAGTGTCATAGCATGTGAGAAATTGCATATTTTTTATGGTTTCAATGCACACGGTTAAATAAAAATACTAGCAATCATGAGTCAAATATATGGTAGCTGGTTAACATCATTAAACAAGGGGATGAACAGACAAACTAGTATCACGGCTTGTTATAATGATGTGAGTAATCTAGCATTGGTGTGTGATGGTTAGAAACTGTAAATAATAAGTCCGCTTTGTGGCCATTGGGTACTGTGTGCGCCGTGAGAGCTGATATAAAGAGTAATTGTGTCCCTGCAGGAGAACAGGCATACATTACAGGGTATCCCTTCATCCTATGCTGCAGATGGGCCATCGAAGCTTGGTAGGCTTCATGTTCAGCAGGGTAGCGTTATTCTTCCTCAGGAGCGGTTGTGTGTTGGGCCAGGCTCCCTGTATGCAGACCGCAGTAGGTGAGCTGCACCAGCCTTTCCACCCTCCGGAGCCCAGGCCTTAAGGGAAGCCCAGGCTGCATGTCCAGGGACTTTCCATTTGGCAGGGTTACGACCTGTGGGCGCTCCACGCGTCTGGGTGCCTGGGCGGCTTGTTGGCTGTGTCTCCGGGTAGGCCCCCTGCTCAGTGCAGGAATCGTGTACCCTCTCGATGGGTCAGCGACCCATGTGGGTTTCGGCTAGTGATGCGGTGCTAGAACGCCTGGCATAGTCGCTGGAACCGGGATTCAAAATCTTCCCACCAGGTCTGGATGTCTGCTCCTTCTTTGGTATGTGGAGGCTGAGGCTTGGTGGCCATCTTGTGCTCACCATGCGGTCCTCAGGAATGGGAGATTTTGTAGTTGCATGTAGGTGGCTTTCCCCAGTGGAGACCGGGATATCCCCCACCCGTCCAGAAGGGGGTGTGATGGGTTATCCGGTTTGTCGCTTGTCATTGAGTGTCCCAGGTGGGGAGATTGGCCGTCAGTCTTGTTAGGCCTCGCGGCAAGGCGGTTGGAATCTGTGTTGGAGTGGCTGGCTGCATAACTGCTCATGCCCCCGTTCTGCTTGGTGGTAGGATGCTGCTCGGGCCAAGTCGTTTTTTGGGTATTCTAGGGCAAGAAATGCTGATATTCAACCCTGTTTTGCAGGAGCTGAGCTGAGACACGTCTGGCCGTCTTGGCTGTCAGGCCCTGCCCCCCTTTATGTTCATTCTTTATTACCTTTTTTGTTTTTGTTTCGCTAAGTGTTTCTTCTTTCACTGATAGTCTCATAAATTTATGTTCACTGGCTTCCTGTATCCTGTAGGAGTCAATTCAAAGTATGAACCCATACCTATAAAGCACTCAATTCTAGCCCCTCTTATATCTCTTCACAGATCCGCAGGTATGCCCCTTGTTGGTCTCTCCGATCTGCCTGTAACCTCTACCTCACATACCTGTCTCTTGCTCTCTCCTAAAGGGCAGCACTCTACTCTCTCCTCCAGCTCTGCTTCACTCCCACCTTATTTGATTGCTATTTCCTGCCCTAATGTGTTTTATACCCCACCTCCTATAGACTGTAAGCTCATTTGTGCAGGGTCCTCTTCAACCTATCGTTCCTGTAAGTTTTCTTGTAATTGTCCTATTTATAGTTAAATCCCCCTCTCATAATATTGTAAAGCGTTCCTGCAGTGCCCCTTCCCATGTTTCTGAAGGGGTTAAAACCCTTTCAGTGACTTACCTGAATCCAGTGCCGATTCACACTTTTTAAGTTTTAAGAACCTGGAAGTCCCTCTAGTGGCTGTCTGATAGACAGCCACTAGAGGAGGACTTAACCTTGCAAGGTGAATATTGCAGTTTATAAAAACTGCAATAATTACACTTGCAGGGTTAAGGGTGATGGGTGTTGGCACCCATACCATTCCAATGGGCAGAAGTGGTCTGGGTGCCTGGAGTGTCCCCTCTAAACGATTGAAGACTAGGGGAGAGTTTGATTGCGGTAGGCAGGCTATTCCATAGGAAGGGAGCCGCCCGCGAGAAGTCCTGCAACCGTGAGTTGGTCATCTCCCCAAACAGTGCAGAGAGAGGAGACAAAACTGTGACTGTCCCACTGAATCCAGGACTGTTGGGAGGTATGTATATAAAACCCATGTATTAAATCTTATAGCCATTACACCTGGGATGTTGTAGAGTGTAAGCTCTTGGGGTACTCTGCCAGCTTTTATAACTGCAGTGTGAGTGCCAGGCAGTGCCAGCCTGCCCAGGGCAATATCTACACACTGTATGGAGAAATACACTCCTAACATTCCATGCCACTCACTTCCAGCCAATCACAGAGGATATGCTAATATCTGCGTCAGCCAGCGCACGCCCCCATCCAACTGAAGCCCTGCTCTCTGTCCTGACCCCGCCCATTGACCTTCCCAGCGGGGGCGTGGCTAGCCCTCTGCGTCATGCGATCTCTCGGAGGCCAGAGACTCGCTCAAGATGGCGGAGTGAGGAGGAAGTGAGAGGCCTCGCTGGGCCCCGGGATCCCAGGGGCCCCAGTGTGCGCGAGCAGGGAACCCTCACCGGGAGCCGAGTTATCCTCATTGGATTTATCTGTAATGCTGGGCAGAGATGGTAAGGGATTGGAATGGAATGGGACTATAAGGGGCGCTGTGTGCCAGACCGAGGGGGAATAATAATAATAACATAGCTTCTAGAATCCCATGTTACTATAATATTAATAATAACATAGCTTCTACAATTCCATGTTAATATAATAATAACATAACTTCTAGAATTCCATGTTAATATAATAATAATAACAACATAACTTCTAGAATTCCATCTTAATATAATAATAATAACATAACTTCTAGAATTCCATGTTAATATAATAATAACAGAGCTTCTAGAATTCCATGTTACTATAATAATAATCACATAGCTTATAGAATTCCATGTTAATACATTATTATTAATAATAACAGCTTCTAGAATTCCATGTTAATATGATATTAATAATTACATAGCTTCTAGAATTCAATGTTAATACAATATTATTATTAATAACATAGCTTATAGAATTCCATGTTAATATAATATTAATAATAACATAGCTTCTAGAACTCCATTTTAATACAATATTAATAATAACATAGCTTATAGAATTCCATGTTAATACAATATTATTAATACAATCATATAATTCATGTTAAATACATTATTATTAATAATAAAATCATAGAATTCCATACAAATACAGCCATGCACATAGGGTGACATTTATTACAGACAGGACTTGGGGGGGAGATATTATTATTAATAATACAATAATGTCTAGAATTCCATGTAAATACAGCCATGCACATGATATGTCTTATTACAGACAGGACACGGGGGATTATTATTATTATTATTATTATTATTATTAATACAAAAATTCATAGAATTCCATGTAAATAAAGCCATGCATTTGGTGACGCATCTGCTTACAATTAAACTGATATATGACAGCAAACAACTGAATTACTGGATAACATTAATATATTGCATTCTAAACTCAATATTATATGTTCGGGATAAATGCTCGATACTAAGTGTCTATTGAATGCTGTTTATAATACTAGCAGTCAAGTATGATAAAGATTATTTAAAGATTACAATGTTTACTTGTAGGATACAGTTATTGACTGTTGGCTTTCATTATAACAGTAATGGTCATTTTTGTTTTGTGTATGTGCTCCAAATGTTTTCTTTTAAATTTGCCAGATCATTATGTGGGATGTATGTCAGAAATATCTGGGGTGCAAAGGTACCTATTATTGCAGTATTTCATCCTGTAATATAAGACTGCTCAATTTAGGTCTGTGGGTTGTTATGGTGAAGCCCCCATCATCTCCCTCATTTGATGTCAGTGTCTACTCAGATTAATTTAAGTAGTTGTAAGACCATGGCATCAGCACTATACGCTTGTTATTGAATGATAGCAAATGAAGTGGTCACACATGTGAAACGTGTGTTAAAATGTGGTGTACACAGACAATGTGATTGTAGTTAGAAAAATATTTGCGCTTATTAGATAACTGCGTGTTTTTTGACCTGAATAACAATGCACAGAGCTATTACGGTGAAGTGTTTATATACAGATTATTGCAGAGTTGACCCTGTTGTGTGTAAGAAGACATGCTTACCCTTATTGTGATGGATCTTAAATCAAAATACACAGCAGTGATCAAATGTACACACACTCTATTTAGAGTTTTGTTTGCTGGAATTTTTCTATTTTTTTTTTACCGTAGTATTGGACCTTTTAATTGTCTATTAAGCAGCCTGTAACATAATTTACATCCAGTAAACATAATTTGTGATCACTAATTTTATCATGTTGTTTATGTAATGTCACCAGCACCAGGTATGATTTAGGGAAAAGAGAGAGAGAGATGATTTTGCTTGAGCCTGACTTCATGATTTTTAGCTAGACACATGAGAAATGTAGTGTTTTATTTGACGTCTGTTGCTTTGTGTTCTCCTCTTGGTTGATGATCTTAGGGAGCTAAAGGTATTTTCCAAACACAGTAAGCCTCCTTTGATCATTTATGGTACGCGAGCCAATGTACCGTGCCCTGTCTTCCATTCTCTGCGTTGGTTATAATTGCAGCTTTTGCTGGCATTTCTGATGTTATACTGTAAGTCCGTTCCCACGCAGATATGTCACAAGGAGAAAGTAAGCTCTTTGGCCTTAAATGTATCACACATGTCCCCTTATCATAAAGTAGGGTCTTGCATGCCATTGGACGAGAGAGCATTTGTTGCCGTCATGTTCATCAGTGTAGCTATTGATAAGATAAAAAAAAAAATGTTTATCACCCAGCAGGTTTCATTCATTGATAAAATTGCTGCACAGCGCTGCTGTACGTATTATATGAACCCCTGTATTCTAAAGCATCCTAGGGGCTGCTTACTGCTCCCATTGAAGATAATGGGAGTGTGCAATAGGCTGCATGTTTCTGCTAATTTTTTAGTGGGAGGGGAGTTTGCTGCAGAAGACACACATCCAGTGGATTTTCAGCAGAGGAACTTCGAACGTGTGAGTATCTTTTTATTTGTAAGTATCTCCGGCTTGAAATGCATTTGATGTTTTGTAACATTGCATTAGAGATTATATGTGTAATCTATTTAGCTTGCTTTCTCACTGAAATGGTTTCCGTGAACTTTGACCCATCCAGTAATATTGAATTAAAGAAACGAATATACTCAATCTGTTAGTCGTTTCTAATGAGCTGCTGAGATTCTGAGGGCATTTAAAACCAGAATGTGTTTATAATGCTTCATTAAACATAATGGAAGGCATAGTGATACAGTAAGTGAGTTAAACATTTACTCTATGAAATGCAAAACTCATTGACCTCTCTTGCACTCGGGCTTTGGAAATGTGGCTTTCGATGTGTCCATTGAAACCTCGTCAATGTTCTGCTATCCTTCATAAACCAGAACGATTGAACTCTTTCCAAACTGATAATACTTTGGCACAAATGCAGTGGAAAGCTTCCCAGTCACAATGACAGCCTTTTTGTTGTTGTTATGATATAATGATGTACCAAAACCTATACTGTGAAAATAAACACTTGCAGGTTTTATTTCTAGTTTTGCAAATATGCTTCAGAGTTTCTCTTCTCCTACAGCTCTAACGGATAAGGATCACCCCCACACTCCCTGCTTGAGGAAAAAAGACCAGCACGCCACCATGTCTACAGCAATGATCGCAGAGCTCCCGCGTGCTTCTGTCACTGACATTGATTGATCCTGCAGATGTCTGCTGCAGCGTTTTCTGAAGGTCAAGGGAAGATCACAGGGTTCCAAGGCCCACACACATCGCTGGTGAGCAAATTAGATTTAGCACCTGCAAAAAATAACAATGTCTACTGTAAGAATGCCTCTGTACCTGTGCTGACAACATTGCATTGAGCTGTATCTAAGGGCTCCGTGCTGGGGCTTTGATGCGGCTTTTGTATTGTTAATACAGGAGCTAGAGTTATAATTAGAAACTCGTGTGTGCAAAGAATCTTAAAACTAGTAACAGTTTTAAGTTGATCAGCACTGCATTTGTTCTACAAATAACACTGTTTGCTATGTGCGATTGTATAATTTAACAGGAGGCGTATTATTTGTTTCATTTAGCAGATTTATTTTTTATCTTCAGCGTGCTCTTTTTTGACATCAAGAAATGGAGACTGACAAATTAAGGGAATATACTGTAAAATGGTTTCCTTTCTGTTATAAACGGGGGGGTTTTTTTGTCCGCATTAAGACTTTTAATATGCGAAAGTAAATCTTTCACAAATGTCAGGCTTTTACGCATTGTTATGGAGAGATTAAAAAAAAAATTTTTTTCTTCCCATTTTCATTTTGATGGTTGCTTGCGTTTTAAGTAGGCCAGGATGGGTTTAAAACCCACTGGGGAGTAATCCAAATCTGCTATTGCAATAATCTGAGCATTTGAAGGGAACATATGCTTTCTCCGCACAGGAAGTAAAATTTATTCTCATACCAACTAACATCTCAAGACAATTAGGAAGAAAAATCAAAAGGGTTTTTTGTTGTTGTTTTTTCTCCGTCATTATTTGCAAGGGAGGAAAGATTCTGTGCAGCCTTTCTCCAGTGAGCCAGGCAGTCTATTAGACTGTAATGAAACAGCTCAACTCCCAGGTAATCCATCATGCTAGCACAAAGCTTGTCTACTGCTGCCCACTGCAGAGGTTCATGCTGGTAATGCAGATATAAATTGTGCGCTTTTTTATCTTCCTTTCCATGACCATCTTTTTTTGCAGCACAAACAAACGGGGGCACAGATAGGTGAATGAAAGACCTCTTTCCTGCTAATTGTCATTTTACTGCAACAAAGCTTTGTATCTTTAGTTAAAAACACTTTAGCTTCTTGAGGTCAGATGACATGTCACGCTATAAAAGGGTTTACGGGATTAATGTGTGGGCATTTGTAGAAAGCAGTGATCGAAACAATGCGGATGTAACAGTTACTCTGCACCGAAAAAATATATATGGCCGGGGATAATGAACAAAGTCATTTGATGGGAATTAATGGAAGTGTGTACTAGAAATAGAAGACCCAACCAGATAACATAATGTAGGGGAAAAAAAGAAGGGAGAGAATAAAATGTGTAGGTGCCTATAGTGTCCCTTTAAGTAATTGGTAGCGGATGAGGATATAGATTGTTAGAAGCTACACTCACATATTATCACACACACAAATATAACAAACCATTGATACGCCTCAATGCCACTCACACACCTGTATGTATAGCTACCAATTTACATACATACACAAAGGCACACATGCAATATCGTTATTATTCTTTCTCACTGTCTGAGCTTCTAAAATGTATTAGACATTTTTTCTCTCCTGTTATAAACATACAGGACAAGCTGTACACAAGGGCTGTAATGGAACACACATTTATAAATACATTAGCATATATTAGGCTTGTAAAACAACCATCTGTGCATGCAAGTGTAACATAATAAAAATGTTAACACAAACTATGGCAGCGTGTGAATATAGAGGGGTGTGTGTGTGTATATATATATATCTGTGGAGGATCAGTGTGGGGGTGCTTAGAAGGGGGTGTATTTGTGTTGAATCAGTGTTGCTGTAAATAAAGAGGTGTGTGCGGTGGGTTAGTCTGGGTGTGCGTTTAGGGATGTGTTTTTGTGCTGAACGTTAGTGTGGTTGGTCTATGTAGGTGAGTGTAGTGATATGAATGTAGAGAGTGTATTAGCGTAGAGTTGCACTGTTGCTGCATTTCCTCTGTAACTAGTCCTCTTTCGTCTTCCATATTGCTTGTCCACTTTCTGGTACTCAATTGACCAAAAGCTGAGATTGTGAGATTAGTGAGCATTAGTGAAGTTGTTTTGGCTAGTGCTTAATCCAAACACACAGCACGTTGTTTACCCTATTCCCTTATTTTTTTTATTTATGGAATCCCCTCTTTTTGATAGCCTGAAAGTCTCTCTCCGAGTGCATTAAGCTGTGCTCCAATCAGGCGTACATAGTTATCAGACCTTACAGCAGTGAGAGACAACCCTCTGTGTGGGTGCATGGATGACCTCTGATAGGAGCCTCCAGCTTGTTTCTCACACACTGTTGGAAGTACCATATAGTGACTGTTTTATTTAAAATTACTGCTGTTCCTTTTTGAGCAATGTTTGCACAGCTTGCTTTCCAACCCTGGCCAGCTCACCAGGGCAGAATTTCCGCTTGTAAATAGCCAGTGTGAAGGGAAATGGAATACCTTAACTCTTAAATTAGTTCATAGCAGTGCACAGATGTATGGTTATATGCACAACTCTTCCACAGAAAATATATGGCGGTGGGAAGAATAGCATTGGTTTAAAGGTTAGCTACATCCTGGTCAATGGACACTTACTGTAGAAGCCACTGATTCTGGAGCATTGCAGAAAATCAAAGTATCTTTATTACTGTTGTAGTAACACTTGAACAGGCACTGAGAAATAAAATGCTAAAATTGCTTGTCAGGCCCTGCCCACCCTAAATATAGTAAAATATTACCTTCATTGCAGCGTGCTGGTGCTGGCTCTGCCCGATTTCTCTCCTTGGCTGAAATCATCTGAAGTTATGATCTGAGTTAATCACTATGTTTTACCATAGGTAAGCATTGAATTGGCTGAGACTGTGAAGGAGGCAGATTAGGGGCAGAGCCAGCACAAGCCAAACACAGCCCTGGCCAATCAGCATCTTATTATTAATAATATTGCCATTTATATAGCGCCAACAGATGCTGTCGCGCTTTACAATATTATGAGAGGGGGGAATTTAACTATAAATAGGACAATTACAAGAAAACTTTCAGGAACGATAGGTTGAAGAGGACCCTGCTCAAACGAGCTTACAGTCTATACAGAGATGAATTGAATCAATGCAGCTCTATGAGGACAGTGTCTGCATACAGAGGGTGGAGGCACTGAATGGAAGTACTGCTCACTACGCAGCACTGCCCCAGGAAGCACCTCTAGTAGCCATCTGAGGAGTGGCCGGTGGAGTTATCTCTAGGCTGTAATGTAAACACTGCATTTTCTCTAAAAAAAAACCAAAAAAAAAACCTGTGTTTACTGCAAAAAGCTTAAAGGGAATGATTATACTCACCAGCACAAATACAATAAGCTGTAGTTGTTCTCCTAACTACATTGTCCTTTTTACTGTTTTACAACAGTAGAAATCCATGTCTTAAATTGTTAATATTATCAGGAAGTATTACTTTACAGAGAGAGTAGTGGATGCATGGAATAGCCTTCCAGCTGAAGTGGTAGAGGTTAACACCGTAAAGGAGTTTAAGCATGTGTGGGATAGGCATAAGGCTACCCTAGCTATAAGATAAGGCCAGGGACTAATGAAAGTATTTTAGAAAATTTTGGCAGACTAGATGGTCCAAACGGTTCTTATCTGCCCTCACATTCTATGTTTAAATCCTCCGCACTTCATACTGACTGAATTATAAAACATCAGTTGTAAATGAATCCTTTCTCAGATATAGTAATGGCATTTATCGTGTTCTTTTTCATCTCTCTAGGGCTGACAGGCGTTGGGACACAATGAAGCTACAGGTTGATCCCTCAATGGAGAATTTTACCTCATGCATGTCTCGTGGACTCCATTCACCATTTATTGTAGGGTATCAACCGACATCTGTCCTCTCCAAATCGAAAAGTGGAGCTTTTCTGCTGAAATGCTCAGCAGTTTCCTGCAGTTTCTTGGGTCTTGACTTGAGAATTCCACTTGGGAAACGCCGATTCCACGAACATCACAAATATAGTACTGTGAGTTAGTTAATTGGTCTTAGAACAACCCTGAATTATCCTGGCCCTGCTCTGGTTTTTTTGGTGACGTATCACATTTAATGTCTGAAAACAGAGTTCACACTTTCTAAATCCCCTGATCATTTTTGAATGTAAGACGTATGGAAGAAGAGAGCATTTATAACACTTACAGCAGGCAGCGTTTATTCAGCACATTTAAAGCACTTAAGTAATGCTCGTGAAATGTATTTACCCACAAAATGATTAATGTGCAAATGTATTCTACATACCACGGAAGCTGCGCATTTATCAGGACCAGGATTAAATCCAACAGCATATCTTATTTATACATTTGTCGTTTATTTTTCTAAGGTTACATTTCCTATTTTGCCCAGTAGATTTGGAGTTCTTAATTCTTCAGTAATAACGGCAAGACTTATACTTGTTTGTAGACTCCCTCGTGGTATTATTATCAATGCCTGCTGCAGCTTGAATTATTTTTTTTTCTTTATTCTTCTAAATATTTCCAAAGCAAAAAAATAAATCCTACTTAAACTCTGATATAGAGTAAAATGCTAAAATTGGAATTCTTATAACAATGAGGAACGGAAGATCTTATCGCAGGACTTATCTACTGTTTCTTCCATCTGGAAAGAACTGCACCAATAAAACGAAACCATTTTAAGTAGGTCTCCTTTAAAATAGCATGCTTCCTCCGTATCTTAAACATCCTTATAGTGTAGATATTAATCCTCACACCCTTTTCTAAAGTGGGTGATATCATCTACTAATTATCAATCTTGTATTTTGATAGCTACCGTTTTATTTCCCTTCCATAAAAAGGTGAGATTTTAGCAGCTTATGATCAAAATTTTCTTCTGATCAAAATCTTTATCAGGTAGGCAAATCCACAATATTTCCAGGGGAATATTTGGACTGTAATCGTTTTCTGATTTTCTTCAGGTGTGGGTAACATCTAATTTTCATGGCTAGTCAAGTTCTGAACCTTCTTAAATATTAAGACGTTTTTGTTGTGCAGCTCAGGAAAAACAATTGCTGCGAACATTCGTTATTTGGAATGGTAAATTAACTTTTGGATTGGCATAAAACATTGCTGTATTATGTTTATATAACTTCTTAGGCCAAAATAGGAAATTATCTGGGAAAAAGGAACTTTGGGAGAGGTTCTGTGAGGAACAAACCAGGATCTGAGCTCTTGCTTTCACTGACATAGGAACCCAAGATCTATGATCTTCTAACTAAAGTACTTGGTGGAGACCATTTTTTGCTTCAGTCGTCCATAAACAAAAGATTTTCAGGAACAATATTCAATATACAATGAATTTTTTGTCTGAAAGTCAGTTCCTTGGTCCTTTACCTAAGTAAATACTATTGAAGTGTTTACTGGGATGAAGAGTGCAGCAAAACTTAAGTATAGACCATACTCTCACCCATAGCACTTTCACGTGTGGGCTGTTACCCATGACTCTCGGGTTCACTCAGACGTCTGTTTGTTACGTGCCATACAAGCACGTGCACACTTGGCCATTCTTTCCATAGTGCTGTGTGGGCACATGTGCCCTAACGCACCCAGACACACAACACCGTGGACGATTAAAAAAAAAAAAACTGGCATTGTATTCTGTGGAATAAAACTAAAGTTTTAATTGAAAAAATAAATAAAATGCTGGTTGTTTTGAAAAATGTACAACCAAGTTTCGGTTGTACCAATATTAAAGTGATAGTGCCACTTTTAACCCCTTAAGAACCAAACATCTGGAATAAAAGGGAATCATGACCTGTCACACATGTCATGTGTCCTAAAGGGGTTAAACTAGACATGTTGTTTGCACTCCAAATGCCTAAGATTGAAACTCTGCAAGTTTAGATTAAGTTGAAAACTATCAATTTTGCGAGGTGACAGATGATTATTTACAACTCCCAGTCTATCCCTTTTAGAATTTCTGAGAATTATGGTGTGGTGCTCATCACAAACTAATCACCCCATCTCTGTGCACTGTTTGATGTGTTTGTTTAATCTCAACTTGCAGCTCTAAAACTTTATTTGGAGATTGAAGAAAAAAAACACCATGTAAAATACATTTAAAAAACTGTTTTAGTAAGTCATACAAATTCACTCAATGTACAGGATGTGTGTAATTTAATGCACTAACCAAAGCATTAAATTACTCCCACCCTCCCCCCTTCTGTTTTGTAGAATTATATATTTTTACTCTCTGCCCTCTATGGCTATATGTTGCTTTTAACCCTTTATATATTTTTTTTCCTTCCATTTAGAGGTTTGATGTAATTATGGGAAATGTGCAATATTGACGTACATATGTATATTTTACTACTTGTGGACAAAATGATGTTACAAGTTGTCTGAGAACAACAAAATCACATATGTCTTCCATTTTTGAGATGTGTATAGTTCCATACAAGCATTTAGTGCTATGTAGCAAACTGTAGAACCACTTTAGGATCTGTGCATGCATTTAAGAGTTGTTTATTTTATTTTATTTTTCATGGTTAGTGACGAAACACACGATCTGTGTAAAGATCATGACTATACCTACTAACCTTTTTTTTTAAAAAGGTGCAGTATTGCTTTACCTTTTGCATCTGAGCGTACCCAAAAACTTTGTTCCCTTAAAACTACTGTACAAAGAAATATCTTTGTAACTTTTTTTTCTTTCTCATCTTAATGGGGGGGAAAAATGTTGCTGTTGTGGAATTGTCAGATATTTTAACAAGGAGCAGCTACAAAATGGCAGTCAGTCGTTACTGATCATACCCCCGTGTCTCACTATCTCTATACCTCCTTGGTCTGAGTTGGTGTTTTGAACTGTTTGTGTAGGTCTAGGACGCTGAGCGGTGAGTTATAAAGTTAAGGCTATTTTTCTATGAAAGTGATTTTAGCAAAAAAAAATTCTACGTTTGGTTTTAATAATAAGCCCCATTTATAGGTTCGCATTGGGGAGAGTAATACATTTGCCTAAAGTTTTCTCCTTGACACTTTAATTTTCCTAAATCTGGCGAGGCGTAGCTCCTAGAAACAGTTTGTACTTTCACATATCTGCAAGATCACAAAAGGGTGTACTTTTGAGCAATCCTGCAAGACTCCCTTGTAGACCTTCTTGCATAGCGGCATATAAAGTTTATTATATAAAACCACTGAGCATTGCTTAGGAAGATGCCTATTCATGTTAGCCATTTCATGGTACTGTACAGGTAACTTAAAGCTCTGCCTTTGCCATAAGATAAAGTATTTCATATTTTGTAATCTGTCGTTTTGATTGCGTTAGGATTTCAGGAAAAAATCTCCAACTTAGCTTCTTTTTTTTAAGTTTAATATTTGCATTTCTTGGTCGATTCTCTAAAATTCCTAGGTTTTGTGAATACATTCTGCAGTAACTGCTGATTGGCCTTTAGAGGCTGCTGCAAGCATTTGAAGAAAAAACAAAACTTCGTTATGATTACATATTAGGTAGGACTATATAATCGATAATTAAATGTCAGGTGGATGGGATATTAGTAGAGTCTTACAGCCTTTCCCAATGGTTAAATTCTGTGTTTCTATCTGGATTCCACAGCTCTTGCTTGTATGACTCCAAATGTAAGGGAAGAATGCTGCACCTTTTTATACTAATATGCTGTTTGTAAATGCACTCATAATATGGTGCAATGTTTAAATGCATGCTTGAATTTTAACACTTTATATATGTATATTTGGAATGCCAGTGCCTAATCGGCTATATAAGTAATGAACTAAACTTGGTGAGGACTGAGTACTTAAGTTAAGGAACACAACTCCAAAGGAAAAAGCAATAAGAATTCAGCTTTGAAGTAGCAGAAGTTTCAATTTAAAGTTTGTCTGTCTTGTAACCTTTAAAGATAAACATGAAATACCTCTGAAACTAGAATGCAACATAGCACAGTGTCATTCTGGATGCAAATAAAGCCATTAAATATTTTAGACCTTTGGTAGCAATAACCGTATTGCATGACTATATCTTTATTATACAGTAAAAGAATAGACTGTAGCTAGTTTATGCATTTTCTTGTTAGGCTTTATTATGGATGATTGGGTCTTTGTGTGTGTTTTAAATAAGGCTGCTTTTAGTGTAATTATTAATATTGCTGAGCAAAGAAACTTTAAAATGCTTTTTTTTTTTTTTTTTTTCCTCTAGTATATGGGTATAATACTGAAGACCACTAGTTCTCCATAATTTAGCAAGTAGTGGCACAGACCGCCAAGCTCATCTGCTTAGTAACAACATCGAAACTTGTCAGGTTCAGGTAACACAACGAATATAAAAAATCCTATAGTTCTTCTTAATGGGCTTGCATAGCGTTTAAACAAATTCTTAAATGAAAACTCCAAGCACCATAACCATTATAGAATGCTGTAATGGGACCAGTAATTCCCTCCCCATTGAAAGTGAATACATTATTTTGGAATAATTTAGAGAAGGCCGCACCAAAATTTTCATTTTTGGTAAACGTAAAATGTTGGTGACTGGATCAGGAGATACTTAGCAAATTTAAATATGTAAACATTACTGTTTTTTTTTTTGTTTGTTTTTTTTTCCTGTTGGGTATCCTCCAAAGGTGACCCTTGTTGGGTTTTTGAACTGCTAGGAATCCCCTGCCAGGTTTTTCTTTGGACAGCTTCCAGTTTGCCTGATCTGTGAGTAAGCTTTTTGTACTCTTGAACACGGTCAGTTAAAAGACCACGGACCACTAAAATTATCCAGACCCCATCATTTCAATAAATTCCGGGTCTAGTGGTCCTGTCATTTTAACCCTGCACTGACATAGTAAAATTGTCACATTATATTGCTGCTCATAGGAAAACATTGGGCGTGCAGAGCACTAGCTGTGCATGTGCAGCAGGAGCCCACTACTCCTCTCTAAAGAGGATCGGACTATCGCAGGAATAAGCTATGCTTCCTCAACGTTTCGGGACGTGGCGAAGTTAGCAACTCTGAGGGAGTCTCGACGCTGCAAAAATGCAATGTTTGAACTCTGTGTAAAGGAGCAGATATTGATTAAAGGCACAGCATCTGTTATTTTCTAAAGTACGTAGCCTGGGTCAGCAAGCATTTTTGCTGACTTGCAGAGAACAAAGGCCACCTATCTAGCCATGAGACTCTGTGACCTTCTCCATTGATGGAAGATCTCATGCTTCCTCTACACTTTAAAGCTTTAATATGCTTCATTCTGGGCTGCTGCTGTGCTTATCTCATGACTACAGAATGGGATTCTGAGATTTGTAGTCACATTTTCAGCTTTCTAAACCAAAGCCAATAGAGGAGGAAATGGTTGTCTTGTATAGAGCAGAACTAATTTTATGCCTGCACTTACATCATCTGAGCACAGAATTGTGGGGTGTAATCTGCATCGTATGGCAATTCTATTCTAGTCAAAGTTCCCCACAAAACCAGTTCCTTTTTAAATGAAGGTAGTCTTTATGATTACGGATATAATAGACAGTGAACAGATGATATTTCTGCTACAATGCAAAAATCTTAAAATTAACATACGGTGTGAATAGCAGCAACAATATTTTGCTTGTTGAAAATAAGTACAAGTCCAAAATATAGTAATGCTGCATTTCTGTCTTTCATTTTCATGATTTATGCAGACATTCCATCATCACTTGAGCATTTCATCACTGTGATTTTGGATGAATTTGTTTAGTGTTTCTAGCACATGCCCATGAGAGCCTTGAAAAAAAATTAATATAAAAATCCAGTCTCTAAAACAGGATTTTAAAAAATTAATCTACATTAAAACTACTATGTACTGGACTTTATTTAAAGAAGAAAAAAAAAGTAAGAGTGTGTGAGAGGTTTGTGTGTGCCTTTCCAATTTCTATCATAATGAAATGTGCTTGGCTCAATGATTTTCTATTCCAAAAGGCTATTACTGTAAGAAACTCTGGTTTGACACTTTGTATATACAGCTAGGTTGGGTTTTGTAATCTCCTCTAGGTTTAAGCATGATTTTAATGTACAGTATTAAAGTTCTAAAACATGCAAATCACAATATTTACTGCAGCACAGTTCAAGCAATAGACCATACTATGAGCTGCTTAAATCGTTTTTGGATACGCCTATGGGACTGTTGTGATGGTTAGTGACCCTGATTGTAGGAGCTGCATTTTAAACTGTTTTGGGATCCTTCCTTCAACAAAATAATTGTGTATAGTTGGGCCTTGGGAGATGGCACTGGTCCATACTTTATTCTCCCAGATGATATTTAATACATGAGGCAGGATTGGAATGAGCAGATTAAAGTCAATATTTGTGTTCATCTCTCTGTGGTCTAGTCCTCCCTATTGTTTTCCAGTGAAAGCTCTCTGTATATCCCATAAAACCTCTGCCCAGTAAGGCCTGATGGGATTTGTAGTTCAGCAGTTGGATGTCAATTTCATGTTTTGTTCCCAATAAAATCTTTCATTTTAATTAGTGAACCCACAGGCCACCCTATTCATGGCTAATGCACAGGAAACGCATATGTTTCGCTCGACCGGCTCTGTTTGTCTGGGTTGCAGGGTAATTTGTCAGCCAGGCAGGGTAGACAAAGCCGAGATACATATGGATTTTCTTTTCTGCTAGTACAGTGATGTGTGCATAGAATTTATTATTCTAGGCCATCATCACTAACAGAGAAGGAAAAGGGGGGGAGAGAAATATTACAATACATGATACACGTGCAGAAATTAGGTAATACAAGCTAAACATTGCCTATTGTGAGCTTTCTTTTCTTTACCCCTTCACAAAGTTCCCAAGGTGCTGATGAATTTCTTTGAGTTTCAGATGTCAATCCATGTTCTATGCAGACAGACCTGTTCTCTGTCCAGACAAGTATAGCTCGCATCCGTGAGATGCCCAATACCCATTTCAGGCTTTGCCTGTATGAACTGCAGGTTACTGCAAATAAATGCATAATTAAGATGCATTAAGAACACTGAGACCCCGTCAAACAAATGTTAAAAAAAAAAAAAAAAAATATGAAATGTTTTCTCACCCATGAGAGTAAAATTACAGCCTACGCCTGGCCAAATACAGCTTATATTTTTGTATTATGGTGTTCTGGAATACACTGAAATAGTGGAAGTGTGTTTACATCCTAAAACGTATATAAGATGCCCACTATACCTCATGCAGAATTTGCGCAGTGCGTAATGTTATAGCTGTACCAACTTTGAGCGAGAGATCGTGCTTGTATAATACAAAACTGAACGCACAAATAATCCTACTTCAACTATTAGCAATAAAATATTAAAATTGCAGCTGGACATCTAGTGTTTGTCTTGAGCTAGGTAATCCTGACACCACTGTAGAAACAAAGAAAAAGGTTTGTTTTTGGATATTGCCCCACCATTCCGTGGGTGGTGGCTACTTTGTAAGCAAGACTTAATGACTTTGAAAACTATGTAAAGATATAATGCATGAAGGATTTGTTATGTAAACTTAAAAATATATATATATCCATATATAAATATGCATGCGTGTTTGCCTGCAGAGCTGACCTTTCATTTGCCATCAATGAAACCTATTTTATGTCTGCTGTCATTGGATAATGTACAGATCACAACAATTCTACACATTTAGTATTCTGTTTCACCAATATAAACATTTAACTATCCATCAATATGCTCCTTGTGATTTAAGTCATGTTGTTCCTACTATACAGTTACTTTTATGTTGAACTTTTCATAATAATGCATGCTGGGCAAACTGGTACAATATAACACTGTGTGCTCAATTTAGTGGGCAAAATGATGAAACCTCACTACAATCATGCTGACTGATATATTTTACCCTAGGGGCTAATTTTTGTATATATTCTCACCCTTCATTCTATCCTTAGTTGGTCTGGTTCACATGCCAGTCTGTATTGAGAGGTTCTGATCCAAGAGTAGCCAAGGTAGCTATCAGCCAATTCTCATGATGCTTTGCCAGCCTTGAAGGACCACTATAGTGCCCTGAGGGTGCCCCAATCCCGCCAGGCTGAAGGGGCAGGAAGTGGGGTTAAACACTCACCTTTCTCCAGCACCGAGCTCCATTGGCGCTGGGGACTCTCCTCCGCCTTCTGATGTCATCGGCTGCATGCGCAGCAAGAGCCGCGCGCGCATTCTTCCAGTCCATAGGAAAGCATTGAGAATGCTTTCCTATGAACGCTGGCGTCTTCTCACTGTGAAAATCACGGTGAGAAGCACGGAAGCGCCTCTAGCAGCTGTCAATGAGACAGCCACAAGAGGCTGGATTAACCCATAGGTAAACATAGCAGTTTCTCTGAAACTATGTTTACAGCAAGCAGGGTTAACCCTAGATGGACCTAGCACCCAGACCACTTCATTAAGCTACAGTGGTCCTTTAAGGGACTTGTACTTTGGCAGTAGCCAGGGCCTCACCTTTTGGCTACCCTTGTTTTAATACGTTGTGGTTTAGTTTCAATGAGCATTTGGCAGTGGACTTTTCAGACTTGCATAGACAATTTTGTAATGCAAGCGGACTAAAATTCCTGCTAATTGGACTCTAAAGGGTGATTTTGCAAAGATGTAACACATAAGTATAGCAACTCATGAAAACCTATTCTATAGTGTGTATTTGCACAAGTATGAATAACACTCTATATGCTAGCATAGGCAGTTTTCACTCTGCAACATTTGCATGTTTAGTAACCCTAACAAGTGTGAAATTACATCAGTGATTGTGGAGGTTCATTTCCTAAACAAGGAATTGTGCAGAATAGGCAAAGGGAACAACATTTTTACAACACTGTAACTGACAATTAGCAATTTCCATGTCAGTTCTCCACAATTAATGGTGTGATGAATAAAAAAACAAACCCACACACACTATCTCTCAATACTATATAGTAAAAGGTGAAAGCCACTGAATAGGTGGTGAATACTATAATTTGTTAACATACTGGAATCCTGATCAGACAAACATGAATACCTAAGAAGAAGCAGTTTAGTGCACTCACTATATATAAATCACTTCTTTTGGGGCCTCACTGTACTCCATAATTTGGCAGCTTGCGTACTATATCTATGCATATTTGATCTGGGTAGTGGAAAATAAGGAAACCTACCACTAATGGTTTTGTAGAATCACTTGTTTTTTTTGTTAAAACCTGTATGTTGGAAACTTGCATTTATGTAAACTTTTTAAAGCAATAAAGAGGCTGAAAATGCACTGAACAATAAATTACTGTAGTCCGTCTATTTTTCAGTTCTATTTACTTACCAAAGATTTATTAAGAAGGAAATAAAAACACGGAGGGCTGTGCTAATTCTTTAAGAGTGTTAACCACAAATCTGTGGCATATTGTCCTTATTTTCTCAGGCAGCCATCATATTGCTGTATACTGACAAAAGACACTTACGGCACTCATAACATGATACCTCTCCCTGTTCCATTATTTGAGGACTTGCTCAAAGTGGAACGGCCATCTGAAAATCGTCACATATCAATTTGAAACAATGTTGCTTTTTAATATACCTTCCTAAGAATAGCAAAAATATGTTACAAGATCTTCTAGTGTTTCAGCAAGGAGACGGCCATCTTTGAACAGTATTAAAATAGTTTCAAACATTTGACTGTTACTATAAGAAAACAGGGTTGCAGAGAGTATATATATCTACTACATCATTCAGAGACTGATATACAGAGCAGCTCAGATTTTACTGCGTACAGCAATCTATTTGGATTTTAAAATTATACAAAGTGATTCACCGAAAATCACATAGTACCTTGTTGGAGCCAAGCAGCTCAATCCTGGGGCTTATACACGTTGCACATTTTAATTGTGACGTTTCTAAGAATGGAATACCAACACACATCGGTGAAGCTGTTTTGGACTGGTGTAATATAAGAGCTACAAATAAAATTAATTTGGTAATCACAGAAACAGGATACTGAACAAACTGCACGGTTATAGTGTTAAATATAGAATGAGGTGTGGCATACTTCTGGATGAGAAACACGTTCTGTATGTTCTACCATAGGTATTACTTGGTTTCATGTGCTTTGCTATATGGGCTGAAAAATTAAAACTGAATGCAAACATTGTTACAAAACAAATTATGTAGCTTAAACACCTACCCAAATACAAACTAAAAAGGTGGAGTGCAAATGGTTCCTTAGTGCTCCATCTTTAAATTTGTATGGGTCCTATAAACTTGATGTAGATGCATTTAGTGTCACCCCATGGGTGCTGTTAATGACAAGAATACTTAAACTGAACCATTCAAGCTCTGACTGGTTATAGTTGCTTAGTTACACCTTTTCAACAGTAGTGATAAAATGCTGCCCTCTGCAGGCAGTATAAGCAAACAGCAAGTTTAAGTTGGGAATCCTGCTAATAGGTTATTATTCATCAGTGAGATTTTATATTTGAATGTCAATCAAATGGAAAAAAATAAGGTCTTTTTATTGACAAAATAAAGATATCTATACACACATTTAGTTATTGGTTGCTAACAGTTAACTTGCAAGGATTGTCTGTATGCAATTAAGTATTTTAGCACTGTATAGACACATCATATATAAAGGTGTCAGTATTTTAATAAATTGTCACTGTGTAGTTGGGCATTAACATCTAGATTTATAATTTGGTAATGGTATTTTGCTCTCTTAAAGAGGAAAAACCCAACAACTTACATTCATTGTTTCTCGACTTGTGAGATTTAACATCTTATAGATGGAAATACTTGATTTTCCCTCCAATATAATAAAACATGAAATGTATGATAAGTAGTAAAGGAACACTCTAATCATTATAACCAGTACAATCTGCAAAGTGCCTGTGCCTTCTCCGCTGTAGTTGGAAACTCTGCCACTGAGCCAACCAAGCAGTGCAGGACTGCGCTCATTGCCTGACAGCACACAGCCGACATTACTAGCCAATGAGTCGGCTCTGCATTACAGGTCTTCGCTCAGTGGCAGACTCAGTAAGAAGTAAAATCATGGCACTCTCTCACTCTGGGAAGACTCCTGCCACCACAACCACTGCAGTGGGCTCTAGTAGTTAAGAGTGTGCTGGTTCCATCCCACAGTAAGTAATCAAACCATTTTAGTGTGACTTAACAACTTACCAGGGACCTGTTTGGCACCTGCACCCAATCTTCTTCTGCAAGAGAATCCAGATTCTCTGTAGAGCAAAAGACAGATGCAGAACTGTGGTCTCAGCCCTGGATCAGCTGTGCTTTATTTTGCAGGCGAAGAGCGGATGAGGCGCAGGTCCCAGGGGACCCAGGTAAAATGTCAAACTGTACTAAAATAGCTTGTCTACTTACTGTGGGATGGTAGGTACAGTAGGTTTGGAGTGTTATTTTAGGGCAGGGATGCCCAGACGGTAGATCCCCAGATGGAGAACTACAACTACCATGATGCTTTGCATGACTTTAGAATACTTTACAATGACAAAGAATCATGGAAGCTGTAGTTCAAAGACATCTGATGACCTATTGTTTGGGCACCCCTGATTTAAGGCATAACTGAACGTAACAAAGCACGAAATACAATCCTAAAACTATTGCCATAATAGTTTATTCACAGTTCTAGCAGTTTTTTTATAACAGCATAACATAAATATATCTTAACAAGACTAAAGGGGCACCTTAACCTCTGCAGCTAATGGCGAAGTGATTGTGAAGAAGAGTTTTTTGGGTGCTTGGTTTAGGAGCAGTTTGAGGGGGAAAAAAAACTGCTTTGCCAGCAACTCTGCTAAGAGCTACCCTAGCATTCTGAGCAAGCCAATATCATCAAAAGTCAGATGCGCAATACGTTAGTTCACTTCTACATTATCCAAGCTGCAGGTGCCAAGAGAGCCCCGACAATTGCTCTGCTTAAGAACATTTACAATGAACAATAGTGCCCCTTCAAGAACAAGCTTGACTAATTATAAGAGTGTGGATATTTATCACATATATCATTCATTTCACTGCCTCTAAAGTTGCATTTTTTTCCCAGGAGCTAGGAAGCGGTTCTGAAGATTTTTCTCTTGCCTTCTCAGATTCCTCCAGCTGGGAAGACAGGAGCTCTATCTGAACATGTAGATTCACCAACTCCTTTTTCAGCTGCAAAATTGTACAAAAAAGAATCAGTAACACACAGGCACCAAAAAGGAGGATTAGAGTCTGTTCAGTGGAATTAGGTCTTGAAAATGTACATAAAATGGTAAAAAAAAAAAAAAAAAGTGGAGGAAATAGGGACATATCCTTATAGGATGAACCAGTTATTTGCCACACACCATCAGTAGCACACAAAAAACAACAACAACCCTTCTTGTCATCTAGTTTAGTAACATGAAGGTAAATGGTGCCTGGATCATGATGTATTCCCAAGGAAGGTATGGTTTGTCATGCTTCCCAAAGACTCAGAAACCAGGAATACAAAGGTAGAATTTTAACTTGTAACCCAAATGTAGAGACAACAGAACCAGTATAAAAAGCACAAGGGTACAAAGTAATGCAGGCCCTGCCACAATTGTGTGCGTGCAGGGAGTTTACAATCATCCCCTAGAAGAGAATGAGCTGGAACCCTCACAGTCAGACGATGACATGTTACATGGTACACCCCCACCCTGTAGCTGGGGGACTTAATACACATCCTATGAGGTTTTAGCTAATGCTGGATATCCTCATGTTAGGCAACCAGACCTGGCCTAACCACCAGGAAGTGCATCTAGTGGCTGTCTGGTAGACAACCACTAAAGGTGGAGTTTACCCTGTAGTGTATCAATAAATGCAATAATTACAATTGCAGGGTTAAACTGGCAGGGACAGTGCACCCAGACCACTTCAATGAGCTTAAATGATCTGAGTGCCTATAGTGTCCCTTTAAATGTGAAATGTCTGGGTCACAATTTCAAAATATACCTAGTTCAATGATTTACTTAGAACAACCAGGTATATACAGACAAAGATACAAATTCAAATGCATTCAAAAACAACATATCATTTGGGGCACAAATGGGTTTTTCTGAAAAACTATATGTATATAGTTTGTGGAAATAGAAAAAAAAATGCGGAGGGGATGGCAAAGATGCACGGATTCCTCAGCTTTAAGCCGAGAGATCCATATGGTAACTGATATGCTTTTAAGGGGGGGGGGGAGAATACATTTTATAATAACCAACTCAAACAGAATTTCACAGAAAACACTTTACCTTCATTATATGTCCCGTAAGGGGTAGCTGTTTAATATTCAGATGTGATCCTGGACATATTTTCGTGGATTTTAAAATATAGCTTTAAAAAAAAAGAAAAGAAAACATGTTACAGAATGGGCTTTTTTGATTTAGAAGAGTCTTAGATGCATTGCTGCATTGGACCATTATATAACATTGCACTCCAATAAGGCTATTCATGCTTAAATTAGAAAAACACCATATTTTTTTTATACTTTTTCACAAATAATACAAATATCATACTGAAAGTGAATCTCTAGAATATGTCAAATAACATTAATTCATCAAATCAGCATATAAAAAGACGAAAACGTACATAACATAGACTCCGATGTTATGTGGGGGGACCCTGGGCTGGCCTATTTCTCCTCCTCTTTGGAATGCTTCAGGGCGTTTAAAAATCTATAGCACGTTTTAAATTTTTGGTATCTGGTTCCCCAATCAAAGTAAGCCAATAATCCCACATATCATATTTCTTACACAAATTCAGATAAGGTAAACTCAGATCTCTTTCCATCCTGATTTGTTCAAGAATTGTAGATTATGCTAACGTAGTGTACCTATAATCTTAATTTTAATAATGACAGGAGGCAAATATTTTGCATAACTTTCTTTACTTTATGCCTCCAGCAGCACAAGTCAATCAATAAACTTTAAACCAATCAGTAACAGGCATCACATCCATATATAAAGCCCTGACAGACACATGACTTCCTCTTTCTTTGATGCGAAAAACAGTCTATTATAACGTCAGGGAATTCAAATAACAGTCCTGATTAACGTGTAGCACATAACTTGAAACGAAACTTGAAACCTTCCAGCTTTATCTTGTCGAATCCATCTATGATTACGCTGAAAAGAACAGAAATACGTGAAAGGTGATGGAAACCAACTGTTGTCCACATTAAATCCAGTACTATGTGTCTATATTTACATTAAGTTAATATACTGAAACATTAAACAAACCATAGTATACTTAATAATCAACACGGATCTAACACATATCAACCAAATAAGCATCCCATAAATATACTGAATTACCAAAACCTTATAATTTACACTGAGAAAATGACAAACCAGAATATAAAAAATTTCCAGAGTATAGGGAGGGAAACGGAGGGAAAATATTTGCCTCCTGTCATTATTAAAATTAAGATTATAGGTACACTACGTTAGCATAATCTACAATTTTATCACCTGACAGGAGGCTTCATATTTTGCATTTTTAAAGGTGTGGTATGAGCGAGAAGGATGCGTGTGTGGTTGACGAAAATAAATATACGGAAGTAGTCTATCCGTGTCCAATTCATCGCTGAAAATATAGAGGCCCCCTCGCGAAGGCCTGAGAAGCAGCCGCGCCTATTACCGAATGAGTACCCAAACACGTCTCCACCCTCGCTAGCGATAACCAATGAACCCATCTAGACAGAGTGTTCATGGTAACTGGCTTGTACGGTTGGTATAAGACCAGCAGATGTCCTGAATGTGACATTCTAAGTGTTGTCGTGATCTCCATGTAACAAAGTACCGCTTTAACTGCACAAAGACTGGGAAACCGTCGGTAACGATACGGACGCGGATAAGATATAGTTCTACGAGACACTGTAGAAATCATTCTTTCCGGTGATACCGAAAAGACCGTCTACGTCGAACTCCAGTACATCTGATGCCCGACGAAAAGACCTTAAAGTAACGTGACTCTGGCTAACGGCTGACTGAGGGATAGGACCGTGATATTCTGACTAGCTCCAAAAGAACCAAATCAAAGTCCCACACCAGTGATACTTTGACGCATGGTTCTGGACGGTTTGATACCCCGCAGAAAATGGCATATCAAAGGCTCTTGATTGACCGGAGTGTCGTGAATCGTGCTATGCGTCGTCGAAATCGCGGAACGTAGCCCGTTAATGGAACGTTCCGATCGGCCTGTAGTGAAAAGGTATGATAAAGATCCAGCATCGTGGAGATAGGGGTAATAAAGGGATCGCAGTCCCTTCCCATACACCAGCGAACTCCAGGTGTTCCATGCGGATAAGTTATTTCGGGGGAATACCTGGCGTCCATGAGTCCCATAGTAGGTCTCTAGTTGGTTGCGATAGTCCCTTGACATACCAGTCTCCCCTGGAAGACACCAATCTACCAACTCCAGATGCTCCTGCATTCTCAATGGATGATGTTCTCCTTTTGGATCCGCCCGAAGGCAAGTTAAAACGGAAGGAGCAGAGGATGGTCCTGATTAAGGACAACCCTTCTGAGTGTCACGCTTGCCTCTTTTACCGCAGTAATGAATACTATCGAAGTCTTCGCTATTCTGATCCCAATTTCATAGGTGTGTCCGTATCTCAGGCAGTGAGCTTTCAGCCACTGTCTGGCCCGGTAGTGAAGCAGTCCTGGGAAATAGTCAAAGGGTTATGGTGCCTTTCCGCCGTACCCGTCGAATTTCCTTACGAATCGTCGCTATCAATGATGTGGGAAGGTGTAATCCGCCCAAGGTGGAATCTATTCTGAAATAGAGGAACTGAATCACTCGGAACTGGGATCGAACCGACTCCTCTCTGTTCACTATGAATCCCAACAATTCCCGAAACTGTAAACATAAATCTCGTTTGTAAACGTAGTCATGAATTGGATTTGCAAAAGGTAAGTCGTCTAGGTATGTGACAGCAGATACCCTTTGCTTTTCAGTGCGCAGTGACCGACTTCAGAAACTTCATGAGGCACCATGTGAACCTATAGGTAAGTGCCCTTCAAGTCCAACCTTGTAGATCCCCTAAGAGATGGATACCTTCCTTCTTGAGTTGTTGGTACGCCCCAAAACCATTGGGTTGGCATAGGTTGATGACTGGGTGATAGTCGCCTATCTTCTTCCTTACTACCAAACCGTTGCTGAGATAAATGGTTCTCCAAACGATAGTCCGTCCGCCTGAGGTCCTCGCTCTTTCGTCCCTAACTTCATAGTTTGAAATCCATCTTTAATCGGGCTGCTTTGCGGCGTTCTGTGCACCTGTCTGCCTTGCGTTCCCCAACTTACATATTGCCCTTTGCACCCATTCCCTCACATCGTGAGCTTCTAGAGGTGAGTCTTGTGTGGGGTCAGGTCCGCAAAGTATAGAATTTTTTCCCGGGCTGATCATATCCAGTATTTCATCTTAACTCATTTTGAGTCCTCCTCCTACACCTTTACATGGACCCCGGCCTGATCTGGACATACATATCACCACGAGCTCCATAGTGAGGACTATCTTGTTCGGACATAGAGGGCGTGGGCATTCCATCCTAAGCCTGTCTCGGATTTCTTTTCCCATAGGCCTCCTAAGCCAGAAGTGGGCCCGGTGCTCCGGATAACCCCATTCGGATGACCCTGGTTGTCGGATGGTGCGTGAGTCAAAACAGGAGTGTCCAGTGTGCCAAAGAAAAAACCTTTCTTGCTAGGCGGTTCTTGTCACTTTTACCTCTTCTGCCCTCCATTCTTTCATGATCTCCAGAGAAGGGGGGGAGGATGAAGTCCTCGTCCCCTGATGATGGGTGTCCGACCTAACGTCGGTATTTCAATCTTCCATTGGTGTTGCTGCCGTTGCACCCGCTCTGTCGGATGGGTTGTTAGCCAGCATACTGGAGAGGACTTCTTCCCCCGGAGCTGTCATGGCGGCCTTAATCCTCGCCTGAAAATCGGTCGGGGATATTGAGGTAAGTCCGACATGTTGGTTCACACCCTTTCGGTCCGTGGGAGACAGGATCGTACAACAGTACACTTATTGCCACTCAGTGGGCCTCCGCGTATAACTGGGGGTCACCCAGAATTTTGATCAATCAGTATCATTTTCGCAGGATCCGGGGAGTGGTCTGAGAATGAGGACACCCTCAGTAAGACCGGGATGAGCGGTCTGCAATGTCGGGACATAGCCAGAGTCTGGGAGACGTGAAAGCCTCAAAATATATATATAGTCCACGGGGTTCATCCTTATATGGTCTAGAATTGTGGAGTTTTGGCAGCACTGTGAGTTCTCCTTCTCGGTTAAGGGAAGGGCGTACGGAACCCCAGTTGAAGCATAGAGGTGCCAGAATACACGCATCTAGTGCGCCCTGGTCTGTGCATACAATGACAGAGCGTACTCTGAAGGTAGAAGCCCTAGAAAGGGTGCGGGGGGTCACCCCTTTGTACCTATGCCACTAGCACCGGAGTAAGACTCGCTTGGGGTTCACCAAGCATAGGGGGGTCACCCCTGTATGAATGTCTCTTATGGCATGTTGGGACACTCTTTCGGTCTATGGGGTACCGAACAGGTGTCAGGTACGGTAGTACACTTATTGCCACTTAGTGGGCCTCCACGTACCACTTTGGGCCACCCAGAATTGTTTCAATCAGTACCACTTAGAGATTTCCTGGGAGTGGTCTGAGGTGGGAGTCACCCTCAATAAGACCGGGATGAGCGGTCAGTAATGTCGGGACGTAGCCCGTGTATGGGGAGGTATGGTAGCCTCCATATTATCCAAGGGGTCACCCTTATAGGATATAGTACTGTGGAGAATTGGCAGCACCATGAGCTCTCCTTCCTTGCTCTGTCGATATACATGTATTCAGTGTGACCCGGTCTGTGCATACAGTAACAGATCGTACTCCGTGGAAATGAGCCCGCCCTAGGGCGCGGGGGTTCCCCCCAGTGTATGTATGTCACTAGTACCGGAATAATATTCGCTTGGGGTTCACCCAGAGCAGGGGGATCACCCCAGTATATGTATGTCACTAGGACAGGAACCAGATTCGCTTGGGGGTCACCCAGCGTAAGGGGGGTCACCCCTGTACCACAATGTCACTTTGGAGAGGTGTCTGCCATGCTTGGAGGTCACCCAGCGTAAGGGGGGTCACCCCTGTTAATCACTCCGTTATGTACCTCCACTACTGTGTCCTGGGAGGTGTATCCCTGTGGGGAAGGAGTGTATCCAATGGTTGTGAGGTCCAGTGGGAGTAGGGAGCGGAGTAAGATATCAGCTCTATTTAATTTCCCTGCCAGTAGATAGAGTAATGCATCCACTATATGCCCACAGCAGGGGACAGTCCATTCATAATCCTCCAGATGTACAATAAAACTGTTATTCAACATGTCAATTGTATAGAACAGAATAGAGCAAACTGTCAGCAGATGCACACAGCAGGGATCAGTCCTACATATTCATGCAGAGTTACATATAAAACTTTTATTTCACATGCCAAATTCATAATCTTCCAGGAAAGGTACATATGCCCATGAACAGTATTGAGCTCAAAAGTACTTGTAAAACTTTTATTTCACAGGAAAAATATATGAAACAGTACAGAACTAGCCGCCAGTTCGTGGGAATCACGAACTGGCCAAACGACATGGCCGACGTGAATCTCGCGAGTGCCGCGAGATTCAAGATGACCGCCGTTCGCGCGCAAAAGTGCCGTGCGGCCCACGATCGAGGATACGATCGCGGTCTGCCGGCATGGAAAAGAGTCCCCCCGACATCCCCAACCCCCAGAGACCTGCCCTGAAGTCCCAGCACCAATGCATAAAAAGCGTGCTCGCGGTAAAACGCCGCGATCCGTGCGAGACCAGAGTAAAGCATAGGAAAGAAAAGGTGCCAGCAACAGAAAACAGGCTAATAAAGCAGAAAATACAGTGTTAATTCAGGGGAAGGGTAACAGGGGGAGAATATCATACTATACAAATCCAAATGGAAGGCAAGTGCAAAATAATGAAAAACGTTTAGGCCAAAATTGCAGGACAAGCTAATAAAGTTTAACAAAAGTGCCCATGCATATCCAGAAACAGTTTGGAGCAAAAACTGAATGTCTAGCATTAAAAATCTAACTAAAGTGACCATAGCAATATTAATAAAAACAGTTGGAGCAAACTGAAAGTCAATTAATAAAGTTTAATTAAAGTGGTATCCAGAAAAAACAGTTAGGATTAAAACTGAATGTCTAGCATAAGGTGTCTAACTACAGTGACCATAGCAATATTAATAAAAACAGTTTGGAACAAACTGAAAGTTAAGCAATAAATGATTAACTAATGACAATTGCAATATTCAGTAAAACAGTTTGGAGCAAAATACTCTGACCTGTGCCTTGGCTGGTAAGCAGCAAAGAAAGAGGAAGTCATGTGTCTGTCAGGGCTTTATATATGGATGTGATGCCTGTTACTGATTGGTTTAAAGTTTATTGATTGACTTGTGCTGCTGGAGGCATAAAGTAAAGAAAGTTATGCAAAATATGAAGCCTCCTGTCAGGTGATAAAATTCAAGTTTTAACAACGTCCCACGTTATAGCAATATCACTCTTTCATTTAAAAACAATGGGTAATTAGATTCTGATTTTTCCAGGACATCTTAGGCCAATGCATGTGTAATAGAGCCATTGCAGGATGTCTCTCCAAATTTATATTGGTTTTATCATATATAAATTGAAAGAGCGTCTTTAAGACCTCTTTAATTTTCAAGCAACCCCACCAAATATGCAAGAAAGAACCCTCTTTTTGGAAACATCGCCATTATAGAGAGGAGGCACTTTGATACATCTTTGCCATCTCAACCGGGATCAAATACCATCCCTAAAATATTTTTGATTGTATTTTGATTAAATTTATACTTTAAACCTGTTTACATATGTTATTAAAAGATTTGCACCATTTATCCTGATCTAAAATACAGTCAAGATCTCTTTCCCATTGCATTTTCTGGGGGGGTATTATCCACATAATTTAGAACCTGAATTAGGCCAATGGCTTTAGTTAAAACCTTTGAGACTATTTTATTACTAAAAGTCTTTTTTTAGAGCTTTAGTTAAATTAGGATTTATTTTTATTAAATGATTTTGCAAAAAGTGTTTTACTCTAAGGTATGTAAAAATCTCAGAATTAGGAAGATGCAATATTTAAACTAATTCTGCAAAAGGTATCACTTTGACTTCTAATCTGATCTATTTCGTAAATTCCCTGGATATTCCAATTAGATAACGATACATTTTCTACATTGAATTCTAGAACAGATATACTTAAGAAATCTAATACCGCACGCATTATGTAGATCCAAGATTTTCTTAATCCCGAGCCAAGTAGAAATTATTTGATTAATTATTATATTATATTCTATAGAAGTAATCTGTACTTTTCCTTTTTGAATATTCCTAAAAAGTCCATTAAGATCTTTTAGTCCAAGAGCCTCAGCTTCTATTTTATACTATCCTTCCCTAGAAGTACTTTGGGTTTGAATTCTTTAAACATGGGATATTATGTTGGACAAGTACTGAAATCTAATATTTGGATAATCTATTGTTGTGCCTAATCATTAAATTCATGAAGCACCAATATCCAAAAAGCAATAATCAATTACCTAATAAGGATTATAACGATATTGGCAGGCACACAACCCAGTTCGAGATGAGTGTCTTGGGCTATAGGAAAAAGAAACCACACAGAGACCAAGTTGCAGATAAGAATTCACACCACACTTTATTGTCCACAAGGGGACCCAATACAGAGTAAGCTTAATTCTCATTAAGCAGTTGCATGCATTCACTTCAAAACAGCTTAGCATCCGGATATATCAGCTTAAGTATATATCACCATTAGAGGGGTTGTGTCCTCTGCACTTGACTGGGGGAACTCTGGCCGTCGGCATGGAGGGACCCTCTCTGGGAACAGCAGAGACCAGCAACACGCGTCCGCATTACAGGTGGGTAGTTCTCCAAGTGAGTGCCAAGTTTCTCCGTCTTTTATACCTTTTAGCAAGTTTGTAAATTTTCCAAGATTTCTTATCAGTGCAGCCCAGCATGTATCTTGTCATGCGCATTAAGTAATCAGTATGGTTGATCAGGCTAGTCGTGACCACCCAAGGCTCATGCCAGACACGTGCGGTATCTTATTCTATCTATGTCCCTACTCTTATCTTTCTATACATTTGTTGGCACCAATTCCCTCTGTTCAGCACGTGGGCCTTTCTGGATATTGGCCAGACATGCTATGGAATATTCCAGGCAATGTTGAATTTCTTAGTGCGACACAGTTTAAGCCAAGTGCCATCTTAACTATCTATGATAGATTAATTTGATCATTAGTGATCATTCTTAATTAGTTAATTGGATTTTATCACAATTATCACATCTATACCCCCCATCTGCCAGTCTTTGAGATAAAATTCTTTTACTTATCCTAGGTTTTTTTCCTTTTGATATAAAGGATGAAAAGGAAGTTTCTAGGAGGGCAAGCCAACTATCTAGAACTTTTAAAGAAATCATTTGGAAGAGGTAGTTCCACTTTGGTGATAGATATATATATTATCTTTCTTTACTGATTCTCCCAGCAGGAAAGAAATAGTTAACAATAATATAAACAGATCAACCAATCAGAGTGCATAACAGTATTATATGATGTCATCAAACTCCTCCCAATTCCTCTTTCTTTGCTGCTTGCCTCCCAGGTGAGTCTACTCCAATTATATTGCTATACCATTTAGCCTTTAATAAATATTTTAATTAAATTTCTTACTTGAATGTCAAAATATTTTACACTATATATTCAGCTATCACTTTAATAACACTTTTCTGTGTAAACAACCATTCATGTTCTCTTCTAATTTCAACCTTCATGCCACACTAGTCAACATATTTTTACCTAACTTTATTTAGTTACTACTACTTTAAATCGCCGGAGTCGCACTCCCGCAATTCACTTAATTCACCTCTCCTGCTTCCGCGTTTCTAAACAGACCGCGGTTTCGCCGTTACACACTTCCTGTCAGTGCCGCGGACTCCATTTCCCAGGAGTCCGCGGCTCAGTTTCGCACCCTTTTGCGGCTCCCCGCCCGTTCGTCCCTTGCACTTAACAAGTGCATTTTTTCCCGCCTTCTTTATTTAAAGCACCTTAAAGTGCTAAGCTCAATTTTCAGTTATTGATTTTGTCTATTTTAAATTTTTTCTAACAGGCTCTATATCTACACCTGCAAGTTTCTTATTAAGTAAACTGGCCTTGTGGGTGACCCTCACCAATCTTTGCCTCTGTTATTTTATTACACTGAGGGTTTTTGTGGGTGACCCCCACCTTTATTCACTCTTGCCAAGGTGTCTTAACACCATTGTGACAGTTAAGGGTGACCCCCTTAACTAAATAACACATTAATAAACAGGTGATCCAACACCTTATCTATTCAGTGGTGAAACCCACTGTTTTTTATGATAGTGGTACAAGCCACTTGTGTTTTCTTTAGTGGGCAACCCCACTAAATATTGAGTGCCGCCCTTTATACCTTAACATTCACGAATAGTTTGGGTGACCCCCATTTATAAATCAGACATTATTTATATATAAAAAAAAATTTGGGGTGACCCCCATTTATAAACCTGATATATAACTTTGGGTGAACCCCATTCATCTCTGCCTTTTATATATCTATCTATATCTATATATAAAAAAATAAAAATAAAATAAAAAAACCCGCTCCAAGACATACCATGTCTGATAATAGTGAGCCCGCAATTTCCCAAGAACTCAAAGCTTGGTTGGTTTCGACCATTGCTGATACCATTCCCAAGGCGTTAGCAGCCTTCCATGAGAAGACTTCTGTCGAAGCCACCCCTACTGCGCGTCTACCTTCTGATTCCGAGGACTCTCAACCCTCGGATCAGGAAGTCACACGCAAGCGCCCCGGAAAGGGGATAGTAGGTCTGCGGGCAAAGGTAAGGCTCTCGCCAAGTCCCAGAAATTGACAAACACCCGCTATGCTCATGCCAAACCCAACCCCCTAGAGGGTTCTACATCCCATGAGGGAGATGGAGTGGAAGATTATTACCTTGAATATTCTGATGAAGACCCCTCGGCGGATGCGCTAGGGGATGACCCATCGGAATTTGTCAAGGAGACTTTTCTCACGCATACAGACATAGACCCAAAAACATCTCTTCAGAAGGGACCCGATTCAGACATCCTGCTGGATGCTTCGGGTGTCCCTTTGTTTGACCCCAGGATCATCAGACATCCACAGTCAGCAGAATGGGCCCCACCAGACCATATTTCTAACTTCTGTAAGATGTGGTTACGCAAACCACTTGAAAAGGAAATCAGGGCGAAACTCAGAGCGGAGTGCCCTCGACCAACCATTCCAAACAAGGTGGCTCTCACGCCAGAGTTTGACCCACTATTTGTAACATTTCTTAGTAAGACAGGGAAAGACCCTCGCAAGGGCATTGAGCAGGGTCTTAAAACGGCCCAGGATAAACTCCTAGACATCGCTGGCCCTATAATTCAGATTTTCATTTTGGCAGACGAAGCCTTAACTAGTGGGGAATTCGACCCAAACACAGTTAGAGAGTGGGCCCAGACAGCCTTATGTTTCCTAGGCAACGCAAATGTGGCTATGTCCACTGAGAGACGCAGGGCGGCACTATACAAGCTAGATGCAAAACTAGCAGATCTGAGCTCCCGGGAACTGGGACCAGAGGCAAATGGATTACTGTTTGGAGATTCATTCATGAGGGATCTCTCCAAACATGTAGCGGTGTTTACCACCCTAAATAATGCCCAATCTTCCCTGCGCAGGGTTTTTCGTTCTCAAGCAGGTAGTTTTTCAGGGAGAGCTGGACGTTATCGAGGCCGAACGAACAGCAGAGTTACCTTCACAGGCTACAGGCCTCGCCCTTCCGAGAACTATTGGCAATCGGGACAACCCTGACCCTACCACAGGCAACTATTCACTAATAGAGGGTCTATCCGGGGACGTGGATTTGCCTCCCTACGCGGTAGAACTGCTCCAGGTAATCAATCTCCCTTCTTTCAATGTACCAATAGCAGGTCGATTAACACATTTTTTCCAACAGTGGGAATTACTTTCTCAGGATCGATGGATCCTACACACAGTCCAAGGGTTCAAGATAGATTTCCTTTCCACCCCTTTCCAAGACACACCACAACACCACCACAGATGTCTGTATCAGACAACCTGACACTACAAAACAAACTACACAAGCTAGTAAAAAAAGGGGCTATAGAAAAATCCCCGTTCCCTCATACTTTTCTCAGCAACATTTTTCTGGTCCACAAAAAACTGGAGCCACTTCAAGATGGAAGGCATCCATCTGCTCAGGAACCTCCTTTGCGTGGGAGATTGGTTCTCCAGATTCGATCTCAAAGACGCATACCTCACAGTTCCTATTGCTCGCAACCATCGAGCTTTCCTTCAATTCTTCTGGCAAGAAGAAATCTGGCAGTTCACATGCCTCCCATTCGGACTATGCTCCGCGCCTTGGTGTTTCACGAAACTGATGAAACCAGTGATGGCCCTACTTCGATCTCAGGGGATTCGGTCCATCATATACTTGGACGACATCCTGATAATGGCACAAGACCCAGATCTCTTACGCCAACAAACAGAGATGACGTCGGCTCTACTACAAAACCTTGGTTTTGTAATAAATTTCCAGAAGTCAGCCCTGGAACCTTCCCAAAAGGTACAGTTTCTCGGGTTTCTGATAGATTCTGTACAGGCGGTTTTACAACTACCCTCCGCAAAGATCAGAATCATCAAAGAAGACATTCGCAAATTGTTATCAGTCCATCAGATTAGCTTACGCGATCTAGCCCATACTATAGGCCTACTGACCGCCTCTATCCAAGCCATTTACCCAGGACCTTTACAATACCGAGCCATGCAATGGCTCAAGACATTTTACCTACACCGTTCCACCTCTTACGATCAGTTCATCCACCTGACAGACGAAGTTCGTATAGAACTTCACTGGTGGCTCCACAACATGGAGGCCTGGAATGGCAAAGCCATCTTCGGATCTCAACCAGACTTCATTCTGGAATCCGATGCCAGTCTCCTAGGATGAGGCGCCACGTGCGCCGAAGGATCCACCGGGGGCCTATGGTCCCCCTCCGAACAAGCACTGCACATCAATTGTCTAGAGTTGATCGCAGGATCTTTCGCGATTCGCAGTTTCGCAAAAGACTGTTGTTTCAACTCACTAGTACTGCGCATGGACAACGTCTCTGCAGTACGCTATGTGAATCGATTCACGATCCAAGCTCCTATCCGACCTTACCAAGGATCTCTACCAATTCTGCCTAGAGCGGAATTTATCCATCAAAGATGAATATCTTCCAGGCACGTACAATCTAGTAGCAGATTGGTTCTCTCGCCATTGGAGGGATGTAAGCGACTGGCAATTGGACCCCCGCTTGTTCCATCAAATTTGCTGCCTTCGCGGGCCCCTTACACTGGACCTGTTTGCATCCCGTCTGAATCGCCAGACGGAGGCCTTTATCAGCTGGCTCCCAGACCCCCTGTCATGGGCGGTCGACGCCGTTCTACATCCTTGGCCGGAGACGGGAGCTTATGCATTCCCGCCTTTCTCCGTGATCCAACGCACCCTTTACCGGGTCAAAGCCCTAGCAGTGACAATAGTCATTGTTACTCCTCTATGGAGAGCCCAGACTTGGTTCCCAACCCTGTTGGAACTATCTGTGAATCACCCAATTCTACTACCTCGAGTCCCCGACATCCTGAGGGACCCAGCAGAGCACTGTCATCCACTCGCCCTTCAGAACCGGTAATGAACAACATTGGGCAATGACTGTCAAAGACTCCAGTCCAGAGGTGAGGGTAATAAGTATGACCTCTCATGGTGCAATAAAAAGACTGAGCTTTCCCTTTATTTCTATACTCCTGGACACTTGTTTTAGTGGGGCCCCAGAGGTGTGTATTTTCTGTGTGGTAATTGGGCCTATAGATGGTTACCTACTCAATGGGAAGGAGAATGTTACATTGGATCAATCATCCCCGCCCTAAGGCATAGAAATAGCTTTCCAGAAGGCATGATTAGAAATAAACGGTGGAGAACATGAAGCTAATTCTGGAACTGTATTTCCCGGCTGGAGAGTATATTGGTCATTAACTCGAATAGAAGCTTTAAAAAAGCTAGAGGATGAAGCTTTAGATGCAACCGTGGATGCTATTAACAAACTATCCCAAGAGCAGGTACAAATGAGAGCAGTGGTGTTGCAAAATGGACTGGCATTAGATTAAGTCTTGGCCGCCAAAGGAGGCGTTTGTGCGTTGGTAGGGACAGAGTGCTGCTCATATATTGTCAATAACTCTGGCGCAATAACACATGATATTTCAAAGATAAATGATACCAGGAAGAAGCTCCAGAATCCACCGGATAGTGGACCTTTTGGGTGGTTGGGTAATTTAGGGTTTAAAGTAATGCAATGGGTAGTAGTGGGTGTTGTTTTATGTGTAATATTGTATTTTTTTGTAAATTTGATTATATGTGTGGGAAAGCAAGCTATGAAGAAAGTAAGACCTATCCGGGAAATATATGAGTTATAGTTATTACTCATGTAATGGGATCAACAGGTGGATTGTATTGGTTATGGGCAATGATAAATGTTCTATTATTGTGTTCCCATTCATGTGCAATAACTTATGATACCTATAGGGGGTGTAGTGAGCTATGTGACATTAAGAGCAAGAAGATGGCTGCTGCATATTTAATGAGACATGTGCTTTAGGGAGGAAGTTACCTATAGGTGGCCTAGTGAGCACTGTGACGTCGAGTGAATAACGATGGCTGCCCCATAGTCAATGAGACGTGCTTTAGGAAGGTATTGAGAATTCTTAAGTCACTTCCTTTCACAAAGGACCACATGTAGTATCCGCCTCCTAGAGATGACCATTAGGTATTGGTTATGTTACCTCTGTGGGTGGATACTAGATGGGAGGTTATTCAAGGGGTTTCCAGAAACTAGAGTTTCAGTTTCATGACTGGGTCGGAAGAAGCCAGGTGTCTTTAGAGGTGCCCATGTAAATCCATTTAACATGTGGCAAGGAACTCACCTCATTGTTCTGTGTGTTATGCTGATTCAATTATCCTGTGTAAGCTGCTGAATCTCCATGAATAGAGCTAAGTAGATTTCTTACCTGAATGTATTGTTTATAGCAGTGTGTGTTTTTAAAGTATTTGTTTTTTTGTGTGCTTGATAATTGTATTCCCAGTAAAGTTTTGCTTATACTTTCATCAAAACTTTGCCTTTTGTCTGTTCATTCAAGATATTCACTAATATTTATGTGATTTACCAGTATACCTTTTATTATTTTATTTGTGGTATTATTTCATATTTATGAAATTCAGAACTTCATAAATATAAAGAAATTACTTAATTTACCATTACAGACCCCTTCTCGTATCCTATGTCAAACCACACAAACCGGTATCCGCCCCCACCGTCGCACGGTGGATACGATGGATACTAGCGCAAGCAGGTATCGACTCCACTTTTGGTGCACATTCCATCAGAGGAGCAGCCACTTCCTCCGCCTTCCGTGCGGGTAGCTCCCTCTCAGACATTCTATCCTCGGCAGATTGGTCCAGAGAGTCTACGTTCCGCACATTCTACTTCAAACCTATGCCACATGCTGCATCTTCCATCATATAAAGCGTTAAAACAGCAAATATGAAGCCTCCTGTCTTGCCATAAAATTAGGGATTATTCTAGCTTTAGTGACTGAATAATCTAAATTTTATTAACGACAGGAGGCGAATATTTTCCCGCCCTTTTACTCTCATGACCATTCACACCCACCCTAGGTAAGTTGTTACAGGGTATTCGGTTTCAGACACATTTACACACCATCCGCCACAAGTTCTTCTCACTACACTCTAACCAAGAGTTGACAATCTTAACATCATCTTACATGGGATGTAACGCATAGTTGTTCTCAGTATGCAGGACATAACTTACTTTTCAACTAGTATGAGACCCCATACTTTCATGATCTCTCTCTTCTTCCCTTTAGTGTGAAGCAACCTAACGCTTGAGACACATGGACTCATCAGTCTTATCAAAGTTTACACGGTTGACTACTCCAGGACATCAACTAGTCCTCAGTTCTTAGTTATGTTTTTATTGTCGATATACAGATGTCGTCGGCTCCAGCAAGAAAGAGGAATTGGGAGGAGCTTGATGACATCATATAATACTGTTATACACTCTGATTGGTTGATCTGTTTATACTATTGTTAACTATTTCTTTGCTGCTGGGAGAATCAGCAAAGAAAGATAAGCAAATATTCGCCTCCTCTCGTTAATAAAATTTAGATTATTCAGTCACTAAAGCTAGAATAATCCCTAACTAACAGAAACTAAGTGAACGGAAAGATATGCAGACCGAAGCTGTATCAGACAGGATCCTAGATAAGGAATAAATCAATGCATAGACCCAAGAACAACTACTAAAAATTTAAAATGTCAAGTATGAATGTAACCTGGGTGCAGGTAATACTTATTTCCAAAGTACAAAGCAAGATGTTAATGTAGAGTTTAACAGGAAATTGGTGAATGTATACTGTACAAAGGCAATGTTCACACAAGAAATGTAACGCTCCACCCCGGAACTCAGAAATAAAGAATTATTAAAAAAAAACATATATCCACCTGTTCTCTAACAAGATAATTGTATACCTGCATTCTTTTACTAATGGTATTCATGCCCTGTGCATTCACTGATATAAATGTAACCATATTTATTAATTTTTAACCAACAAAGCCCCAGGGCCCCCACACAGCATCGGAGTAAACACAAAACATACCTAACATATCAACCCTTGGAAATATTCCGTAGCTCGAATCAACAATTATACACAGAGGAGAATTCCGAGTACTCGTCTCGGTTATTTTCAAGCGGGCCTGGCTCATGCCGGCTCGTACCTAATGTCTAGTTAAGACACAAAGTAGGGGACATAAATGGCTTGTGCTGAGCATGGAACTAAATTAGTACTGCTAAATATGTTAAATGAGTTATATAATTAGTATACCAATATCTATTAGCAATTTTAGAATTATATGTATAATATATCCTCAATCACTTAAGAAAATAGGGTAGAGAGGGGAGTTTATACTTAACTTATTCTAAAAGCCTATATAGATAGATCTTCCTTCAGGTTTGATTTACCTTCAACACTCCTATATACATATTAAGCTAGTATTCCACTAACCACCAAAAATATATGTTTTTGTAAAACTCAGTTTTAAAAAGGTCTTTACCTTTCTCTTATTATTAATAATTCTCTCTTTGTACTATAAGTATTAGATGTAACAGATTATGTAAACTATAAATACAATATTTAAACACTTATTTTCTATACCATCTCTCTCTGATTTCACCTTCCCTGCTCTCTTCGTGTTAATATTATTAAAGTGTCTGTGTTTAACCAAATCTTCACAAATATTTCCTTAAAAGACCACTATAGTGCCAGGAAAACAAACTCATTTTCCTCCCACTATATTGTCCTTAGGTCCCCCCCCACCTTAAGGGCCCCCTTCCTGCTGGGCTGAAGGGGTTAAAACCCCTCCAACGTTAGCTCCCGAGTGTAGCTGAATGCACATGCGCGGCCAGAGCCGCACGCGCATTCAAACCGCCCATAGGAAAGCATTACTCTGAAACTGCTATGTTTACAGCTGCAGGGTTAAAACCTAGGGACCTGGCACCCTGACCACTTTATTGAGCTAAAGTGGTCTGGGTGACTATAGTTGTCCTTTAAGTATTCATAGTGACCTATTATTAATTATATTATTTTGTGTCCAAGTGCATCTTATCCCCTCTTTTCTTCTCTAATCGCTACTTTAAAGCATAATCATTCCTGAATAATTTAATCCTATGATGTGTTAAATACGTTTATACATAAATTTAATTCTTCCCCCCTCTTAGTTCCTCTCCTCCACCTTGCCCCACCCCTCTTTATTTTAAGTCAAAACCTGTGTCCATCATGAATCTATTATTTTCTTATTTTTTTCCTTGTGCAATCCAGTGATTCATTTCCTCTAAAAAAAATAAAAAATTTGTCCAAGTGACAAAAAGAGAGAATTTAGTATTTAGTAACTTCTTTTCTCCTTTATTTTCTTTTCCCTTTGCTAATCCCACCTATCATTCAAAATTAAATTTACTTAATAACTGCTTACTTTTAGCCAATTCTGAATTGCATTAGGGCAAATTAAAGCTAAGCTGCTCATCTTTCCACAATAGTATTAACTTAGATGGATATCCCTACAAATATCTGATATTGTGTTGTCTCAAAGTTCCAAGAGCTTGTCTGAAGGAATTTCTCCATTGCCTGGTTTGAAATGAAAAGTCCTGAAAAATAAGGATTTCTTAAAATTTTTCACTTTTTGATTGATTGTCTCTTCTAGCTTTAGTAACTTGTTCCTTGCATGTAAATGAGTGAAAACATACTATCACGTCTCTTGGGTATTGAGATGGAACTCCTTTTGGTTTAGCAAGACGATGAATTCGTTCTAGGATTGGGTGTTGATCTTCTGTTGCTAGGCTCATATCTTTGAAAAAAGCAAGTAAAAAGTCTTTTAGATGTGTCTGTGCTATGTCTTCTGTGATATTTCTAAATTTTAAATTGCAGCGTTGCAAATGGTCTTCTAAATATCTAAGCTTCATGTCTATTTGTGACAATTTGTCGTCCACTTTATTATTTCCTTCCTTCAAGGTAGTTGTTTTTCATCCATTTTATTTATTTTTTTCTTCCACTGAGCTTACTTTCAGCCCCAGGTCTGTAATTTCTTTTTTAATTTCTGAAAAACTCTTAGATATTTCCTTAGAAATAGAAGACAATTGGACATCAACTAAGAATTTTTGAGTGGCATATGATTGATCTCCCAGATCATGATGTATTATCTCTTGTCGTTGGGGGCGGCTTTCATGGTCATCTAAAGGAGCCATACTGGTAGTATTGCCTGGTCTCTCCTTATTAAGAATAGGGGGGGGGGGGAAACAAACTCCTTTTTGTCTGGATGTCATCCCTTTTATCCTTTTCCTTCCCCTTCATCATTCTCTTCGAGGCCATTGGAGTGCCACAATTGAAATGATTTCGCTTTTTTTTTTCCTTTCCTCTTTCTTCACTTTTTAATATATCTTATATTTTCAGTATATAATAAGAGTTAACAACTTTGAAATATCCTCTCTTACTTTATTCCTTTTCTCCTCCTTTATATTCCCAGTTCTTTTATCAAAAGAGGCAATGGTATATTAAAAAAAAAATCAGCAAGAGTACTTATCTTGTGTAGATGTAGGAATGGCTCCTTAGTAAATCGCGCACACTGGCGTGTTGGGCACCCATCCAGTGTCTTTTTACTGCTTATTGTTTAGAGCTTCTTTTCAATAAGAGTATTACAATCTTCTGTCCCAGGACTCCTCTCGAGAAATTCAAAGTGGTAGTTTGGCAGTCTGGCACTCGAAGGTTGACCGACTGCTGTATGCACTGCTTCACGCAAGTCTTACAAAAAGGCTGTCAGCTCAGCACGCCATTCTCCTGCTCTCCGCTCTCCTCACTCAGCGTGTGCCCACACTCCCACCTCTTCTGGTGTGCTACCTCCTCACACCCTGAGTTTTGTTAACTATTAATTCATTAGCATATTGTCAAGCAGGGAAAAAAATGCGAATCACGTCTATCATTCTAAACACAATATAGTGCCACAAAATGAAAGTACACGTCATATATCAAAACCTCCCTCTGACTCCTACCCAATATAGCACAATAATAAGTATATATATACTTATTGTGCCTTCTTCGGTAAGAGTCATACATTAGAATATTATCAAGTATGAATATATACTTATCATTGTGCTATCTTGGGTAGGAGTCAGAGAGAGGTTTTAATATATTGTGTTTAACAATGATAGATGTGATTCAAATTGTTTTTTTTCCCTTCTTGACAATATTCTAATCAATTAAATAATAAATTGGGGGCGGAGCCTGAGCACCAAGCGGTGAAGACGTGGGTTACATGAGCTCCTGCCCGGCGGGCAAAAACTCGAGAAATAGCATCGGCTATGAAGCCTACAGACATACCAGAGTGCACTACTCACGTTGGGGGTGCACCACCGAAGCGAGTGATATCACTCCAACGCCCGTCGGGGCTGGGGGCACTGAACGCCAGGTGCGGCCTACTGGAGTTGGAGCCAGGACGAGACGGCCGCTCGCCCCGACCTCGGAGCTCTTGAGTGACTCTGCAAACATCCAACCCCCCTCCTTTGGACCTGTGGGGGTTATCCCAGTCTCCACTGGCCACACTGAGCAAACCTGATGACGGATTTACTGGGTATGCAGCCTACAGGGGTACCGCACCATCAAAGCACAGCCAAGATGGCGGTTCAGCAAAGGCCCACGCCAAACAGCACTAGCACCCAGCCACCAACGCAGCCCATGGAGGCTTTTGACCGGCTCTGTAGGAACTTTTGGACGACACTCTGCAACCGCGGGGCGACTCACCATCAAGCAGTGAGAGTGGTGGCTCCATGGAAATGCCCAGACGCCTGGCGCCGCCATTATGATCCCGTGCCTCAAGCCCCCAGAGCAGCTATCCTGCTGCGCAGACACAAGTGATCAAAGCGGGAAACGGCATCATGGTGTTCGGCACAAGCACTCGCTCCCACACACGCAGGAGCTGGAGTTCTAAACAAGCCCCACAAGCACGCATCTCATCTGACCCAAGAATCGGAGATCAACACGGCATACCTCTGCCCTTTACGGTCATAGCCACCAACCGGGTCGTTATGCAGGGGTCCACCCCACCGCCTATCGACTGAGCTGAATCCCTGCACAGAGGCGCCATTGAAGAGGCCCCTAATGCCAAACTCCGGGACATGCCTGCACTGGGCACAGGATGAAGCACCCAACACTGTGCCCTACAGCGGACATGCCCTGCACTGCGAACTGAGAGCATACCTCCTAGGTACCTTGCCGATACTTTCACATTCCTACTCCCCTTGCACTTTTTATGCCCCATGCCTTGATTAAGCTGAGTGCCACTGTAGACAAGTGTGACCCAGTGGTTCCCTGAGGGAACTTAGCTCAAACCTACATTGCTACTGTTATTTGAGTGAACATCTACCTGCTACACCTTAACATGCATACACATCTTAGATGCTCATCTTGGCTAATCACTCCCATGCTATCAGTTACAGCACTCAAAGCTTAGCCTGTTGTTTCATCATTGTTTACTGATATGAGTTTAATATGTCCTCGTTTCACTATATGCCTACAAAATGTGTCTAGCTTGTATCAAAATGATAAAAAAAAAAAAAAAGTGCAGTTTTCTAGTGCCAAATTGAGAATTTTGATGATTAATATATGCGTGCTGTTGTGGCACATTATACATGCTTGTAATTTTCATGCACAGGAAAAAAAAAAAAGAATAAAAAAATAAATAAATAAATTATTTTAAATTTTTTCTAACTTAAGCATGACTAGCCTTATTTTAATGCGATATTATTTATAAATTTCTTGTGGATCATTCCGAGGTTGCAAACGAGGGTAACCTCTATACCTGCACCCATTTACATTAGATTGCCAACACATCTCTAGTATTTTTTGTCCATTATATAACATTACAGGGATTAAAATATTCCAAAAGTGTATTTAATCTTAAATAATTATCACAGCTTGTCACATACCAGATCAGCTTCTCTTTTTCGAGGCAAAATAACCCTCGCAGGCAGGCAAAAGCTCTCGATGCCGTGTAGAGGCTGAAGCCAAGGCTGGTTTTGCAATTTTTACAAAGCAAGAGATAATAGGCACTGAAAAGAGAAAGGAAGTTTATTCAGATAGAAGATGTCTTGAAAAAGGATAGAAGGTTAAAATGTACATGATATTCTCAAATATTAGAATAAAAAAATAATAAAGAAGATGGATAAGTCATATAAAATTGTCACCCAACTGCAAAAAACATTGCAAGCACCGTAACCCCTACAGCTCGCTGTAGAAGTTATGGTGCCAGAGGTGTCCTGGTACCATCTTGTTGTAACAAGTCAAACCATTTTAGAATGGTTTGATTTCTTACTTGGGGTTCTGCGCCCTACCTTCCTTACTAACGATGGAGAGTTAGAAGCAGCTGTACGGGGGCCTGGATCCTATAGGGGAAAAAAAAACCTTAAAGGACCACTCTAGGCACCCAGACCACTTCAGCTTAATGAAGTGGTCTGGGTACCAGGTCCTTCTAGGGTTAACCCATTTTTTTTTATAAACATAGCAGTTTCAGAGAAACTGCTATGTTTATTAATGGGTTAAGCCTTCCCCCTAATCCTCTAGTGGCTGTCTCATTGACAGTCGCTGAGGCGCTTGCGTGCTTCTCACTGTGATTTTCACAGTGAGAGCACGCCAGCGTCCATAGGAAAGCATTGATAATGCTTTCCTATGTGACCGGGCTGAATGCGCGCGCAGCTCTTGCCGCGCGTGCGCATTCAGCCGACGGGCGGAACGGAGGAGGAGAGAAGGAGGAGAGCTCTCCGCCCAGCGCTGGAAAAAGGTAAGTTTAAACCCCTTTCCCCCTTCCAGAGCCGGGCGGGAGGGGGACCCTGAGGGTGGGGGCACCCTCAGGGCACTATAGTGCCAGGAAAACGAGTATGTTTTCCTGGCACTATAGTGGTCCTTTAACTCTGCTGCTAGCCCGCAGCAGGGCTAAAAGAAAAAATATCCTACCCGGGCGATACGAATTACACATCTCTGAAATAGATTTGTGACACTCTCTCAAGTGATAGGTTAGTGTGCAAATGCAAATTAGTAATTTATTGGTGACACTATAAAGATTAACTATTCTATACTTTATAAATTTGGAAGAAAAAGTGTAAAAAAGAGAAAGGGAATGTATGAGAGAAGGGAATGAAAGGGAAAACAAAGAGGGGGGGAAGGAAGGGGGATAAAAGGGGAACAAGTATAGAAGTTACTGTCATATGAGGGAGATAAAAGGTCACTTGCAATTATTATATTGTGTCTGTTTTTGTATCTGAGAAAATATAATAAAGAGAAATATAAAAGAGACAAAAAAAAAAAAAAAAAAAGTTCAATGGTAAAACTAAGGAAATATTTTTTGTATGAGCCTCCATTGTTTCGTGACCTCAATGCTCCTTAGATGCAACAGTCCTGCTGCGGCCCAACTTAGTCATTGCACTGTTTAGCACTTGACTGAGTAGGAGGCTAACACAGCAGCAGCAAATTGATTATTTAATATTGCTCCAATATTGATACCTGCCAAATAAATCATGGCTTGACAACTGAATAAAAGAGGGAAGGTCTCAGAGTGCCATGGGAAAGGGCACAAAGATGATACCCCCTCTATCCCGTGGACTGAAGGTTCAAACAAAACACAACTTGTGAAGTTTATGGCAGAGGCTGTAATTGGAGTGTCACCCCTTCGTGAGGTAATAAAACGTTACAAACTCACCTATAAAATGAGCCGTTATGGGAGTCCCCTGGTCCGCAACATGCTATCTGCTCATGGATTTAAACAGGCCAAAACAAGCAGTAGTGATTTTCAATTGATGTGGACAGGACCAGGCATGCAATACCCCAGTTATGCAAACCTTTCAAAAGGAAAAAAGATAAACCACTTCCCCAGATCCTCTGAGTTGTCCCGCAAAGATTTTCTCTGTAAAAATATTCAAAGGCTTCAGAAGAAAGATGGGGAACAACAATGCAACTTTCTGCCTCAGAGCTATGTGCTCCCCGACGAATACCAGGACTTTTCTCAAGTTATTGCCAAAGATCAAGGTCCTTGGATTGTAAAGCCAGTTGCATCTTGTCAAGGGCACGGAATTCGGCTTATAAATTCCCTATCACAGATAAGCGCAAAAGACCGTCTCCTGGTATCACGCTATATCAGTAATCCGCTTCTTGTTAAAGGGTACAAGTTCGACTTACGTCTGTATGTGCTAGTCACATCATACGACCCATTAATAATTTATTTCTACGAAGAAGGACTAGCCAGGTTTGCTACCTCAAAGTACAGACCAGCAGAGCACGCCATGAAAAACAAATTCATGCATTTAACCAACTATAGCATAAACAAGGACAGCCCTTGCTTTGTGGCTAACGATGATCCTGAGGACGAGAACTATGGTAGCCAATGGACCATGAGCGCTATGCTGCGTCATTTAAAACAGAAGGGAAAAGATACAACAACGCTCATGGCTGAAATTGAAGATCTAATTATTAAAACAATAATTTCTGTGGAAGGATCAATCACTGTAGAATGTTCAGGAGTTCTGGCTGGCAAAAAAAACTGCTTTGAACTGTACGGTTCTGACATGCTAATTGACGAAAACCTAAAGCCTTGGCTGATGGAAGTCAATTCGTCACCATCTCTGGATCCTTATTCTCCACTTGGTTTAAAAGTGCTAAACAGTGCAATGACTAAAGGCAAATTTAATAGCAGACATGCTTACATTGGTTGGCCTGGAGTGTAAAGACCTCAAACCTGAAAAGAAAGGAGGTCCAGCAACCACGGAAAAAAATATTAAAGCCGGCTATTGCATGACATCTGCATTACAGACTAAACCCTCCCTATATGACGAATGGATGGCAATTGTTCAAGACGTCAGGGAGGAGGAAAAGAGGCAAGGGGGGTTTGTACGGCTATTCCCAAGGCAAGACACATGGAAACAATATGGGTCTTTATTAACATACAAAAGCCTGAATCACATGCTGGCTCAACACCTTTTCACGGAAACGTCAACAGAACCAGAAAACGGCATCAAACAGCGTATAGCTCTCTATGAGAGGATGCTGCCACCCGTGCACAAACCCAGGCCTCAATATCAGTTTAAACAAAAACCTGTTAAGCCGGCTGATACAACCAAAGCATGTCAGCAGAGCCGAGGAAAAGATAACAAGGACTCAGGGCGCATGAACCTTCCAAAGATTTCAGACCTGTGCAGTCGTAGCAGCAACACGAAAGCTGGGGACCTCAGGAGCAAGAGACCAGCTCCACCAATACCTAAGGTTGTGGAGTCCCGCAATGACTCGAGTGGTGGGGCAAAGATGCAAGCAATTGTCAGAGATGCAAAAACAAAAGCTCTCTACAACAATGATGCAAGAGTAGTAAGACGGTTCAGTCAGGTTTCAGGGGACCTGCAGAGCAGGAAACCTCTTCCACCAATGCCTAAGGTTGTGCAGCCCCTCCATGATTCACCTCTGGTTACGAAGTTGCCAACAATCTTGGGAAAAACAAAACCAGAAGCTCTCCACTATGACTATAGGATAGCTAGTAAACGGTTCAATCAGGCTTCAAAAATAATTTCCGGCTCCTCTGACATTTACAAACTGGCTAGTGATGAACAAAAGTGGCTACAGAGAACTCTGGAAAATCAGACAGCTCTGCCAGGAACTTAACAGTAAGTACGTTATTTGAATATGTCTGAAAACAAATATTTGTAACAAAAAAAAAAGTAAAAAAAAAAAAAGAGAGAGAGAAATTATATTTATTATCTATTTCTGGTAATAGCAGTAACAGGAAGATTGGACGGCACCATAAAGCAGGAGACCAGCTTCTCCAATGACTACAGTTGCGGAGTCCCAGCATGACTCAACTGGTGGTATGAATATGCCAGCAATCTTTGTAGCTGACACGGCTATAGAGAACACAGGAATCAGGATGCTCTGCCAGGAAATTAACAGTAAGTACGTTATTTGAAAAAAAAATTCCTGGATAAAACCATGGTAGCATCACTAAAGGTTTAGCTTTGCCAACTTGGCTGATGTGGAGAGGAAGTGAAAACCTTTAAAGGAAAACTATATGGTCAGGAACACAAACATGTATTTCTGACCTTATAGTGTTAAAAAAAATAAAAATTCATCTAGCCCCCCTGGCCTCCCTAAATATAGTAAGATCTTACTTTTATTCCAATATGCTGGTGCTGGCTCTGCCCCGATCTGCCTCCTTGGCTGACATCTCTAGACACTGTAAATACAGTGTTTACTGCATATAGCCTGCAGGGACTAGCTATAAACACCATATTACAAAAGGTAGTTGTTGTTCTGGTGACTAGTGTCCCTTGAAATATATTCCCTGGTCACAATATCCTCAGTCTTGTTCTGAGCTCCTGAAGGTCACATTGGATACAATCTGATTTAAAAAAAGGGCAGGGGACCCATGCTGGCATCATCACTAAATGGTAATACCCAAACTAGCATACATGTGAGGAAAGAAAAATAAATAAAAACACCAGGATAATGCAAAATATATAATACATATATTTAAAAAAAAAAAAAAAATAGATACTGGTGGCCTGAAACACAAGGCATAATGAGAGACACCCACTTCCCACGCAGAACCAAGAATCTCTTCGTTTTGAATCTCTCTGCAGATTTAAGGTGTTACTAAGCTTGGAAGATACTCCACTTCATTTATTCTTATTTTGTTACTATAGTATTGTTACCATTTATGCCTGTAGTTCGCCAATGTAATTCTCTGTTCATGCAGTTTATTATTGTCATTTAATGTGTTACACCAATATATCACGTACACCTTTATTAAGCTTTTGTGTGATAGAATTTGTTTGGAAAACTTTTTCAGTTGCATACCCCCATCTCTCTCACCAGCCTCTGTCACTCCTAACCATAAATACCTTCATGTAATAAGTTAAAAAGAAAGATTTAAGAAGGGAGAACGTGGGGCGGGGCCGGGCCGCCGAGCTGGACGGTCGCAAGCCAGAGCGACTCCGGCAAAACACTACTGAAAACTCGCTAAAGACATGGATCTTTAACCTAAAGTGGACCGACAGCACAGATGCCCAGTGCCGGGGAACAGCTGGACCCGGGGAGAGGCTGGCTCGCTGAGCTACAGTCCCCTGGGGGAGTGGATCTCGGTGCCCTAACCCGGACCTTCTCCGGCGGTGAGTGGGGCAGACGGCCGCTGCCTCACTATCCTGCACCACTGAGCCTGGCCAAAAGCACTGATCGGCGAAGACCCGGCTCCGTTCCCCCCCCCCCTCTATGGACCGGGGGGGTGATCCCGGTCCTCACCCAGTGGCCATAAGCGGGAGTCTGCAATTGAGGCCGGGGAACCCGACCGCTGCCTCCAAGATGGCGGGCGCCATGTGCGCTGACGGCATGAGGAAAAGGGGAAAAAAGCCTCCCTCCTAGTGTCCACCACCCACAAAACAACTCCTGATATAAGATCCCGCCACACAGGGAAGCACCAATGTTCGTGGCTAATCCCCGCAACAACACAAGCCAACAACACGAGCAACAGGTGGCTCGAAGGGATGGGTGACAGCAGCGGCACTGAAGAGATAGGATATCAAGCATCGACCATTCCTGTGCCTTCTGCCCAGCAAAACACCTCTGCTAGCAGACCAACCCTGTACCCACTTACTACTCAGCCTTTAACAGGACACCTCGGAGAGCTACAGATCTCCGCGGATACCCCCAACGCTTAAACATGGCGGACACCAACCGGCGGATGACCAAAAGCAGCAAGCCCACTCTGCTCAGGCTATACCTCGGAGGACCACAGTGAACAACGCAGAATTACACATAGACAACGCATGCTCCGAGGCCTGCTCTGAAGGACGCTTGCTCCCCACTACATAGTCACAACAGAGCAGGTATTGGGGAAAAACTGGACTGCACCTATATGAAAAGTCTTGGACTCACTAGGATGCCAACCCTTTCCCACGGAGGCAGCTCGGGGACTCCACGATCCACCAGGGTGATAACCACGCATTTTCCAACTACTACTATACTGCATAACATGCTTATAAGCTATAGCCTCATTAACATGATTAATCTAATCTAACATTGTTTCATAGCGACTACCTAACTCTAATAATATGATAGTTATGTTGTTGTCCTAGCTTGAAAAATAACTGTTAATCCACTAAACATATTATTAACCCTGGAAGTACTTAGGTATGTCATATGCATGTCTAGAAAGAAACAAAACTTGTTGTTCTCGTGTATAAAAAAAAATGTGCTGTATCAAATGCCACTCATTGAATTGCCATGAATATGCCTGCAGTTGCTGTCGTGGCCCTGCATGCTTGTCTGTTATTTATATGCACATGCAAAAAAAAAGAATAAAAAAAAAAAAGGGAGAACGTGTCCGGATGCTTGTGAGAATGGGGGGTAACCCCTATACCAAATACAAAAATATGAGAACTTAAGGGGAGACTAGGAGATAAGAAATTATCACTACCTCTCAAGTCTTCCTTCTGAGAAATGGGAGAGCAACCCTTAATGAAAAATTAAAACGTCACTTTTAATCAATTATTTTAAAATACCCAAGTCAGGGATGTGAAAAGGTTATTATAATCAAAAGGTCCTAATACATACTAGTTCACAATATATATATGCAGGTTTAGAATTAGAACAATTGCTTGGGTGGAGAGGAAAACGAAAAGTAAAAGGAGGGGTCTGTCTGTCTAATTGCCACTAACGGAGTGGGTAGGGATGAAAAGAGCCAAGTACGGATAAATCAATCCTAACCTACCGTGCCTTCGAGGGAACCCCTTAAAAAAGTCTAAAGCTAAAACTCCCTCCCACTTTCCCACAAGTATGGGACTTCTAAAAAGAAAAGAAAAATATAAATAAATAAAATAAAGATTGATCTTAGCGAGGTGGCTTATCTTATCTTGTGAAGGTACCAATACAATATCCCTAATCTAAGTGCCAAAACCTCTGCCAACCGATTCCCGACACGCGTTTCGCCAAGTGCTGGCTCTTCCGGGGAACCACCTCCCACTCTAGAGAATATATTTCAAGGGACACTATAGCTATAGGAGACCAGCTAGTCCAATGCAGACGGTTGCAGAGTCCCTGTATGACTCAGCTAGTGGCATGAAGATGCCAGCATTATTTGGAACCAAAATGGCTATAGTGGACCTTGGTATTGGACAGCTCTACCAGGAACTTAATAGTAAGCGTGTATTTGAATAGGGCTGAAAAAAAGAGCTTTGTAAGAGTAAAATGAAAGCAACATATAATCAATCAAAATTATGTTTTATCATCCATTTCTGTTCACAGCAGCAACAGAGAAGCAGGAGGCCAGCTAGTCCTGTCTGGACTCAGCTGGTGGCTTTAACAGGTCAGCAATCTTTGGAAATACTAAAATAGAAGCTTTCAGCTACCACAACAAAAGACTAACAAGATAACAAGCTTCTCATCTTTTCACCGGCTGCCTAGCAATGAACTGAAAATGCTTTAGAGAAACCTGAAATAAAGCAGTACTTAAAACAGCATGTACGGGGGCGGACCCAACAGCGAAGCCGAGCGGACACCATTTCTAACATAGAAACATAGAATGTGACAGCAGATAAGAACCATTTGGCCCATCTAGTCTGCCCAATTTTCTAAATACTTTCATTAGTCCCTGGCCTTATCTTATAGTTAGGATAGCCTTATGCCTATTCCACGCATGCTTAAACTCCTTTACCGTGGGGGAGCGGGGCCGACCACCATGCTGAGACAAGACAAGCTCCTGCAGACGAACGACAATTATAATCATAAAAAGCAAATAAGCTAATCATCTACAGTTAAGCAGCAGCGGTACTGCGGGCAAAGAAGGTGCTGGAGCTGAGGCTACTCTGATTCCAAGCGTTTTGACCCCGAGAAGGCACATCAGCACAGCTCCATCTAAGGCCTACCCGAGCGGTGAGTGAGGTGGAGGGCCGCCACCTCGCTATCCTGCCCTGCGGTTTCCCTTCAGAACTCCGACACCACGTGGTAAGGGCCCCATATCCCCCCCCTTTGGACCGGAGGGTCATCCCAGTCCCAGGAGACTGTCTTCGCGGTCTGTAGTGCCTGGGCCTGAGAGGGCTCCCCACGACCAAAATGGCAGAAACAGGAGGCAACCCTGAAATGGCAGCGCAACCAGGGACCACCAGATCACAGCAAAACTGATACCTCGAGGCTGTCCAGGCGGCGGAAAAGCAAAGGGGCCCTTTACTACAGCGAAGCTACCAACTTACTGATCCACAGACGGGGATTCCCAGCTTCCGTGGCAACAAGCAGTCGGGACCTGCCACCCGGTCCATCACTAAGCTTGCAATAATACGCTCAGACATGCAAAACACCACTGACAGGGTCCGGGCTACAGGAGAGGACTTTATAGACATAAATGCAGGCCTCACCAACATACACCCCACGGTACAGCAGCTGACTAAATCGCATCAAACACTCACTACAGATGACCGTCATCGAAGACCAATAATGTCAAAATCAGGGGCATACCGACAGCAATATCGGCAGAGGAGCTACCCCACTATGTCAGGAGATTGATGGCAACAATATTGCCCCCCCAAAGAAAATCATGCTAGATGGGGTGTACATAATCCCAGGGCCCACCAGGCCACCACTGCACACCGCCAGAGACGCCATCGTAAGATGCACCTCGGCACAAGATAGGGGGTATATCATGGCAGCCCTGAGAGGTAAAAGGCCACTAACCTTCGAATAAACACAATTGACCTATCAAAATCTTATCAGAGAAACCCTACAATAGTGCAAATCGCTCACACAAGTCACGCAACAATTGAGCGCTGCAGGCATAGCTAACCGCTCGGAAAAACCGGGCACGCTAGAAGCAACCCACTACAGAACCACTTACTCACTGACCTGGCAGCCGCACATAAGTTCCTTCCATCACTGGGACTGGCAGAACCACGGACTGGCCCAAAAACCAATGCCCTGGGCAGGTCATGGGACCCGGCCACTACCATACCCTTTGTTCCAAGAATGGGAGTGGAGAGGCAACTGGTCACCTAAAAGCAGTTGGCAACGGAGATGTTGGTGTCTGCTCTAAAGACTACTGAAAGAGACCTGCAACTTAAATGACAAAGTTTTATTTTCTAGCTTTTCTCATATGGTTGCTCTTAAATTGTGTTTGATTAATATTGTTTTACGGTTTGACTAAGCTATACAACACTCCACAGCGGCTCCACTGAGACTTACATTGATGGAAGACCACCCTACGCGGTAGTGACCCAGACGGCTCTAGAGTTCAGAGGTCATCCAGTAACAACTCCTAGGCGAGGCATACACTACACCTCAACCCCACTCCCCCTGCAGCCCCTTTGGTTAATTGCAATGTACAGTTCCTTGTTGGAATCCATCACACTGACACCCGTACAGAACAATCTCAATGCAGGAACCAACACGACAGGCAACCTTGCATGACATCCCCACAATGTCATTGACCCTCGACTGTTCACCTCATACAGAGGACCACCAACCAACGCTGAACCCAAGACCCTAACATTGCGTCACTACTCCGATATAGAAACCCTGTACCTCAACTATGCAATATATCAGCACACTCACGATTACTGACCCACTAGGTGCACTCACCTACTGATATAAACAGAAGTTCACATCAGTTCAGTAAATTCAGGCCTACTGCGCATCATTCGAGTAAATTAATGCAACCATAGAGGTTTGTTAGGTTTTTATATTTTTTTTAAATGCTCCCAAAATGTTAAAGTAAAATAGAGCAGGCTTGACAAATGTGCATGGAATCTAGGAGCCAGCTAAAAAAAAAAAAACTTAGGAGCCAGTTTTTTTGCAACAACAAAATTACAATTCTTAAGGGAACACTATAAGTTTACAGACTACAGCTTATTGTAGTGGCGCTAGTGTCTATAGCATGTTCCTGCAGGCTGAGCACGGTAAACTCTGCCTTTTCAGAGAAAAGGTAGTGTTTACATTGCTGCCTAGTAACACCTCTAGTGGCAGTCACTCAAAAGCCCACTAAAGTGTCTTCTATCTCAGTGCTATACAATGTGCAGCACCTACATTCTGCATCTCCACACTCTGCATGGAGGCGCTAAACATTCCCCATAGAGATCCATTGATTTAATGCATCTCTGTGAAGAGATGCTGATTGGCAATTGATAATCTCAGCTATGGAGGCAGGCCAGCTGCGGCGAGACTGGCACGGCGTTGGAAAAGGTGAGTATAAACACCATTCCCATGGGGGGCTGGTGACCTAAAAATACACATTCACTGACAGATACCCAGACTAACAAAATTACACACACATACAGAGACAGACACACACATTCTCTCACACACTCACAAAGTATTATTTATTATTATTTGATACACACAAATAGACAAATATATACACACACGAAGATTCACAGATACACACATGACAGATACACAGAAATAAATAAAAAAGTAAAATAAAAACATTTTTACCCACACTCCTGTTTCCTGACTTGTGGGCTCAGGAGGATGGCTTCCCCGGGATCCAGTTGGACTGGGCAGCAGCAGGAGACATCAGGTTAGTGGGACTGGCTGCGGCTGATGGGAGTAGGCTGCCGCTGTTCCAGACTCCCCCTTCTCCTGTCTCTCCATTGCCGTGCAGCTTTCTGTGTGCCAGGAGGAAGTGAAGAAAACTGTAATTACTTCCTCCAAGCGCTGAGTCTGCTCAGAGGAATAGGCAGGCAGCTAGCTCTGCGGAATGGAGCAGGCTGGAGGTCGGCTCTGTGGAATGGGGATGGATGGCGAGCAGAGCACTCTTTGCTTTGTGTCCTGCCAGTGTGCTATGCCCCTGCACAGCCTCAGCGCTGGGAGGAAGAAAATATAGTTTACCTTTACTTACTCCAGGTACACTGCCGCAAAGAGTGCTGCACAGGGATTGAGGAGAGAGAATGAACGGGCTAAGTATACTATAAGACGCCAGGACAAAATTCTTAGCCGCCATGGCGACCGGGGATTTTTTTTGAGCCCTGGAATAGAATCACTACATTTGCCAACACACACACATCAGTGTTAAAAAGTAGTCATGGTGTATGGAGTTTCTTTGCTGCACGTGGAATAACTCCAGCTCCCAGAGCATCATTAACCAGCCAATTCCATGCCACCCAAGTCCTCCCTAACTTCCCTAACTTTTCTATCAACTTTATCTTCTATGACCAACTCCATGAGCTTGCAGATAATGAAGGTACAAGGATATGGGATATAGATATGGTACAATAAGAGTAGTTAGAAGTAGGAAGGAATAGATATATTTTTACAGAGACATGACTGGGAGAGGTAGGAACAGGTATGCTAGGGTAAAGGCCGGCAGGGTTATTTATTAAAGTGAGAATTTGTGTAAATTTAAAAAGAGGTACCATTTGTGATTTTAAAAATAGTCATGGTGCTTCAAATCTGTATGTGCAGTGTTTCTGCTTGAAATGTTGCACATCAGGACACTGGCTGCTCACTGTTTAGTAGATCTGGCAAGAGGGAGAATTAAACCTATGTTCATTTACAAAGTAATATTTACTTAGTAAAGTTGACTGAAAGACCAGTTTGAGTGTTTCAGATTTTTAGTAGATAGCTCCATAATAATTATGGGATTGCCATTTCATGCAATTTCGAAACCGAAAATTATATAATTTAGTCCTAAAACAAATGAACAAACTGTCAACTTTCTGTTTGGACAAAATTTAGTCATTTCGGCGTCGCCCTTATCTACATGAGAAGACGCTCGGAAATACCAAATGTTGGCAATGCGAGAATATGGAGGAAAGGTGAGTATTGTGGGAAAACTTTCTTCACACAGGAAGTGGGGCTTACTCAAAGGACCACTATAGGCACCCAGACCACTTTAGCTCAATGAAGTGGTCTGGCTGCCAGGTCCCCCAGGTTTTAACCCTGCAGCTGAAAACATAGCAGCTTCCAAGAAACTGCAATGTTTACACTACAGGGTTAATCCAGCCTCCCTGACAGCCACTAGAGGCCGCTTCCACGATTCTCAGTGAGTAAATCGCACTGAAATGACGGTGGACGTCCTCACAGAGTCCAGCGTCAAAAAGGATCCCCATAGGAAAGCACTGAGTAATGCTTTCCTATGGGTGGGTGTGACATGCGCATTCAGCTCCACTAGGGAGCTGGCGTCAGCAGGGGGAGGAGAGGTCACCGGCGCCGAGGGAGCCCGGAGCTGGATTAAGGTAAGTGGCTGAAGGGGTTTTTAACCCCTTCAGCCCAGCGAGGGAATGGGGGGACATATTAACCCTATAGTGCCAGGAAAACAAACTATAGGATCCCTTTAAAGGGAAACTATAGACACCCAAACCATTCAGCAATAATACATTTGCAGAGCTAAATCCACCTCTAGTGACTGTCTACCACTAGGTCCCAGACGCGCAAGTGTGGAGGCACTATAGGGTACAAAAGCTAGGAATACAATTAGTTTTCCTTTAACCTCCTTAAAAAGTTTGCAAAGATACTTAGAGTTAGTTCGCCTATGTCCAGCCAGCACTAGCACTTGCCTACTGTATAACCCTTAATTATAATAGATTCAAATATATAAGGAAATCCAACTCTGTTTCTACAGAGTTAGAACGTCTAGTGTGGATTGAAATGTAACAGATAATAAAGTATGTACTAGATATCCCACAAACACACACAAATCCCCCCTCCCACCACGTAAAAAAATAAATAAAAAAGGTACACCCCCTTAAATTTTAAACATTAAAAGAGGTTTATCTCCCTACTCAAGAAGCTTTATTCATGCAGTGCGCATTTTTTCAGACATAAAACAAAACTACATACCAACCGTTCATGTCACCGTCCATAAATAAAAGCAGTCCTGTTTCCACAATCACATTATCAGTAACTCCTAAAAGTAAAACAAGGTCAGAATTAATACTAATCATGCCTAGAAGAAGAAGAAAGAAAATATTACTAAAAATACTAGTTATAGGTATAATTTTTGATTGGGCAGATACAAGAACATGTGGCTTCAGTTCATTTGGATTGTCTGGATTTAGGCTCATCATTCAACGTGTCCACATTCTGCCACCTTCTACAACTGCACCCAGGCAGTATATTCCATTGGACATTTCCTGGTCTTGGGTGAGAATTGTTCAGAGCTACTGAATCTGTCACTTACAAAACACGGAAACTACAAGTTCACCAATTTAATCCATAGATTGTGCTGGATAAATAGACAACAAATGAATACATTAAAAATATATAGTTTTACTATCTTACAAAATAAATGGTGCTATCTGCAGAGCAGCCACATTTGTAGGACTGTGAATTTTTAAATTATATTTTATTTACTTAACCCAGTCAGTGTGTCTGACACATCTTGCTGTCACATTTCATTTATACACTGAGCTGTGAGAAGTAAATATGGTCACCTGGCCTGTCCAGGAACTGTATGTATGTTAAAGGGACACTATAGTCACCAGAACAATTACAGCTTAATGTAACTGTTCTGGTGATTACAGTCAGTCCGTTCAAGCTTTTTGCTGTAAACATTGCCTTGTCATAGAAAAGGCAGTTTCGGGACACCTCAAGCGGGCAATCCTCAAATGGCTACTAGAAGTGCTACCTGGGGCAGTGCTGCAGACGTTCAATGCTTCCATGCTCTGCGCATTGATTCAATCCTGCATTGGGAAGACGTGATACGTTTTGTAAGGCAGAGCCATTATAATAAGAAATAAGTGCGAGATAGAAGATTACGGGAAAAACCAGAGGAGTTTACATAAAAAGTAGCAATCACATAACAGGAGAGATTCCTACTCGCTGGAGAGGAGCTGATGAAAGAGAAGGAATTTTTTCAGTGATGTGCTTATGATGCCTATGGAACTTCAATGTGACTGCAAGAGATGATCTATGGAGGACAGAGCTACTTTTTCATACCTTTGGACATGCGCAAGAGCACGCCACTGATTCAACTCATGGCAGCTTCATCTATCAAGGACCTGAAACTAGTCATGCAGAGGATGGAGAGTTCCAGTTTATTTATAGCACTCTATTAGTACTTTGTCAATTACTTTCTATTCTATTAGTTTCTTAGGACACCAGTTACTCACAAGGGCAGGTTATGACCTCCAGTGTGACACCAATACTCAGGCAGGTTAAGATACACATGGTGACCCTATTATTTACTCTGCCAGGCAGTGACCCACAAGGTGACCCCAATTATTGATTCAGGTAAGTTATGACCCGCACAGTGATTTAGTTACTCTCCCAGGCAGGTAAATACCTGCATAGTTATCCTATTACCCATTTGAGCAAGCAGCGACCTGCAGGGTGGTCCTGTTGTGCTCAACAAACAACAGGGTGAGCCTATTGCTCACTCAGGCAGGCAGTGACCAGCAGTGTAACCCCATTGCTCACTCAGGCAGGCAATAACCTGCAGTGTAACACAAGTACTCACTAGGACAGGCAGTAACCAACTGGGTTGCCATGCACTCTGGTAGTCAGTGAACCGTAGGATGACCCCAGTACTCACTTGGGAAGATTATGACTTGCAGTCTGTCATGTGTCCCGCAGAAGCTGTGCGAGTCCCCCAGCACAGTATTGCAGCTCTTACACAGGAACACCATGTCTAGTGACAGCTGCTTTGTGGAGGACTCGGCTGGGTGATTGGTGATCTCTTGGTACTCCATGGATACTGTTCTCTCTCAGACCGCCAATCTCTCTACTGTGCTTTAACTGCTTCCAGATTGGTTCCCTGTAATAATAGTATTAGTAGTTACAATAACGGATTTAATTAGCCCTTTTTCTGATGAGGTTCAAGTAAATTTATAACAGCCTCACTCACATATGCCTATTTTTTACATTTTATTTTTTCCTTTTTATTATAATTATTATTTATAAAGCACCAACAATTTCCACAGCCCTGTACAATGGGTGAACAAACAGACAAGAATTTGTAACCAGACGAGTTGGACACACAGGAACTGAGGGGGTTAAGGGCCCTGCTCAAATGAGCTTGTATGCTATAGGGAGTGGGGTATAGTGACACAAAGGGTAATGGTAGGGTAGAAAAGTAGGTTGCTAGGATAGGTTTTTGCTGAAGGCTTAGTGGTCTGTTTTTTTTTTTGGATGACATGACAGGAGAGGAAGCATGGTGCGGGAGGGAAAGCTATTAACAGCTTAATCGATATGCTTTCCTAGAGAAGTGAGCTTACAATTATTTTTTTTAAAGGATTGTTGACTGAGTGAGTGTCTTATGGAACAGGGAACGGAGTTCCACAGGAAAGGTGCAGCCCTAGAGAAGATTTGGAGGTGAGCATCAGAGCTGAGAGAACGAACAGAGAATAAACAACGGTCTTCAGTAGAACGTAGGAGCCTAGACGGGACATACTTGTGTATTAGGGTGGACAGGTAGGAAGGAGCAGCTTTATGTACAGATTTGTAAACAAGTACCAGAATTTTAAAATTGAGCCCTAGATCTTATGGGAATTTACAATGGTGAATGACACTTTTTTTTTTTTTTTAACTCTTTGCCTGCTGACTGCTAGCACTGCCAACAGACAAAAAGATCTGATGTTTAAAATACAGGTCTGGTTTAGCCTTAATGCTAACAATTCAGTACTGTGGCCCTGATAACAGAGTGCTCCCCAGCTTCCTGTGGCTCCCTCGAACCTTTCAGAGTAAAACCTAAGGTTTCTATGCTCCATGTTGGCACCCCCTTTTGTGACAGAGTGCACCCCGTGGCCCCTGCTAACACACACTATGCGCCCTGTGGCCCCTGCTAACACACACTATGAGCCCAGTGGCCCTTGCTAACACACAGTATGCTCCCTGTGGCCCCTGCTAACACACACTATGCTCCCTGTGGCCCCCGCTAACACACACAGTATGCGCCCTGTGGCCCCCGCTAACACACACAGTATGCTCCCTGTGGCCCCCGCTAACACACAGTATGCTCCCTGTGGCCCCTGCTAACACACACTATGCTCTGTGGCCCCCCGCTAACACACACACAGTATGCTCCCTGTGGCCCCCGCTAACACACAGTATGCTCCCTGTGGCCCCTGCTAACACACAGTATGCACCCTGTGGCCCCCACTAACACACACAGTATGCGCCCTGTGGCCCCCGCTAACACACACAGTATGCGCCCTGTGGCCCCCGCTAACACACACAGTATGCGCCCTGTGGCCCCCGCTAACACACACAGTATGCGCCCTGTGGCCCCCGCTAACACACACAGTATGCGCCCTGTGGCCCCCGCTAACACACACACTATGCGCCCTGTGGCCCCCGCTAACACACACAGTATGCTCCCTGTGGCCCCCGCTAACACACACAGTATGCTCTGTGGCCCCGCTAACACACAGAGCAAATGTGCCCAACACAGGTATGCCCCTGTGGCCCCCTAACACACAGTATGCTCCCTGTGGCCCCCAAGCACACACACAGTATACCCCCAGGCCCCGCCACACACACAGTATGCTCTGTGGCCCCCGCCAACACACACACAGTAGGCGCTCTGTGGCCCCCGCTAACACACACACACAGTATGAGCCCTGTGGCCCCGCCAACACACACACTATGAGCCCTGTGGCCTCAAGCACAGTATGCTCCCTGTGGCCCCCGCTAACACACAGTATGCTCCCTGTGGCCCCCGCTAACACACAGTATGCTCCCTGTGGCCCCTGCTAACACACAGTATGCACCCTGTGGCCCCCACTAACACACACAGTATGCGCCCTGTGGCCCCCGCTAACACACACAGTATGCGCCCTGTGGCCCCCGCTAACACACACAGTATGCGCCCTGTGGCCCCCGCTAACACACGCAGTATGAGCCCTGTGGCCCCCGCTAACACACACAGTATGCGCCCTGTGGCCCCCGCTAACACACACACTATGCGCCCTGTGGCCCCCGCTAACACACACACTATGCGCCCTGTGGCCCCCGCTAACACACACAGTATGCGCCCTGTGGCCCCCGCTAACACACACAGTATGCGCCCTGTGGCCCCCGCTAACACACACAGTATGCGCCCTGTGGCCCCCGCTAACACACACAGAATGCACCCTGTGGCCCCTGCTAACACACACAGAATGCACCCTGTAGCCCCTGCTAACACACACTATGCGCCCTGTGGCCCCCGCTAACACACACAGTATGCGCCCTGTGGCCCCTGCTAACACACACAGTATGCGCCCTGTGGCCCCCGCTAACACACAGTATGCGCCCTGTGGCCCCTGCTAACACACAGTATGCGCCCTGTGGCCCCCGCTAACACACACAGTATGCTCCCTGTGGCCCCTGCTAACACACAGTATGCGCCCTGTGGCCCCTGCTTACCGCAGCTGTTAGGGCCCCGGAGCCCCGCCCACTTCTCTCAGTTCGAAGTTTGCCGCTCGCGCGGTGTGACGAGCTCAGACCGAGCAATCAACGGCCGATCCGCAGACTGAGAGAGCAGAGCGCCGAACACAGGATTGGAATCCAGCCCAGAGCTCTGAGCAATAGAAATACTGATTAATACATAACTTACCCAGAACACTTATAAATAGAAATAATGATTAATATATATTACCCCAGAGCATTACATTCATAGAAATAATGATTAATACATACATATATATATATATATATTACCCCAGAGTACCAGGACTTTTCTCAAGTTATTGCCAAAGATCAAGGTCCTTGGATTGTAAAGCCAGTTGCATCCTGTCAAGGGCACGGAATTTGGCTTATAAATTCCCTATCACAGATAAGCGCAAAAGAACGTCTCCTGGTATCACGCTACATAAGTAATCCGCTTCTTGTTAAAGGGTACAAGTTCGACTTACGTCTGTATGTGCTAGTCACATCATATGACCCATTAATAATTTATTTCTACAAAGAAGGACTAGCCAGGTTTGCTACCTCAAAGTACAGACCAGCAGAGCACGCCATGAAAAACAAATTCATGCATTTAACCAACTATAGCATAAACAAGGATAGCCCTTGCTTTGTGGCTAACGATCATCCTGAGGACGAGAACTATGGTAGCCAATGGACCATGAGCGCTATGCCGCGTCATTTAAAGCAGAAAGGAAAAGATACAACAACGCTCATGGCTGAAATTGAAGATCTAATTATTAAAACAATAATTTCTGTGGAAGGATCAATCACTGTAGAATGTTCAGGAGTTCTGGCTGGCAAAAAAAACTGCTTTGAACTGTATGGTTTTGACGTGCTAATTGACGAAAACCTGAAGCCTTGGCTGATGGAAGTCAATTCGTCACCATCTCTGGATCCTTATTCTCCACTTGGTTTAAAAGTAAAGGCTACCGAGTCCCTAGACGGGGAGATAACACAGGAGGAACTAGCAGCAGCCGTGAAACAAACGAAACCCGGCAGAAGCCCGGGCCCAGACGGCCTGCCGATCTGTTATTACAAGGCGTACGCAGACATCCTATACACCCCACTCATTATGACATTCAACGCTATCAAAGAGGGACACCACTTCCCTAGGCAATCTCAGGCAGCGCACATCACAGTACTCCCTAAGGAGGGCAGGGATAGGGAGCAATGCGGAAGTTACCGCCCCATCTCTCTCATAAATAACGACTTAAAACTATTAGCCAAAATCCTGGCGACCAGACTGCAGATGCACGTGCCCAACCTGGTGCACCCTGACCAGGTGGGATTTGTGATGGGGAGGGAAGCACGTGACAACACAATACGCACCCTCACACTGATACACGGGAAAAGACGGGCCAAGGAAGGCCTTCTCCTGCTATCCACGGATGCGGAGAAGGCCTTCGACAGGGTGGGATGGAGATATCTCTTCCAGACTCTGGCCCACCTCGGGCTGGGCCCGGGTGTCAGGGGATGGATAGAGGCGCTATACCAGCAACCTTCCGCGCAGGTGGTAGTTAATGGAGCCCTGACAGAGCCGTTCGACATACGGAACGGCACGCGCCAGGGTTGCCCCTTGTCCCCGATCCTCTTCGTCCTAGCTCTGGAGCCCCTGCTGGTGGCCATCAGGAACAACACGGACATCACGGGGCTGCAGACAGGAACGACACACCACAAAACAGCAGCATATGCTGATGACTTGTTGTTCTACGTAACCAACCCAGAAATCTCTCTCCCCAATATACTGAAGGCATTTCAGGAATTCGGCAGACTCTCCAATTTTAAAATAAACCTCTCCAAATCATTTATACTTAACATCAACATCCCAGAACGCAGAGCGGAACCCCTGCGCCAACACTACTCCTTCCAATGGGCAACACATAAAATTAAATATCTAGGCATCTGGCTAACAAAACGGGAAGGGGATCTATATAAGGAAAACTTCACAGTGATGCATGAGAAAATGCACCTGGAGATGCAGGAGTGGGCATACCCACATATCTCCTGGCTAGGCAGGATACAAGTAGTGAAGATGAACTTTCTACCACGCCTTCTCTACTTGTTCCAAACCATACCCATAACGGTCCCCAGAGCGTTCTTCACCACATTACGCTCAGCACTCATCAAATATGTCTGGAACGGGAAGCGGCCCAGGCTGCGCCACACACTACTCACACAACCAAAAGACAGGGGGGGACTGGCACTACCAGACTTCAATTTATACTATAGAGCATGCCATCTCATGAGAATCATGGAATGGACCAAAACGGGAACACAAAAACAGTGGAAACAAGTGGAGGAACACGAGGCGGGCGTCCCGGTGGAGGTCCTACCGTGGCTGCCACCCGGGGCCCAGACGGGGGAAGGGCCCCAGTCCCCCTACACGAGGGCAACCTTAAGGGAGTGGCACCGCTCCAAAGGGAGACATGGCCTAACATCATACCCGACACCATTAATACCCCTGACACACAACCCTGAGTTCATGCCGGGGATGGACCCGAACGCATTCAAAGACCTAATACAGGACCCGCTACCCAGACTCAGACACATACAAACCACTGACGGCATAAAGACACTCAAGGATCTGAGGGGGAGCGAAGAACACACTTTCCTAATACGCCTCAAATACAAACAGATCCGGAGTTACATTACATCCCTCCCGCAGGGACCAGCACTACATAGGGCCACCACTCCCTTCGAGAATCTATGCCTGGAACCCAACCCACTAACACATGGGGTATCGGCATTATACACTCTACTAATAACACTCACACCAATTGCCCAACCACGGTTCATGGGGAAGTGGGAGGAGGCACTGGGCCAGACCTTTGACAAAGTGGAATGGGAGAAAATCTGCTATTTAACGCACCACTGCTCTAGCTACAGCAAGACACAGGAAACGGCATATAAACTACTGACACACTGGTACCACACTCCTGAGTCACTACATGCCCGAATTCCATCCCACCCCCCACAGTGCTGGAGATGTGGGGAGGGCAGAGGCACACTCTTACACATCTGGTGGGCGTGCAAACAGATAGCCCCATTCTGGTCTGAGATTCACAAAATATTGGCAAAGTTTACAGACGACCCAGTCCCATTCGACCCAGCAGTCATGCTCTTACACCACACTAAAACCCCTTAAACAGCTTATAAGAGGTCACTTACTATTCGCATACTGAACACGGCCAAAATGATCATACCACAGTATTGGAAAACTCAGGTCACCCCCCCTGTGAGAGTATGGTTTACGCAAATGGAAGAACTGAGATCTCTAGAGGAACTTCACCACAAAGCTCACGATACATTTCAAGTGTACCTGAACACTTGGACACATTGGATCCTGAAGACAACAGACCCCGAATTTATTGACATGACATAACTACCACCACATAGCTATCGGCCGAAGGCTACAAACCCAGAGAGGAGAGGGGATGACAGCCACACAGGGGCAGGTCTACCCCCGACGACAGGGGTTCACCGACACTAGACGGCTCGACAAACACACAAAAGACAAGGGAGGCCCTACCACATAGACGAGGGGACCACCTCAACTAAATAGGGCACCCCGAAGAGGGGAGGTGGGGAGAGAGGCGGATCATAGGACCCGGGCTGTCACGCGACACTCTCACAAACAGGCACGAGTAAAAGAGACATACACACACACGCAACATTCACAAGGGACCTGTGAGACGGATTAAATCGTGGGCATACAAGCCCAACAGAACAGGCAACTGTATAAAAATATATAAGAAAGAGGGTGGATGCTGAAGGGCGAGACACAGAAATGCCACATTTTTATGAAAAAAAAAAATATCACATTACTAGTTCTAAGTAATTGTTATATAATATTGCTAATATTTGTAACATAAGTCTAATATCTTAGCTGCTGGCTTTTTGAACTTTGTGAAAAATGTTGTTATGTTTGTCATGTTTCACATTTATACCTACATGGTTAACCTAATGGAGACCTGCGAGTCTCAATGTGCTGGCATTTGCCCTGTGAACACACCGTAAGACAACAACGGAGACCTGCGAGTCTCAATGCTACACCTTTTTCTTTGTGTGCATGAAATATGCCAATAAAAATATATTTACAAAAAAAAAAAAAAAAGTAAAGGCAAATTTAATAGCAGACATGCTTACATTGGTTGGCCTGGAGTGCAAAGACCTCAGACCTGAAAAAAAAGGAGGTCCAGCAACCACGGAAAAAAATATTAAAGCCGGCTATTGCATGACATCCGCATTACAGACTAAACCCTCCCTATATGACGAATGGATGGCAATTGTTCAAGACATCAGGGAGGAGGAAGAGAGGCAAGGGGGGTTTGTACGGCTATTCCCAAGGCAAGACACGTGGCAACAATATGGGTCTTTATTAACATACAAAAGCCTAAATCACATGCTGGCTCAACACCTTTTCATGGAAACGACAACAGAGCCAGAAAACGGCATCAAACAGCGTATAGCTCTCTATGAGAGGATGCTGCCACCCGTGCACAGACCCAGGCCTCAATATCAGTTTAAACAAAAACCTGTTAAGCCGGCTGATACAACCAAAGCATGTCAACAGAGCTGTAGAAAAGTGAATAAGGACTCCGAGCACGTGAGACTTCCAAAGACTTCAGACTGTCGTAGCAGCAACACAGAAAATGGGGACCTCAGGAGCATGAGTCCAGCTCCACCAATATCTAGGGTTGTGAAGTCCCGCCATGACTCAAGTGGTGGGGCAAAGATGCCAGCAATCATCAGAAATGCAAAAACAAAAGCTCTCTACAGCAATGGCGCAAGAGTATTAAGACAGTTCAGTCAGTGTTCACATAACTGATGAATTGTTGGAGTAGTGATTTCCCACCTCTCCAGGTAAATAGCCAGTAATCAATGTATCTCTTATAGAGCACCAGGTGTGCTGCCCAGCTACTTCCCTCGCCCAGGCAGACTGATTCCTGGTGCCCATCGCTGTGTCACATTTTTGCAGATAGAAGCTATCGTAGAACCAAAAATAGCTGTTATTAAAAATAAGCAGGATAGCTTCCAAAACAAACTGCCTCTGAATTTCTGCATATTGGGTGTTCTCAAGAAAGTGGTTAACAGCTCGGAGTCCGAATTAATTCCGTGCTTAATTACAGTGTATAGGGAGGAAACGTCTGCTGTGACCAATAAAAAATATTTTTGCCATTTAAAGGGACAATGTAGGCACCCAGACCACTTCAGCTAATCTGGGTGCTGTGACCCTTTTGCACTTAGTGCTGCAATGTAATACATTGCAGTTCCAGAGAACTGCAATGTTTACATTACAGCTTTAAGTCTGCCCTCTTTGGCTGTCTAACAGACAGCCACTAGAGGGCTTCCGGAATCCAAACCGACCTTTGGTCGGTTATCTGACACTGGATGTCCTCACGGAATAATGCTTTCCTATGAGGAGGTGTAATGTGCGCACACGGCCATTGCTGCGCGTGCGCTTTAGGTCACCCCCGCCGGCTGATGGCGGGGGAGGAGCATAGGCAGAGCCTGGCCCAGCGCCGAGGGAGATCGGCACTGGATTCAGGTAAGTGGCTGAAGGGGTTTTAACCAGAATTTAACCCCTTCCTCCCCCCTCAGCGCCACGGGAGTGGGACCCTGAGGGTTGGGGCACCCTCAGGGCACTTTAGTGCCAGAAAAACAAGTATGTTTTCCTGGCACTATAGTGGTCCTTTAACTGTACGCAGGACCTGTAATATGTTAGTTGTGTCTCTCAGATATGAAGGGCAGCTCTTAACCAACGGCTGAAGGATATGGTCAACATATTCCGACAGTCGACTTTACAGAAAGTTGATGCCCGAGAATAGTAGTATTTTTTTAACACAATATAAAGTTTTTTTCGCTTGTGGTAGGTGCAAAGTATGCCAAACTACAAAATCCAAAACATGCCATATTTTACAATATGAAGTCAATGGCAACTGTTATAACATTAAAGAATGTATTACTTGCCCGTGCGTTCTCAATTATATTGGACGTACCACTAGACCTTTACGCACAAGGTTAGCGGAGCATGTATATAACATTAAACGTAAGTTTGAGCAACATCAAGTATCATTACATTTTAGAGACCACCACAATGCAGATCCATCTCTTTTGCAATTTTAGGGCATTCAAAAGGTGAATCATGATTGGAGATGTGGTGATTACATACAAAAGCTAGGACAAGCAGAGATAAACACATTAATCCCATACGTACTCAATAAAGATTTTGAGCTCTGTCATTTTTTTAAACTAAAGTGTTTTAATCTTAGAGTTTTTCATTATAGATATATTTTCGGGTATTTTTTCTTCTGGGTCATTTTACTTTGGAGCTTTATGTGCATATCCCCAGAATATACAATTTTCATGTAAATTTTTTATAAATTTGTTAATTTTAGTTCATTTCCCAACTGTCCCAGCTAGCACTCTATATGGCACTTACTACCAATTTAAATAAAACTAATCCATGTGGGAGTCATCCATTGTATGTTTACCATATTATTTATATGCGTTATCATATTTCTAATTATTTTCTCTTTTCCTTTTAGCATATAATCTTATATGTTTGATTGTTCAATAGTATTTCTATACTATTTCCAATGCATTGTAACTAATATGTGTTGTATATTTCTACGTTCGTTTTGATTATATAGTCTGCACATCTGATATGGTTGTTAATCTTGAGATTTGTCTAGTCTGCTATATGCAAATGAGAGAGTTTAATCTTGTCCAATTAAATTTAAAGGGATGGATTTATCTTGCCCTTAAATTATGCCCAATTTACCAATGGCCGATACTTAACTAAAGTCCTGACGAAGCCTGAGGGCGAAACGTGTAGATGCACTGATGTCACGCTGTGGGCGGAGCTTGAATCCCACAAATTACTCTATTGGAGATTATATCTACAAACTGTGCCGTCTGATGACCGACACACCAACACACCAACACAGACCTGCTGGGTCTATATATCTGCAGTCACCTGTTGCACAAAGAGCTTTTGGGTCTCTACATCGGTCGTGGACATCCTACAGCACTTGGTTATTACCAAACCGGCTTTTGTGAGTAGCGGTGTCTCTAAACCGCACATGCTCACTTACTTTTATCCTGTAAGAAGCTGCACATTTGTTGTTTTTACCTATTTTATTTAATTTCTTTGCACCAATAAACTGTTATACAGACTACAGTATTGTTTGTTCTCTTTTATATATGATCCTACATGAAATCCTACTTGAGTAACTATGTATTTGCATTCATATTTACATTTCTTTTGCACAGTGTATCTGTAATTTTTTATCTCTTTTTGCGCTCCACATTTTTGTATCCTGTATTTATATGTGCTAATCACCTTCTAGGGCACTAGCATTTGAGTATGTAGCAGCATTATTCAATATATTTCTCAACACTGTTTGTTTTTATATATTGTCATGGGTTGTAGGGTGTCTTAGTGTCCCTTGGTTGCCGTTTCTTTAATCCTCCGCTGGTCCTGGATTCCGCTACAACATACAGTGATTCTAGCCCTCTGGAACATTTCCTAATATAGTGGACAAAACCAGTCGTATTGGGTAAAACAAGAGAACTGTTACTGTTTTTCCTGTTGTGTAGCGTTTCCCCAATATAATGGACACAACCAGTCGTATTGGGTGATAATTGAGTCAGAACTGTATTAAACTCAATAATCTCCAGGCACAGAAAACATAGTTTTACAAAACCCCCAAAATACCTTTAAACCTCCCAAATCACCCCAAAAGTTACATCCCCTGATAGCCTCGAACTGGGTGACCAACATATCAAAAAAATCACCCAAAATCAGTTCAGAGGTTCAGGAATTTCCTGGAAGTCATAATTTGACAGACCATACGCATGGTCCCATGCCCAAAATAGTTCCAGAGAACCAGGGCTAGCAGTCGGTCTGGTTCGGTAGTTTAAAAACCAAACAAACTACCAAACGTAGTCAGTAGTCTTACCCTGGAGCTTGTTTCCCTCATCCAGATGAACGATTCCACCAAACAGTGCCCTTCTAAGTGGTATAGAACCAAATGCAGGCGATGATGGAAGTCCAGCGGTGTTCGTGAGTTTCTGTTCCTGCCTGGTGGAGGTGGTATTGTCAATTCCAAAAACGGGTTATTTTGATTGTATGGGATGTCAGGGCTTACAACCTAAATTCCGCTTTGTAGCTAGGACCCTTAGCAGAGCTACTCTGTAATGTGTGATAAGTCACACATAAGTGGCCTGGAAGTCTGGTTTCAGCACAAACTAACTGCACAACAGCTTTTAGATAATGTAATTAACACGATAGCTTTCATCCAGCTCAACATTTTACATAATAACTCAACATTAACACAATGTAACCCCATATCCTATATATGATTTTAAAGTCTGTGACCCGGCCCAAAGTCTGTGGGCAGGAGGCTAGCTGTTATGCATCACCAGCAGGTTGTGGCACAGGAGGATATATTTTGTATACTTTTTTATTTGCTATTTTTCTTAAGGAGACAGTTTTATCCATTTTTTTCCCCCCTCCTTTTGAATGCCGGTTTAGCGCTTTTACAATTTCTACTACTTTTTATGCAGTTTATTATTGTCATTGAATTTGTTCCACCAATATGTCACATACACTTTTATTAAACTTTTGTGTGATAAAATTTTGTTGGTAAACTTTTTCAATTGGTAGATAAACAAAAGAAAAAAAAAACTGTGTGAAAACGATTTCTACTAGATGTGTAAATCGACACACAGAGGTCAGGGATGGTGGTACCAGATCCACCAACGGGGCATAAACCCGATATTAATCAAAGAAAACACTAAATAAATAAGTGGAATCTCAAAAAAGAAATGGGACTCCAAACTTGTTTTTTATACAAAGTCAGGAAATATAATTGTAGTGGTACAGACTGTGTCTGGTCAAGAAATCAGCACGGAGTCATCGACTTATTTAAGTCATCAACAACATATAGTCCTAAAAGTGCCCCCCAAAAATATGTATATAAAACGCTAAATACTTTATTGGTACGGATAAAATGTGAGGCACTATATATATGGGACCATAGTTATATGATGGGGGGTATATACAGATCGTCTGAAGGTCATCCGTATCTCCAAAATACAGGACTGACCTTCAACCATTACCTAAAGCTCAGACTAGTTAGGAGGGTACAGGTTTACTGCAAACTCAACAAATAATCAATAAATCTGGGCTGGTATAAGAAACAATGAATAAACGATCATGTGGGAGATCGAATTATGGTCAGGGTCAGCTAGTAGAGAGGCTGATCTGAATCCTAAACATAGGCATAGCTCAATGGCAGAGGGAATGATAGAGAGCCTATGATAAAGACGCTCAAAATCCTCAGTGATTACCAAAAACTGTCAGATATTTCAGATGGCCCTCAAGTCAAGAGGCAAAGTGAGAAGCCATACTAAACTGTTAGACCCTGTAGCACCTAAGACAACACCTTTGAGGGTGTTCTATGCTGTCCCTATGTAAATAAACTGAGACCTCCCAAGTACCCCCTTAAACTAAAGAAAACTCTAAACTGCTAAATCAAAAGAATTAATGGTGTTAAACACCTAGTGCTACTATTAGTGAATGAAAACAAATAAATACATTTTTTGCCAGGCACCAGAGAGCCACGGGCACGCCGAAACCTCGGAAAGAGTTTTGTAAGACAAAAAAAAAAGCAACAGAAAGTCAGCAAATGTATGATTATTTTCTATTTGTGTAATCTATTGTGAAAACTAATGTCAGGCCTAAAGCACTGTCTTGCAGACAAATTTCTTACAAAGAGTAAGTGCTCCAATCCACACAACTAATCTGTGGGTACAGATTAGTTTAATTTTATGTAAAAAATAAATAAATATATATATATATATATATATATATGTGTGTGTGTTTGGATCGTTCACAACAGATAACAAAATAATACAATTAATGAAAGAAAATGTAATTTAGATTTAATTTTGTATCCAATAGCTATAACCATGTATCTATGGACTTGTACCAAGAGAGAAAAACAAAACAACAAAAAATGGTGGATTTCTCTCTCATGAGGCATCAAAACTTCATAAAGTTCAGTTTCTCAGGAAAGAATGGCCTTGAAGAATGGCCTTGAAGAATGGACATGCTATTATGCACGTGCATGGTTTCTTATCTACATAGCATAAAAGACTTGTGCGACCATGGAATAAACCAGAAGATGATTTTAACACATGTGTGTGTTTGTCTCTTCTCCTGGATATCAAGCATTGGGTGTACCTCTGATATAATTGTAATTGTTTTACAGGATTTTAACCTGACCATAATCATCAAAAATTGATAACAATAAAGCCAGTTCTTTTTGTTAATCACAGGTAAAATATAAGGTAGAACTCTTCATAAATATTCAGAGAATTCATTATTTAAAATTCAATGCCTGGCCTCAGTATCGCGAGATGACACTCAAACCAGGTAGTGCATCCAAAGCATGTCACCAGATTTGTGGAAAAGCATAAAACTTCAACAACAACAACAAAAACACACATTAAGCAAATGCCAACTCAATATCAATAGGGAAAGTGGATGGCACCTGGAGAGCAGGAGATCAGATGGTCCAACGCCTACAGTTGCTGAGTCCCTGGACTGAACTGGTGGCATGAAGCTGCCAGCACTCTTTAGAACCAAAATGGCCATAATGGAGCCTAGAACTGGGCAGTTCTGCCAGGAACTATACAGTAATTACATTATTTTACTATGTCTGAAAAGAGAGCTTTGCAAGACAAAAATTTAAGCAACATAAACATCATACAAAGTTATTTGTATTATCTATTTTTGTTCACAGCAGCAACAGGGAAGCTGGCCGTTAACCTGGGAGCAGGAGACCAGCTAGTCCAACGCCTACAGTAGCAGAGTCCTGTCTTGGCTCATGAAGATTTCCAGCAATCTTCGGAAATATTAAAATAGAAGCCCTAAGCCACCACAAAAAAAGACATACAAGATAACAAGCTTCTCATCCTTTCACCGGCTGCCTTGCAACGAACTGAAAAAGCTTTCGAGAACAGCATCTACAATATATATATATATATATATTGTGCGGGGTGTGATGGTGCATGCACATTTTTATGGTGAGTGTAGAAGATTATTCACATTGTATGCAGTTTAGAGTTATGTAGAGTAAGCTAGTGATGATAATCAGACGTTAATAACAAGCTGGTTGGGCGTCAGCATAAACAATAATATTAAATCTCAAGCCATAGCTACAGTGAGAAATTTACCCTCGCCATCTATAGTATGCCTTATTTTACTTAAGGTAACAGTGTCCACATTAGGGTTGTCAGAGTCCAGACCGTCTGTAAGCTTCAGGAGATGGGCTGGTGAGTGTGTAAGTAGTTATCCTCAGCCAATGCCTCGTGCATACCTCCGATGAGAGTCTGGTTCCCGGTCAGCTTTAGCATTGTCCCTCTCCGGTATGCGGGAGCGTGGGTTGCCCTGCTTGTGGTGCAGGCGATGAATGTAGCGTGACAGGTCCCTGTCTCTCTGGCTCTTAGTATATATTTCTTTATTTTAATTCTTTTTTTATTCTTTATTTTTTGCAGTGCATGAAGATAATACATGGATGCTTCCAGTGCCCCAACAGCAGATTCAAGCACAATATAATACATAGAAAAATAGTGTTAAAATATATTTTTTTATATGACATATACAGGCTAGACCTCCGTGTCCTGTTGTGTTCAGGACAACTTTAGGAGGATTAACAGGCTTTAGCACTACATAGTGAAATTTAGAGCAAGAACACAAGCAGTGTTAACCACTGGGTTGCTTAGATATATTGCAGGATGTAACCATAAAAAAAGCATGTAATGATAAAAGCAAAGGAAGTACAAGATTGGTGGCCCTCAGCCCAGGTAGGCCAGAATTAGGCATCACTGAGGCTTGTGAGGATGGGTTGCCCAGAAGAGGCCCAGGCTCTCTGCGTCTCCCACCACTTCGCTCTCTCTCATGTAGCCAAGACTGTGGAGTCGACATCCGAGCTTCCAGTTGTTGCCAGAATCGCTCAAATAACATGTCTAGGCGTTGCAGCATTCGATCAACTAAGCCAGGCAGGGCCGTCTCAGGCCGTTTTAGTTCATGCCCTTGTAGAGAG